GTCAAGAAGAGCGTGTACCTGAAGAGACCACATCAGGTAATTGTTTGAGTTTAGCTTTGTGACATTCGACATGTTCACATTGAGGACATTTTGTGCTAGATCAACAGCTTCGGCTGGATTCGCCATTGAAGGTAGTTGATGAAAATGAGGGACAAGAGAGAAAGGAAGAGGAAGTAGTTGTAAAAGAGAAAGAATGAGGCGGCTGGGAAAATTTAGGGTATCGAACACTGCTCTGATACCATGTAAGAATGTTTCTTATCATTTACACACGGTTACATAACAATATATACAGAGAGTAGAATCGTCTACAATACTGTAGTTTCTATACACAGAGTAATCAAATATTGTGTAGTAATTGAGTATCTCTTGGTATCGTTGACATTACACTGAAACTTAATTATAAAGCTCAAACAAAAGCTCATTTTATGGAGTTATCATCTTCTCGATTTCCAATCTTCTCGCCTCTAACTCAGCAGAAACGGAATCAGCCGTTACTAAACACAAACTTTACTCTGTAATTAATGACAACCAAACTGACAATAAACAATAAAGCTTAAATAAGTGGACCACAAATAAGTGAAATCCAAAAAATATAGCAATGAGAATGTCAAAAAAAATAAGACATAGCGATGAACCATATATGGTATAAATAATACACAACTCTAAGCAACATAAAAATACAATCTCACAATTGTTTTGCATTTGTATTTTTAATGTGAGTCGAGCAAGAATGAGTCTCAGTCATAGTAATGCTGGAGCTGGAGAACGTCTTTCTCGCCAAAAGTAAAACTTGAGGAGTGACTTGGTTATCTTTCTTCTAGAGAAAAGTAATTTAAACAATTGTACCTATTTGATCTTATAACAAATCTCAAGTTTTTAAAACTAATATAGAATTTCATATTGTTTGTTGTAATCAGACATTGTGGAGAAACCGACGTAAAAGCCTAACTAAACAACCGGTAATTGAAGACAGTTACTCATCGTTTCTTAATTCTCATTTGTAAAAGTTCATGAAACATAAAACTGAAAACTTTTTTATAAAAAAATAATATATGACTATAAAGTTCTAGACTCTCCACCAATATTAGCAAATGATCGAGCTAGCTAAACTATCAAACAAATATTATATCAATTAATAAAGAACCCATATAATAAAGAAAATAAAGAAAATTATTATTAATTGCCATTTGGTTTCTTATAAAACATCTATGTATACACTAAATCTTTAAAAATTGATAAGTAGAGAAATGCATATTATATGAAAATTTAAAATAAAATCCTAACGTACAATATGAAACAAAAATGGAGTAAAAATTAAGTTTTTCTTTTTAAAAGCATCAAACGAAAGATAAGATTATGCAAAAAGTTTATGAAAGTGTAAAATAATACTCATGGTGTTCACTAAAGAAATGACATTATAACGTAAAATGTCCAAATTTAGACAATAGGTTTTTAATATAATATATAGTTCATGTAGATACTATTCATATAAATAAAAAATATAACAAATCAAATTATTATATAAAAGTAGTTAAATTTTACCCTTCATATTTGCAAAAACATGCATTAACTCTTAAAATAAGTTCAACTAACCCATAAGATACATTAATCTACCTTCAAATTATTATACAAAAATTTCGTTCATCTTTATATATATATTCCTCTTATATTTACTTCACTCGACTATATCTAAGAATCACATGCAAATATACTATTCTATAATTTATCACAATATTAAACACAAAATTAACCGACAACATTTTATAAAATACAATATAATTATAGAACCCACGCGTAGCGTAGACAAAACACTAGTCTATACTATAAAAGATGGTCAACTCTCTCCATATGAGTGTCACTTCATCATTTTGATTTATTGTGGAAATGACATGTGTCATTTTTAAAAATTTAATGATACAAATTATGTAAAATACAGTTAATGCATAAATTTAATGTACTATTAATCATAATACTAAAAGAATATGAAAAATATGAAAAATAAAATAATACATTTTAATAACAGTATATACTAAATATCCAAAAATAATTATTGAATATTTATTTTGTGGTAGTTTTTAAAAATCATTAACAAAATTTATGTTTTATATTTAAGAGGGTTTTCTTATTTTTAATTAATATTATAAGATATTATTATAAAAATAATTATACAAATATAAAAATAACAATTATTTGATATTTTGAACTTTAAAAATTTAGAAGAAAAATTTATACAATATTATAATAGACTTTAAAAAAATTTCTTTATAAACTAATAATTATTTGATAATTTATTTTATTCAAACTTGATCCATTAATAATTTTAAAATTAATAAGATATCAAAGTCGTAATATATATATTTATAAAAATATTTAATGCAGCTGTATAAATTAGAATTATAAATCAATTATTTAAGCTCATAAAAATATAAAATAACGGCATTGCTATTGTGTAAATCTATGCCATGAACAAGTACGACCTGTTAAAAATAGTCGTTCTATGTTGTGCTTGAAGAGTTTCTCTAATTAATTTTTGTTATATAGTACTCTGATTTGCACTATATCCATTTAATATATTCTATATATACAAGGTATAATATATTTCACATTTTTTTATCAATAAACCAGTTATCACATATATAGTTAGTATCCACATAATATGTAAATATGTATTGTATGTTTATTCAAATACACAATATCGTTTATTTTTTTTTAAAATATACGACAAAATAAATTGTAACTACACTTTTTAATAAATTATATTGTGAACAAAAATCTTTAAAAAAAATCTGCGCATCAGGCGGGTACTCATCTAGTAAAATATTTACAAAATGCAATAACAGAGTCAAATCGACTAAAAAATCCAATGCAATAACAGTAAATTAGAGAGCGAACATGTATCATATAGAAGCAAACCTAACACTTAAACCTCCAGAGGCATATAACTGTTCTCTAAACTTCACACCAATAATGCTAAGAAGTGAAATGCAGCAAAAGAATTTAAAGAGCATAGCTAGCAAAACTGCAACACAAAATGTAAAGATAAGATAAGGATAGATGGAAAAGTAGAGAATAACAAAGCTTTGTACATCAAGTAAAGAACCTGCTATCTCATTCCATTCTGTTTCCAACAGGAGAGAGATAATTAGGACATCCAGGTCCGTTAACAATTGTAACATGGTAAGACCTGCAAAACCTGGCTCTTCCAGTTGCAAACAAAGAGCAAGGGCTTTTTGAAACAGTAGTTGCAGCTGCAGAGATGATTGAAAGTCTTCATTGAGCTTGGACCGAAACATAGTGAGGTTCCAAAGGCGTTCAACAACAGGACAATGGAGGAAGATATTGAATTCATCCTCTCAATGGCCAAAACTCTTGCAAATCTCATTTCCTGAAGATCCTGAAACGACAGATAACAATGCCAAAAATCCAATAGTTCGAAAAAAACTAATGAGAATTTTTGAATAACATCCTCATCCTGAGGTAAAAGCTGGTTTAAAGAAAGCCTAAAATCCTCACGCTGAAGTAATATGACCTTCAACTGAGGTAATTGAAGTCTGATAGAAGGTAACAACTAAAAAAAGGCAACTTATTCCAAAAGGTCATAGAGACAGAACCTTTTAAGGCAATATCAGTGGAATGCTGGTCCGGCGGGTCAAGAGGCTCTGGAGGGTTAGGAAGAGCGAAAACCCGAGACAGATCTGGAGGAAACTTCTTACTCAACGGGTCTGAATCTGGTGGAGACATCATGAGAGAACCACCACGAACAGCGCCCGAAGGCTTTGCAGAAAGACCAAAGAGTGGTAGAGGCGACCAAAGAAATGATAGCTCTGGTAAAGTGGAAGTTAGGCTCGGGAAACTAGTCCGCAAAAGCACTACAAAACCCATCGTTAACACTACTGAAGAGAAATCAGTTCCGTCAACTCCCAAGATTAGATGTCTTAATACTGAGAAATTGGGGTGAAACAGAAATTTTATTTCTTTGAGACACGAAAAACAATTAATCAAAAGGTGAACAGTTGAGTGTACTAATTTTTCTTTGATTTCATTCGAACGTATTTATAGATGATACGACCATTAGAATCTAATGATCATTTCAACATTCAAGAACTTATAAGATTGGTAAGGTGAAACGGTTTCTTGACTTTTCAAATCGTAATGAGATTGTAGCCAACCACTCTAAATAATTATTTATGGACTAATGGTCTGAAAATTTTAGAAAGTGTTCCTCTCCTGATACGATTTGGTATGTTTTCAAATAAAAACATCACGATTTGAAAAGTCAAAGAACGGTTTCACCTTACCATATCTTATACTGTTATGATTAGAGATTTATAATTTTATATGTCTCTTATTAATGCAGATGTCCTAATAAAGTATAATTTAAAATTTCTTGCAAAAACAACATACGTTAAGTCTTTTTTTTTTCTCTCTAAATGATGCAAAACGACAAAAAGAGTAAGAGTTTGCAGCTCATCCTCTTTTCTTCTATAATACTTATGAAGTCTAATCGTAGCACCAAATTTTAATAACGTTAAAATAGAGCTATTTTTACGTACTTGACTAACATGCGGTCTTTTTTTTTATGTTAGAGGAAATTATAATTTTATAAACATGGAACCGAGTACTATTGACTATTGGAGTATAATTTAAAATTTCTAGCAAAAACAACATAACTTTTTTTAAATGACGCAAAACGACAAAAAGAGTAAGAGTTTGCAGCTCATCCTCTTTTCTTCTATAATAATCGTAGCACCAAACTCAAGTTCAATTTTAATAACATCACAATAGAGCTACTCTTACGTACTTGACTAACATGCGGTCTTTTATATATATATATATATATATATATCAGAGGAAATCACAATTTTATAAACATGGAGCCGAGTCATTTAATCCGTTTGGTCCTTATAATTTTTATAACTAAATTCCAAATTGTCTTTTAATTATAACATAAAATGCAACTAATTTAAATTGTTGACGCTGATCATTGATTTAAAACTAGTAGCATATCGCTAATCCCAAACCAGATCTAGATCTGATTAACGAAGAGTAGCAACACTGCTTGATCTTGTAAGAAATCGATTCAAAGATTTTTCTCCACGTCATGTCTTCTTCAACTTCAAGGTAAAGTTTTTTTTGTTTTAGTTTTAACTGTATATGAGTTTAAATCACAATTTAGTTAATATGTACCCTTTGTGTTTATGTATCTTGACTAGTTTTCATCATATACTTATTTACATCAAGAACCCAAATTTTGTAGTATATGTATGATCAAACCAAACCATTTTATCCAAGAAAAAAAATGATCTAACCTAACCAAATCAAGCGTTTTTGTATTATAGGGACCGTTTGGTGGATGCTCTTCGTATGAAGGGTGGAGATGGAAAACACAGCTACGCTAATAATTCACTTATTCAGGTATATTCACTTATTGATATACATACATACATATATTGTACGCCAATTCGTTGCTCTAAGTTTCATTGGTTTTTTAAAATCACATGATTTCGGTTTTTCAGAAAGATCTTTTATGCAAAACAAAATTGATAGTGGAAGAAAGCATAAAAGAAATGCTGTTGAAAATGGATTTTCCAGAGTGCATCAAAGTGGCTGACTTGGGCTGTTCTTCCGGGCAAAACACGTTTGTAGCCATGTCCCAAATCGTCAACGCGATCGTAGAGTCGTACCAACAAAATGGTCGAAACTCACCGGAGATCGATTGTTGCCTAAACGACCTTCCAGAGAACGACTTTAACACAACTTTTACACTGATCCCTTCTTTCCACGAGAAGCTCATGGACACAAACGTTAAAGGAACATGTTTCGTGTCAGGAGTCCCAGGGTCTTTCTACACAAGGCTTTTCCCAAGAAAGTCTCTTCACTTTGTTCATTCATCGTATAGTATCCATTGGCTCTCTAAAGTTCCTGATGGGATTGAAGATAACAAAAAGGACATTTATCTTAGAGGTCCATGCCTTCCGAACGTGTACAAGAGTTACTTGAATCAGTTCCAAAATGATTTCTCTTTGTTTCTAAGAATGCGTTCGGAAGAGATTGTGACTAATGGAGGTATGGTTCTCATGTTCTTGGGTAGAGAAGCTTCTGATCCATTGTCTAAAGACTGTTTTGGGAATATGTCGTTGCTATCTGATTCCCTCAATGACCTAGTCTCCGAGGTTCTCACTAACTCAACTTTATCTTTACTTTACTGTTATTATATTTACATGATGTGATCATCTATCCGAGATGATCATGGGCATAACTTTTATCAAGGAATGTGATAAGAGCTAGTGCATATAGGGTTTGGTGAAGGAATCGGATGTGGAATCTTTTAACTTGCCGTTCTATAATCCGGACGAAGGAGAGGTGAGAGAGATTGTTAGGAATGAAGGATCATTCGAGTTTAACAAATTCGATAAGTTTGAATTTCCTTTTCCACCAAAGACGGTGGAATGTGAAGAAGAAGGGCGTTACGTCGACCAATCACGTCGACTGGAAAATGCTAAAATGTTTGCAAGGAGCACTAGATCCATCACAGAATCAATGCTTGTTGCTCATTTTGGAGATGCTATTATTGACCGTTTGTTCAACAAGCTAGCACATCTTGCTGCTCAGATCTCGAGCAACCGTTACAAAACGACCGTTCAATGTGTCGTTTCACTGACTAGGAAATAAAACAAACTTGTTTCGATTTTACGTACCTGAGAATGTTTGTGTGTGTGTGTGTGTTTTTGGAGGGTTTGGTTTTTCTTGGTGATGGAACAAATGTGCTTATGATCCACGTACTATTGCGTTGGTGAACATGCACAATGAATGGTTTTAATTGTGGCGATGCTATTCAATTAATCATTGTTACTTTTTTTTTTCCTTTTTCTTTTTCATGTCAAATTATTGTTATTTAATAACTTTTCTTTATATGTCTTATATTTGTTTATTTTCTTCTTTTGTGTAAGACAATTAAAACTGCGCAAATTAGACATTCTCTCAAAACGGTGACAACATATAGCAAAATGACATTGTATTCAAAGAAATTCAGATTAGAGGAAAAACTGTAAAGTGTAAACAACATTAACCTTACGCTGTTCTATTCAAGAGGGAGATGATTGGACTTGGGCCTAATGTCAAGGCCGAAAAACAGCATCCGCTTATCGGTTCAAGTGGAATGGTCTGCAAACTTAAAAGGTGTGACTGTGTGTGCTATTATTATTCAGGATCCCTTCAGAAAATCAAGGATGCAACTGGCTGAATTTTGAGAAAAAAAATGGATCAGTTAAGACATCAATCTATATACCACTGAAATTTTATAGGATGAAATTACTCTTGATTTCGCTATATTTCTCTTTGACTTTACAACATTTTTTATTCCATTTATTTAGTTCACCATCTTTTTTATGGAACCATTTCGAATTTAAGATATTCAAAAATATAATTAGTAAATATATCTGATTTTAAATTATAAAAATCTTATAAAAAACATTATGGCAAAATCGAAAAATAACAAGAAATTAAAAAAATTGACTTTATTAAGATTGTATATACAGTTTAAAGAATATTTTCATCGAATCTATAATATTTTTTACTTCAAAATAAATCTTAAATGATAAATTCGTCTCCAACTTTAATAAGTTTCTAATTTTGAAATAGAATAACGAGTAGAATTATATCATATTCTAATTTTATTCATTATTCTAGAATAAAAAATGAAATGATGGTAAAGTAAAACTCAATTTCATTTTTTTTTGTTTGAAAGAAAAGGTTACCTCATTTTGAAATGAAAAATAGAACAATAAGTTGGAAAAGAAGAGATATTGTACGTAGTATAATTCTTATTTCTTTTTCCCTTTAATCAAACTTTCAACTTCAATTTACACTCACGCCAGGCTATAAACCTGAACAAAAACCAGTTACAATTCAAAAAGAATCATTTATGAAGATACTCAAAATATCTATTTTTGTGAATTAGCAATAAAACCTAAAACATGAACAATTTTTTTGATTTTGCATTCAAAATTTTTGGGCCGAGGATTCCTAACAATGTTTCCAAAAACAAAAATTCAGACAATTTTTTATGACAAAATAAAAAAATTGATATCAAAATTTTAGCCAAAAAAAAACTGATATCAGACTATATTTTGTCTGTTTCAAAATAAACATTCTTCTAGGTTTCTGTTATTTGTTGCCGCTTTCAAATAAGAATGATAAAGTTGTTTTTCTTTAGAAAGTGTGTTGAAATTTTGAATAGACATTTCATGAACCAGTACTAAAGAAACCCTGACTTGTAATATGATAGTGTTGTATTAGTGGTGTTTCCATGTTATAACTCGGGTTTAATTGTTCTAGTGTGATGTATATGAATTGTAGACAAAAATAATGATTTAACAAAATTGACATTTGTATATTTTCTAACTGGTTTTCTTAACTTGATTACATTTTTTTTAATAATTGATTACAAACAAGAAAAACAATAAATGTAGGATTTCTTACTGTTTTGATTAAGTTATCTTGTTTGCCATCTTTGTTTTGTATTTTAATTTGTTCCATTAAAAAAGTAAAAAAAAAACAAATGTTTTAGATTTGTCCCTGATAAATTGGCGAAGGCAGCATGTAAGGTTTGGTGGGACGTGCACCCGTAGTTTTTTTGATATTGAAAATTGGGAAATACTAATCAATGGACCAGGTAATATTAAAATTAAATCTCATCTGCCGTTATTTTATCTCTTCCATTAATGGTGTTGCAAAGTTTTTTTTGTCCTTCCTTGACTTTCTAATCTTATTACTAATATCATTTTCTTTTCAGATTTTGACGATAAGTAATGATAATTGTATTATCACGATTATTTTTCTTACATATAATACGATTAACACAATAACTTTATATCATTAATTAGTTAACAAATCTTTTACATTGATAAATGAGTTAACAATAGAGAGAGGATTTTTTTTTTTTAGGTTCCTGGCCGATGGCCAGATACTTCTTTAGCTCCGTCATCGGTCTGATGATTTATTTTGTTAGTTCTCCATATTATTTTCCTTTGTTTTGGTTGGTTTTTCTTTTTTATTTTTGGATCTGAAAGAGTTTTTTTGATTGATTCTTGGTTTCTTCTCTTTTTTCATCGGTGTTTTCCTTGGCTTTTGTTGGTTCTATCTGCTGCTTTCCACAACGTATGTGTTTGGCTTGGTGTTGCGTTTGGACGACTCAGGTTAGTCTCCTCCACTAGAAATTACAACCAGATCTGGTTGAGATCTGTATTTGCTTTTGTTTCCGTAGTATCGGATCTATGTCGTTTTCTGTCGACAATATCGGTTACGACATTTTTAGACGGTTTTAAACCACTTCAATAGAAACTCTGTCATGTCAATTTAAAAAGCATATTTCATAATTGCCGAAGTCTACTCATTACTAAGTGAGGACAAGAAGATTTGAAAATCTGTTCCAAATATTTTTTCAAATTCTTTGAAAATCTTTATTGATTGGGTTTGTAAGAAATCTTATAATCATGATAGCTTTTTAGCTGATCTCTCATTGTAATCACCTATTGGTGATTTATTATATTCAATAAAAGTTATAATCAGTGTTAAAAAAAATGAGTTAACAATATGATATATAACCTGATTAACATGATAACATTTATTAGATAACACAATTAATACGATATCTTTATATGGATAACGGATTTAACATATATTTATATTGATATATGAGTTAAAATGTGTAATATATAATTGGTTTAACATTTTAGTTATGTAATAACATTGTTAACTTATGTAAACAATATTTCTAAACATATGTTAATAATGTTATCGGAGTGTGAATAGTGTTGTCTGGATAAGAAGTAAACAATGTTATCAGAATGTCATGTCACCAGCATTATTTTCAGATAAATGACATTTTTGTAATTAAGTTAGAATTCCATGTCACTAGCATAATTTTCAGATTAATAATATTTTTGTAATTAAATTAAATGAAAAGAAGATTTTGGGGTTAAAAATGTTTTCTCTCCTATATACCTAAATTTGAAATTTTATATATTCTCTGCGACTCTATCTAATTTTTAGTCAAGCAATAGGTTTTGTCTAATCCACCCTTGAAAAGTTTATATAGGAATTCAAAAATATTTCTTGATAAAATGGTATAAAATCTCTTTGTGCACCCCTTGATCCAATCCATATTTTGATTTTTTGCCATTTATGCACTCACTAAACAAATCTTCTAGATTCCCCTGAATTATATATATAGCTTATCCCAACAAGTTAAAGAACATATCTTCTAATCTAGACATTGTTCATTTGATATTTATTTTTTAATCCAAACATATTGTTCCGATCATGCCTCGCTCAAGGTAATGATTCATTTCTTAGATCTTCATGTAAAATGGGATAATTAATTTCTTGTAATTGTAACTCTGTAACTGTGTCGCATAGTTTTCCTGTTTCTTTGGAGCTCTCTCACTCTTTAGATCTAGAATGTACGTAGATTAGACTGTAATCAAATTTGTTGTTATTTAAAGCTTCAAACTAAAACACAAGGACATCATGAAATTCTCAACCTTACAACTGTGTGTTTATGGATCTATAATCGTAGTTTTGAGTTTCATATGAGTAACCAAATTGGAGTGTGCATTAGGGACTCTTTGGTGGACGCTCTTGCTATGAAAGGAGGAACAGGGGAACACAGTTATGCTACTAATTCACATTATCAGGTCCAGTTAAACATGTCAATTATAAGATCCTTTTATTGCTGTTAAAGGATTTGTTCACACTGTAATAAATCTTTCCTTAACGTTAACAATCAGTGAACTTTGGTCAAGCAGACGTAAAAATTAAAATTTTAGTGGTTAGTAGTAAACTGAGATTTGTTTATGGAAAAAATGAATTGGGATTTATTTTTGACGGTTTTAAAAATTTAAGATTTTACATATTGTGAATCTAAACTGTTAACCTACACATATTAACAGATAAATTGGCTGAGGTTTGTACATAACTAGTAGTTTTGGGTTAGTGTTGATTTCGTGTGACTGTGTCTTAAGCAGATTTCAAATTAGGACCGTACGTGCGCATGAATCGTAGATAATAATAATAAATTAAAAAAGGCAAACTAGACTACAATCGATATTTGCACCCAAAAAAAAGACTACATCGATAATTAGATAGATATGTAACTTATCGTTCAGTTGATAATTAAGCAACTCTACTACTACGTACTAAACTAGCTTTAAGTTTTTTGTTTAAATCCTGGTAAACTAAAGTTACGATATTTGTTTTTTTTTTTTAACAGAGAAGTGTTTTCTTTGAGATCCAACCTATGGTGACAGAAAATGTAAGAGAAATGCTAGTGCAAGTTGGTTTTCCTGGTTGCATCAAAGTGGCAGACTTGGGTTGTTCTTCTGGAGAAAACACGTTCTTGGCCATGTCCGAGATCGTCAACACGATCATACAGTCGTACGAACAAAAAGGTGAAACCCAACCAGAAATCGATTGTTGTTTGAACGATCTTCCAGAGAACGATTTCAATACTACCTTCAGGTTGGTTCCTTCTTTCTTAAAGAAGCTGAAATTGGAGGGTAGTGGAAAGTGCTTCTTGTCGGGAGTCCCAAATTCGTTTTACTCAAGGCTTTTTCCAAGCAAGTCTCTCCATTTTGGTTTTTCATCTTTGAGTATCCATTGGCTTTCTAAAGTTCCAGATGGCCTTGAGAACAACACTCAAAGCATTCATATCAAAGATCCATGCCCTCAAAATGCCTACAAAAGCTATTTGAATCAGTTCAAGAACGACTTTTCGTTGTTCTTAAGGATGCGTTCAGAGGAGATAGTGCCCAATGGACATGCAGTTCTCACGTTCGTGGGAAGAAAAGTCTCTGATCCTGTATACAAAGACTGTTTCCAAGTTTGGTCGTTGTTATCTGATTGTCTCCTCGATCTTGTCTCTGAGGTACATATTCATCAACCAACTTCTCTATTAGATAACTTAGGGATTATTGTCATTTGAAATATCCAGTGACCTAATTACAATGAGATAAAATTTTCTATTTAGATATTTAGTTTTTCCAAATAATGAAATTTTGAGAAAAATGTGTAGGGGGTTGTGAAGGAATCAGAGATGGAATCGTTTAACATGCCATTCTACAATCCAAACGAAGAAGAGGTGAGGGAAGTTATCTTAAAGGAAGGGTCATTCGAGATCAGCAAGATCAAGACATTCGACCATGTTGTTCCGTACAAGATTAACTCCATTGAAGAAGAAGAAGAAGAAGATGATGAGGACAAGTCACTTAAGTTGGAAGCTGGTAAAAAGCAGGCAAGTTGGGCAAGATGCATCACCGAACCGTTGCTCGTTGCACATTTTGGAGATGCGATTATCGAGCCGGTTTTCGACAAGTACGCACACTATATGGCCAAGTATCTACGTGCTTCAAACCATCGCCCTAATATGACACTCATCATAGTAGTTTCGTTGACTAAGAAATAAAGGTTCTCGTAGTGCTATATGTTGGTGCATGTGTTTTGTGTGTGTGAACAAAGAGTTGTTCACATTTTATGAACATAAAAATGCCATATTTTTACCATTCAGAACATTCATCAAATTTTCATGTTTTTTAATTCAAAAGTGATATAATATGCTATATGTTTTTAAAAAAACATATCTATATATAAAAACAAACTGAAAAAATGCCAATTGCACTTTGAAAAATTGTGTCTTTTCAAAATTTATGTTTGTGTCTTTTTATTATAAATAGTTGCATTTTTTTACACTAAATAGTTGCATTTTTTCATCAACTATAATTTGTATCTTTTCAAAAACTATTTATATTGCTCAAAATCACAGAAAAAATCATTTGGATCAAACTTTTACATTCTTACTATAATGAGTTTTTTTGTCGTAAATTTATTTATTTATCATAACATATTATCACGATACAAAGTATTTAAAAGTCTTGAAAGTTCAGATATTAAATTTGAGTAAAAGATTCAATTTGGGGATCTAAATTTGACTAAATATGAACAGTTTCATTACAAGATTGTTTTACATGCATTACATTAGAAAAATAAAATTTATTCAACCAAAATCTAATGATATTTTTATTATAAAGAAATTATATGTATTCTGTTTACTAATATATATTATGTTATTTATTTTTTTGTTAATAATCCGAATAAATACCATTTACACTTTAAAAAGTTGTGTCGTTTCAAAATTTGTGGTTGCGTCTATAAATGATTGCATATTTTCATTATGAATAGTTGCATTTTTTCATCACAACTGTTATTTGTGTCTTTTCAAAACTATTTACATTGCTCAAAACCACAGAATAAAAATTATTTGAGGTCTAACTTTTATTTTTTTACTATGGTGGGTTTTTTATTTGTCGTATAAAAATTCGAATAAATGCCACTTACACTGTAAAGAGTTGTGTCATTTCTAAATTTATGGTTGTATCTTTTTATTATAAATGATTGCATCTTTTCATTATAAATGATTGCGTTTTTTCAGCACAACTATTATTTGTGTTTTTTTAAAATTATTTATATTCTTCAAAACCACAGAAAAAATTATTTGAATCTAACTTTTACTTTCTTACTATATTGAGTTCTTTTGTCGTAAACTTATTTATTTATCATAACATATTATCGGGATACAAAATGTTTAAAAGTCCTGGAGGTTCAGATATTGAATTTGAGTAAAAAATCCCATTTAGGGGTCTAATTTTGGCTAAAATATGATAAATTTTATTACAAGATTTTTTTACATGCATTACATCAGAAAAATAAAATTTATTCAACCAAAATCTAATGATATTTTTATTATAAAGAAATTATATGTGTTTTGCTTACTAATATATATATATTATGTTATTTGACTTTTATTAACAAATCGAATAAATGTCATTTACACTTTAAAAAGTTGTGTTGCGTTTGTTCATTATTAACGGTTGCATCTTTTTATTATATATGGTTGCATTTTTTTATTACAACTGTTATTTGTGTCTTTTTCAAACTATTTATATTGCTCAAAACCACACAAAAAAATAATTTGGCTATATTTTGTGGGTTTTGTCATAAATATATTTTTTTATCATAACATGTTATCATGATACAAAGTGTTTAAAAGTCTTAGAGGTTCATATATTGAATCTGAGTAAACGATTCCATTTGACGATTCAGTTTTAGCTAAAATATAAGCAGTTTTATGATAATATTGTTTTATATACATTACATCAGAAAAAATTAAATTTTATTCAACCAAAATCTAATAATATTTTTATTATAGAGAAATTATATGTATTTTATTTACTAATATATATTATGTTATTCAATTTTTTTGTTTATGAAAAAACATCTATATATTTATAGTTAATTTTTTTATTTTCAAGTTTTAATATTCTTTATTAGTTGTTTATAAATTTAAAGTACCTAATATTTGGATTCTTTTTTTAATTTGAGAGAAATATATTTATGTAATGTAAAAAATTCACATATATTTTATATATGTATTTTTGAGGTATGAATTTTTTTAGGTATTCTTGCAAAAATGACCTAAAATTTGATTTGAATTGCAAATCTAACCCAAAAAAATCATCTTCCCAACATTTGCCATTTTATGTCCAAACAATCCTTCATAGTTTCAGTTATTCAAGAAATTGCCATTATTTTTAATTAATTTCTTTTATTTTTGGAAATCCAAATGACCAACTAATCATCATCTTCCTCACTTATTTACGAAAATGCTCTGAAAGTAGACTTCTCTTGGTCCGAATGAAGTCTACTAGTCAACGCCCATGTTAGTTTTGCAATTGACCGCATGAAAAAGTAGACTTCTTTTGGTCTGAATGAAGTGTACTCCATTTCCTTTGATAACAAAAAAATGGAGTAGACTTCTTTAGAAGCAGGTCATTTTTGCAATTGACCAACCTTTGACTTTGTAGAGTAGACTTCTCTATGCAAAGTAGATTTCTCCGAGAAGTCTACTTTCGTAAGTAGACTTCTCGCAGGTCATTTTTGCAATTGACCAAAAAGTCAAATATTTTGCAATTGCAAAAATGACCTGCGAGAAGTCTACTTACGAAAGTAGACTTCTCCGAGAAGTCTACTTTTCATAGAGAAGTCTACTAATATTTTGGCAATTGCAAAACTAACCTGCAAGAAGTCTACTTTTATCTGAAAAGTCTACTTTTCTTGTTTTAAAAAAAAAAAAACATTTTTATACAATATAAAACGAATTTTTAGGATTTTCGTGATCCTAAGCTTTTGTTATTAAGTTTTATTGCTTATGTATAAGTTTTGCATGTTTATATATTATAGGTATAGTCGAATGAGTTTTCATATTTTATATGATACTTAGCTTATTAAGAGTAGAAGTCTACTTATACTCTAGAAGTCTATTATATAGACTTCATCCGAGTTTCAGAGAAGTCCACTTATGCAAATTTGATGTCTAATGTGGTTTGGATTTTGTTCTTTTTTCACAGAGAATGACTCACATACCCGCTGTTTATGGAGAATGGGTTAAGAGTGAATCAGTGTGGCAGTTCAAGGTGGATAATAGCAAAGGAGGGCGAATGTTGTTCTTAAGAGATGGTTGCACACATGGTGAGCATCTTAGTGAATGTTGGCAAAGGAGGGCGAATAGCAAAGGAGGGCGAATGTTGTCACGTATAAGTTATATAAAATTAATGTCTTTAATAAGTCTACTTGAGACAATGAGAAGTCTACTCGAGACAAGAGAAGTCTACTCGGTTGACAAGTTATATGATATAAATGAGAGAAATGTCCCTCTGAATCACTTTTAAGTTATGTAAAATTAATGTCTTTTAGAAGTCTACTCGAGACAGAAGAAGTCTACTCGAGACAATTAATGTCTTTTAGAAGTCTACTCGAGACAGGAGAAGTCTACTCGAGACAAGAGAAGTCTACTCGGTACAATTAATGTTTTTTAGAAGTCTACTCGAGACAGGAGAAGTCTACTCGAGACAAGAGAAGTCTACTCGGTTGACAAGTTATATGATATAAATGGGAGAAATGTCCCTCTGAATCACTTATAAGTTATGTAAAATTAATGTCTTTAAGAATTCTACTCGAGACAGGAGAAGTCTATTTTGTAGAATAGATAAACATAGATAATTTAGGAATTTTATACAAAACATTCAATGCAATTCAACATTACATAGAAAATAACCCTCTAAACAAACAAACATTTAAGGATCACTAATTATAAATCTTAAAACCGGCATAAGAAATTACTAGTAAACTAAAATCTCTGAAAATTATGTATGCAAATGAAGTCTGCTTGAGAAGTATGCTCGAGATCGAGAAGTCTACTCGAGAAGTCTGCTCGAGATTGAGAAGTCTACATTCAGATCTGCAAAAAAAATCAACAAAATTCAGCTCTGCAACAATAACAAAAAATTTAGATCTAGAACAAAATCTATAAAATTTATACAACAATAAACTCAGATCTACAAATATAAAATTAGATCTACAACAATAAGCTCAAATCTAAATTAATAAGCTCAAATTTATAATAATAATCTACTATATTTATAACATTCAGATCTGTACAAAAATCAACAAAATTCAGCACTGCAATAATAACAAAAAATTAACAAAATCTACAAAATTTATACAATAATAAACTCAGATCTATAAAAATAAACTTAGATCTACAATAATAAGCTCAAATCTATAATAATAAGCTCAGCTTTGCAATATGAACACAAAGCAAACAAAAAGAGGAACACAAAAGCTCAGATTTGCTTACCACTACCATAACCTGCAAGTGAGAGGAGGTTGAATGCAAGATAGAGAGGACGGAGAGGATATTGATAGCAAGAGAGGAAGGAGAAGAAGTTCATGGCCAGAGAGAAGGGAGAAGAGAGAGAGGCGTTTTTTAGATAGAGAGAGATTTTATTGTTAATACAATAGGTTAAACTCTCCTTATATATGTAGAAAAAAAATCGTGTAAGTAGACTTCTCCAAGAAGTCTACTCGAGAAGTCTACTCGAGAAACCGAGAAACCGACTCGAGAAGTCTCTTAGTATTGATTTTTATCTTAATTTATCTATGATGATTTAAATTGATTATTTTCTATCATATTTTATTTTCAATAGGTGTAAAAAGTATATATTTGTTATTATGTATCTAATTTTTTTAATTAAATTAGTTTTTATGATTTTTAAAATTAATTGTAAACATATTATTAAAGAGTAGACTTCTTGGAGAAGTCTACTCGAGAAGTCTACTTAACTTCTCGAGTAGACTTCTCTGGGATAAAATAGTAATTGAGGTTGGCGTTTTTTGTTTGGTCATAAGGGTTAAAGTTGTAATTTCACTATCTTTGTGAGTTATTTTTGTCAAACATGCAATATGGAGTCTAATTTTGCATTTCAACTAAAGTTTTGAGTCAAATTCAGCAATTCTCTCCTTTTTTTTAATATATTTTAACTAATATATTTGTAATATACTTTTTAATATTACGAATCTTTTTTAGAAACTATAGTAGTTTTAGAAAATGTATTATAAAATCCTGTTACATCATTTTATTATATATATTTTCTGTAGTATTTTTCAAAAATATCAAATTTTTATCATAATTCTTTGTTTCTAACTTTTCAATAGTAAATAAAGATTGTCTCTATATTTATTTTTTACTTTACACTTTTGCACAAATACAAATTTTTAATGATTACACAAATAGAACATTGCATGTTTATATCATATATTTATATTGTATATTTTTATATATAACTTTTTTTAACATTCTTAAAAAGTTGTGTATTTTATCACTTTTCAGTTTTTTATTTGTTCTATTAATAATTAGTAATAACAATCTTAGAAAATATTATAAAAATTTATATATTTTTATTATAAGTAGTTTGGACATTTCCATTTAGAACTTATTATTAATAATTAAAAAAACATATACCTTTTTCTTTTAGTAATTATAAGTTGTTATGAATGATGACATTTTTTACTATATATATTTTATTTATAATTATTTTAAATAAATTTCTATTTAATATTGCAGGTTAACTCTGCGAAGCGGGAGTCCTATTCCTAGTATAATGAATAAAAATCAGTAAAAATGAAAAGATTTTGGTGAAGATACAGATGGAATCCCGTCTTTGTTATGTTTAGAAAGAACTAATTAGCTGATTGCCTTTGGAATCGCTTATCTTTGAAAAGATCATCACTTGTTTGGTGCATGTTCTTCTTCCCCTCCTCGATAAATTAAAAAGAACAACCTCATGAGTCATCAACAAGTCACTCTGACCCCATTAAAACTCTTCTTTTCCTCTTTTTTTGTTCTTTCTATTTTTATTACAATTAGGTGCCCATCCACATAGTACGTCACATGTCACAACACAAATGTGTTATTAATTTGGCAATTTTTTATATTAAAAACATAAAAAAAAAATGCAAATCGACAAAAGTGATAGTTGAAAAGTGAAACAACTTAAATTTTAAAACAAAATTATATTCTTTAAACAACTTACATTGTAAAAACAGAGGAAGTAAAACGTTTACAAAAATATATATATATATATACATATACCAAGCCAAGGGCCAGGTCTTTAAAACCATTATAGATCTGATTTACAAATTAATTCAAACATTTTCTGCGTAAATCATGTCTCCCTCAAGGTAAAACATTCATTTCTTCTTCTACACTGGTGTGTATTGATGTATATACTGAAGTATCGCAACATACGTGTATGGATTTGCACTTGTAATTCTAATTTCAAACTTTATCTGACTGAAATTGTTTATATATTAAATAGTGACTCTTTGGTGGATGCTCTTAGTATGAAAGGAGGGAATGGAAAACACAGTTACGATACTAATTGTCATTATCAGGTACTGAAACACTTTATGACGAATTATGATACAAGAACAATATTATACTATGCGAATTGAATTTGATTATGATCTATGTTCTGTTTCTGGTATGTTGAGGGTTTACAGAGAGGTGTTTTCTCCGAGATACAACATGTGGTGATAGAGAGCATCAAAGAAATGCTAATGAATTTGGATTTTCCCGGGTGCATCAAAGTAGCTGACTTAGGTTGTTCTTCTGGAAGAAACACGTTGTTGGCCATGTCCGAGATTATCAACACGATCATAGAATCATACCAACAAAACGGTCGAATCAACCTACCAGAGATCGATTGTTGTCTGAACGATCTTCCACATAATGACTTCAACACTACCTTCAAGTTGGTTCCTTCGTTCCTAGAGAAGCTGAAGATGGAGGTCAAAGGAAAGTGCTTCGTCTCGGGAGTCCCAAACTCTTTCTACTCAAGGCTGTTCCCAAGCAAGTCTCTTCATCTTGTTCATTCATCTCTTAGTATCCATTGGCTTTCTAAGGTTCCTGATGGGCTTGAGAACAACAGTAAAAGCATTCATATAACAGATCCAAGCCCTCCAAATGTTCAAGAATGTTATTTGAATCAGTTCAAGAATGATTTCTCGTTGTTCTTAAGAATGCGTTCAGATGAAATGGTGTCTAATGGACATATGGTTCTCACGTTCGTTGGGAGAAAGGTTTCGGACAATTTATCCAAAGATTGTTTCCAGGTTTGGTCGTTGTTATCTGATTGCCTGCTCGATCTAGTCTCCGAGGTACCCAATTTCACTAACTTGTTATTTAATTTACTGTTAAACATGTCTGAAATTATGGATTTTCGATTTAAAGATAAAAAAATTGACAATAAATGCTGATGTTCATATCTTTTAAATATAGCAGAAACTCAATAAATTAATAATTTTGTTCGGTTCTGGATCAAAATTTAATACAAATCGATAAATTAATAAGATAATAATTTATTTGAAAATCTATGTAAAATATACTCTCATTAATATAACAAATATCATATAAAATAATTTTATATAAATATATAATTATAAATTTATGATAATCTATTAAAATATGAATATATTATTGATTTTTATGTTAAAATTAAAATATTTTATCATTAATTTCTAATTTTATAATGAATGTTTTGGAAGATATTATGAATTTGAAAGAAAATATTATTTTTAATTAATTATTAATAAACAAATTATTTTATTCAAAACCAATAAATTAATAACTTTATAAATTAATAAAAATTTGTCCATAAATCACCAACTTTTGCATATTTTTTTTTCGCCGATCAGCCATTTAACATTTGAATACTAATATTTTGGAGGAATGTGAATATGCAGGGGGTTGTTAGGGAATCTGAGATGGAATCTTTCAACATGCCGTTCTACAATCCTAACGAAGAAGAGGTAAGACAAATTATTTTAAACGAGGAATGATGATTTTTGATAAGTGTATCTGATCACATGTGTGGAAACGACACGGTTTCTGGTAGACTAATCTTTTCTTTCAGACTGCTTTTAAGAGAAGCATGGCCCACACGTCAAGTCAGTCTTTGTTTAGTATTTTTTATCTTGCTTTCGTATGACGCACGTTCTTTTCAGACGATATATCAGAAAAGCCTCATGACCAAGTCATTGGACCCCACTAAAACTCTACTTTTCTTCATCTTTTTCATTATTCTATTACACACCGAAATTTCGACGTTGTTGTAACGGAAGGTTCCTCGCTTGTTCCTTGCGTCCACGAGTCTCCGGTTCCTACCTATAATAATTAATTCTGAGTTTTTGGGTTAAACACAACTCAGAACAAAGACACCCTAAAGAAGATGAGTTCCTCTGACTCTTCTTCCGCGGAATCTCGTCTAGCCACGGCTAAGACGGTTCTCACAACCGCAGCTTCGGTGGCTGCAACCGCAATGCTAGCTAAATCGTTAGTCCAAGATTATTTACCTGACGAGGTGCACCAGTACATCTCTTATGGCTTTCGCTACTTCTTTGGTTACTTCTCCTCCCAAATGACAATAATCATTGAAGAATTCGAAGGGTTTGTTCACAACGAAGTCTTTGAGGCCGCAGAGGCCTATCTAGCCACCAAGATCTCTCCTTCTAACAAAAGAATCAAAGTGAGTAAACACGAGAAAGAAAACAACTACAACGTCACCGTGGAACGTGACGAGGAAGTCATGGACACCTTCAATGGCGTCAAGTTCCATTGGGTCCTCCATTGTCGCCATGTCGAGTCCAAGAACTTCCACAACCCGCGAGATCTGAACTCCACACTCAGATCCGAGGTCCGATCATTTGAGCTCAGTTTTCACAAGAAATTCAAGGACATGGCTCTTGAATCTTACTTGCCATTCATGGTGAAAAGGGCCACGCTGGTGAGGAATGAGAAGAAAACGCTCAAGATCTTCACTCTCGACCCAGATTCCATGTATGGGACTTACTCGGACGCTTGGACCTCTGTGGTTCTTGACCATCCTTCTACATTCAAGACGCTAGCAATGGATTCAGATGTTAAGAGAAATGTGATGGAGGATCTAGACCAGTTCGTGAAGCGTAGGGACTTTTATAAAAGAGTTGGTAAAGCTTGGAAGAGAGGATACTTGTTGTATGGTCCACCGGGCACAGGGAAGTCTAGCTTGATCGCAGCCATGGCAAATCATCTCAACTTCGATATTTACGACCTAGAATTGACTGCGGTTAACAACAACTCTGAGCTCCGACGATTGTTGATTGCCACTGCTAACCGTTCAATTCTTGTTGTGGAAGATATCGATTGTTCTATCGAACTGAAAGACAGGACAACCGATGAAGTTCCCAACGAAGCAGACGAACCTAATGACCCACGGTACAAAAAAGTAACACTCTCTGGACTGCTAAATTTCATAGACGGTCTGTGGTCAAGCTGCGGCGACGAGAGGATCATAATATTCACAACTAATTACAAAGAGAAACTTGACGCAGCGTTGTTGAGACCAGGACGCATGGATATGCACATCCACATGTCGTACTGCACGCCGAGTACTTTCAAGGCTCTTGCTTCAAACTATCTAGAGATCAAAGATCATCCCCTTTTCAGCAAGATCGAGGAAGGTATTGAGGCAACGGAGGTTAGTCCAGCAGAGGTTGCAGAACAGCTCATGAGGAATGACACTGTTGATAAGATTCTTGAGGGTTTGATTGAGTTCTTGAAAATCAAGAAGATCGAGAACGAACAAGATAAGGCCAAAAAAGAAGAGCAAGATTTGAAGAAGAATGAAAAGACCATTAAGGGTAAAGATTCGAAGGTCAAGAATAGCCAAGATGTGGATGAACAGCTTGTGAGAAATGACCGTGTTGATAAGGTTCTTGAGGGTTTAGTCGAGTTATTAAAAGCCAAGAAGATTGAGGATGACGAAGCCAAACATGTGGAGGCAGCTAGCATTAACTTGTGAGTTTTTGGAAGAGAATTAAAGAAAGATACTTTATTAATTAGTAGTATTAAGTAACATGAGAGTTTGATTGTGTATTTTGGGATGATTCTAGCATTACAAAGTAAGCGAGATATGGATTTAAGTGATACCGGTTAAAGGAGCTACACATGATGTGGATCATCAGACCATCATGAAGCAGAAAACGATTATATATGATCAGCCCCGGCCCATATGAAAAAAAATTATATCATGTTATAAAAAAACTCAGAAAGTAAAAAAAAAATTATCTTTATGAGAAAAATAACTATCAAAATCTTTAGAGAATTGTTGTCGAAGAAAGCAAAAAAAATACTTACATGCTGTTGTAGTATATATTACAATTGAAATAATGTGTTTCGTAGTGTACAACCAAAAAACAAATTTATCATGTATAATTAAGAATTGAACTCATAGGGCTCCTAGCTCCTCGGATTAATATGAAGCAGAGTTTTTCATTTTAGTCTATACTTATAAAAATCGGTAGATGTTTTGATCTTCTTCCCTTTTTTTTTTTAATTTCTATTTTGCTTCAGTTTCTTTTACCTTAAGAAAGCGGCCTATTTGGTGTAGTTTCCTTTATGTGTTTATTCCTTATCGTTTTAATTTCCTTTTTGGTCGAGTACTATATGCTTTTTAGACTTGTTATGTTCATTATAATTTGCGCTTTTTGCTTGTAATTGTAAAAAGACTCACGACTTCTTTGATTACATAAACTCATCGACTCGAGAGATACAGAGGAGAGAACACGTTCCCGTTTACAGGTGTTGAGAGTTTTCTTCTCACCCAAGTAACCTAACAAAACCGAGAGAGAAGAACTCGTTCGTCAAGTCTTTGAGATCAGATCGCAATGGCACTAAGATCTCATTCTTACGCAGTTCACGTGCGGCCTATAGATGCCGGTAGATATGCAACACTTGGAATGCTAAAACAACCTCGAATCGTTTCGGTTTGTCGTTCTGGTGCAAATTATCCAGGTATATTTGCACAGATCCTAGCAAAAACTGAATCGGTGCGAACTCGAACAGTTCTCACGACCGCGGCTTCTGTGGCTGAAACCGCAATGCTGGCTCGATCGTTAGTCCAAAACTACGTGCCTTACGAGGTGCGTAACTACGTCTCCTATGAGTTGCGCTGCTTCGTTAGACGCTCCTTCGATGATTACTTATCCTCTCAAATGACAATAACCATCGAAGAATTTGAAGGGATGGTTCACAATGAACTCTTTGAGTCCGCAAAGGCCTATCTAGCCACCAAGATCTCTCCTTCTAACAAAAGAATCAAAGTGAGTAAACATGAGAAAGAGAAAAACTACAACGTCGCCGTGGAACGTGACGAGGAAGTTATGGACGCTTTCAATGGCATCCAGTTCCGGTGGGTTCTCTGTTGCCGCCATGGTGAATCAAAGAATCAAAACTTCAAACTCAGATCCGAGGTCAGATCATTCGAGCTCAACTTCGACAAAAAGTTTAAGGACATAGCTCTCGAATCATACTTGCCATTGGTGGTGAAAGGAGCCACGTAAATGAAGCAAGTCAAGAAAAAGCTCTAGATCTTCACTCTCGACGCAGGTTACTACTCAGGCACATGGACCTCTATCACTCTCGACCATCCTTCTACCTTCAAGACACTAGCAATGGATCCAGATGTCAAGAGAGATGTGATGGAAGATCTAGACAAATTCATGAAGCGGAGCGACTACTATAAAAGGGTTGGTAAAGCTTGGAAGAGAGGATACTTGTTGTATGGTCCACCAGGCACAGGGAAGTCAAGCATGATCGCAGCCATGGCCAATCATCTCCACTACGATATTTATGACTTGGACTTGACTGCGGTTCAACAAGAAACAACAAGGTGACACTCTCTGGACTGCTAAATTTCACAGACGGTCTATGGTCAAGTTGCGGCGAAGAACGGATCATTGTATTCACAACCAATTACTAAGAGAAACTAGACCCTGCGTTGCTGAGGCCAGGTCGTATGGATATGCACATTCACTTGTCGTACTGCACGCCGAGTATTTTCAAGGCTCTTGCTTCGAACTATCTAGACATCAAAGAGCATCGCCTTTTCAGCGAGATCGAGAAAGGTATTGAGGCGACAAAAGTTACTCCAGCAGATGTGGCTGAACAGCTTATGAGGAATGACAATACTGATAAGATTCTTGAGGGTTTGATTGAGTTCTTGGAATCCAAGAAGATCAAGAACGAACAAAATAATGCCGAAACGGAGGAGCATAACAAGGGCGAAGGCTTGGAGAACAAGAAAAAGACCAACAAGGGAAAAGATTCGGAGGCCAAGAAAAAACGAAGAGGTTGATGAGGAATGATCGTTTCGCATGTTTTTGTCTCTACTTTTTATTCTTTTAACTAGTGAACAAGATGTCGAAAAAAAAAAACTAGTGAACAAGATTTTTTTTAGCATAATTTTTTCCCAAGAAAGATGTTAACTAAACCTCTGCATTTATCTAGCTTCGGTTCATGAAAAATTATTTTCTAGCTTTTTTCTTGTTTCAAAATGCTTTATATTTTACATTCTATATTATTAACATCAAGTCAGTAAGTTATATGAGAGAGATGAATTAGTATTGGGAAAGCAATAAAATCATAATTAAAAGAAGCCATTTAAATCAACAAAGAATTTTAGAAGAAAAAAGAAATGATTTTGCTAACAAGTCGTTCTAATCAATCTTCATGAATAGAAGAAGAATTCATGGAAGAAAACAATATTTTGCTAACAAGTATTCAAATAAAAACCACTATTTGTTTTTCAAGTCTGCAACCAAAATCAAATTTATCAGGGAGACTATAGAAGAGTTTAGGGCTGTCAGATTTTCACTTTTTAATTAGGGTTGGGCAAACGGGAATATGGAACAGGATTTTGCGGGAATGGAAACAGGACGGAAATATGAAAATTAAAATAATTGTCCCATATGTGTTCTATTCAAAATTTGGGACGGGATGAGAATGGGACGGTATAGGACGGGAATGGGATGGGAATTCCCAAAAAACCTAAAAACATGACAAATTGACAATTGTAAAAAAAAAAATTAAAATTCAATTTATATTCGTCCATTGTTCATTTCCAAAATTCTAATAAGTAATAATAATATGTCGAAAACATCTCTGAATCACTTACGTTTACAGGAGAAATCAAAGATTAGAGAGCAATTATGGTGGAGACTGGAGAGTCAAAGATAACACGGCGGAAGTTGATACTTGTTTGTTTGTTAGGTTATAACTTATAAGTTAGAATTTTAGAGATGCAACTTTTAAGTTTTAACTTTCGTTTATATAAAATAATATATTAATAAATAATAATTATCATTTTGGTAATATACTTTAAATATCTAATTTATTATTTATATATAATTTAAGACAAATAGGACTTTGGGAATTCTCGTTCCTGTCCGTCCCGTTTCATTCCCAAATGGGAATCAATATATTGTACTATATGGGAAGTACATTCTCATATGGTAAGGAAATTTGAGATTGAGACTAAGACGGGATGGGACGGGACGAGATGTGCCCATCCCTATTTTTAACTATACATGTTAAATGGGCCGTAACTTGGCCCACTGTACACAATTTGTTTAGTGATCCATCAACCCCAATGAAATAATCATCATCTTCATCGTACATTCTAGATTTCAGCCCTAATTATCTCATCTTACGATCCGAGAGAGGTATCGTGTGAAAGTTTAGTGATCGCAAAAGCCTTTCACCAAGTAAAGAGTAGAACTTGGTATCAAATTGTCTCCTTAATCTTCACAATTTTTTTTTAAAAAATTTGTTTTAATTCTTAGCATTCCAATTTTAGGTTCATAGTAGAATCAGAATCAGTACTATTGTTCATCACAATATTTACTTTCTTTTCTTGTTTTTTTGGGTGGCTTAATTTCTTGTATATCTCTCTGATTTATGTGAGTTTTTCTTTAGAGGAGATGAGTTCCTCTGCCTCATCACCGACTGAATCTTATCTAGCCACCGCCAAAACAACTCTCACGGCGGTTGCATCGGTGGCAGCAGCCGCAATGTTAGCTCGAGCAGTGGTAGATGATTACATGCCAAGCGAGGTTCATGAGTTCATCTCTTGTGGCATCCGCAGATTCTTGGGTTACTTCTCCTTTCAAATGACAGCTGTAGTCGAAGAATTCGGAGGAGGTCTCGAGCAAAACGAAGTATTCGAAGCTGCAGAGACTTATCTTGCCACCAAGATCTCTCGTTCCACTAGAAGAATCAAAGTGAACAAACTCGAAAAACAGAGCAACTTCAGCGTCACCGTGGAGCGCGACGAGGAGGTCGTGGATACTTTCGACGGCGTCAAGCTCAGTTGGATCCTCCACGTCGACAAAACGGACTTCCGCAACCCTCGTGATCTGAGCTCCAGTTTCAAATCGGAAGTGCGTTACTACGAGCTCAGGTTCAACAAGAAGTTCAAGAACGCGGTTCTTGAATCCTACTTGCCCTTCGTGGTGAAACAAGCCGCTTCGCTGAAGCAAAAGGCCAAGACGCTCAAGATCTTCACTCTCAACTGTTACTCCGCGCAGTGGACCTCCGTTACTCTGGACCATCCTTCCACGTTTCGCACTCTCGCCATGGATCCCGAGTTGAAGAAAGGATTGGTGGAGGATCTCGACTGTTTCGTGCAGCGTAAAAGCTTCTACGAGAGAGTCGGAAAAGCTTGGAAGAGAGGTTACTTGCTGTATGGTCCACCCGGTACAGGGAAATCGAGCTTGATCGCAGCCATAGCCAATCATCTCAACTTTGATATCTATGACTTAGACTTGACATCGGTTAACAGTAACGCTGAGCTAAGGAAGATCTTGATGTCTACTGCAAACCGTTCGGTTCTAGTTGTGGAAGATATCGATTGTTCAATAGAGTTGAAGGATCGGGCTAGTGATGATGATGATGGTAACGATCCGCTGCATAAACGGGTGATCATGATGCATTTTTTGATTCGCTGTCACATTTTTGATTAGATGATGCTTATTTCTAATTTTTTTTTGTTTGGTTGGTCATATCTCAGGTCACACTCTCTGGTCTATTGAATTTTGTAGACGGGCTCTGGTCAAGCTGTGGTAACGAGAGGATTATAGTGTTTACGACTAACTACAGAGAAAAATTGGATCCGGCACTGTTGAGGCCAGGACGTATGGACATGCACATTCACATGTCGTATTGCACACCGGCTGCTTTTAAGGTCTTGGCTTTGAACTATCTCGAGGTTGAAGACCATTTACTTTTCGAGACGATTGAGGGATTCATCAGGGAATTAGAAGTTACACCTGCAGAAGTAGCTGAACAGTTGATGAGGAATGGCTCAGTGGATAATGTACTTCAAGGATTGGTTGTGTTCTTAAATGCCAAGAAAGTTGAAAATGAAAAGAAATTGTCAAAATAGCTTCGAAGAAAACTTATCTTAGAAGCATTTGAGTTGTTATTTTATTTCAATGATAAAGATGCTAAAAGCAAAGTTGAAACAAGTTTCGTAGTCGGTACTCGGTAGCAAGTAACCAAGAAAACGAGTATAGTTGACTGTTGGCTTGTCACTGTTAAACCGTTGACTCCTATTTCGATAAAATAAAGAATCCTGAAACAATTTGCAGAGTAGAAACGAATCAAAGAACCAAAGTTCAGGAGCTTCAGATCCTTATCGTCTCCCTTGTAAGTATTCTCTTACCATAAAGATTGGGTTACTTTTGGTTAGACTCAACTCGAATTTCTCGGATTCTACATGTTTCTTGAAAAAAAAACTGACTATTCAAGAAAATCTTATCTTTTGGATTTCAAGAAATTTTCGACCTTTTAGATACATAAACGACTGAATGATTGCATAGAAATTTTGTAGCAATTAGAGATCTTTGTTGAATTACAGGTCTCGGAAATGGTGGACGCTGTAGTGACGGTGTGTCTGGAGAGAGCCTTCAACATCCTCGAAGAAAAAGGCCGAGTTGTGTCGGAATATCGGAAACAGCTGAAAGATCTGCAGGACGAGTTGCAATATATGCAGTCTTTTCTCAAGGACGCAGAGAGGCAGAAGAGGACGAACGAAGTCTTGCGCAAACTCGTTTCGGACTTGCGAGAATTGGTCTACGAAGCTGAGGACATTCTAGTTGACTGTCAGCTCGCGGATGGCGATGAAGAGGACAACGAGCAAAGACCTTCAAACGCGTGGCTGTCGCGGTTGAAACCCGCCCGCGTTTCGCTGCAGTACAAGAAAAGCAAGCGTCTCAAGGAGATCAACGAGAGGATAACGGCGATAAAGACTAAAGTCGAGCCTTATTTCAAATTCAGAACGCCGAGCAACGTCGGCAGAGATAACGGAACTGATCGTTGGAGCTCTCCTGTGTATGATCATACTCAGGTGGTTGGTTTGGAAGGAGATAAAAGAAAGATCAAAGAGTGGCTCTTTCGATCGAACGAGAGCGAGCTTTTGATGATGGCCTTTGTTGGTATGGGAGGGTTAGGTAAAACCACGATTGCTCAAGAAGTGTTCAACGACAAAGAGATCGAGAGCCGTTTCGAAAGAAGGATTTGGGTCTCTGTGTCCCAGACTTTCACTGAGGAACAGATCATGAGAAGCATACTGCGTAACTTGGGTGACGCGAGTGTCGGAGACGATCTTGGAACATTGCTGAAGAAAATCCAGCAGTATCTTCTTGGGAAGAGGTACTTGATCGTCATGGACGATGTATGGGACAAGAACTTGAGCTGGTGGGACAAGATCTACCAAGGATTGCCTAGAGGACAAGGTGGCAGCGTTATCGTGACGACAAGATCAGAATCTGTCGCTGTAAAGGTTCAGGCGAGGGACAAGACTCACCGTCCGCAGCTACTCAGCTCTGAAAACAGCTGGCTCCTGTTTTGTAAAGTGGCGTTTGCAGCAAACAACGGTTCCTGTGAGCGTCCCGAGCTAGAGGATGTTGGGAAAGAGATTGTAACGAAATGCAAAGGCTTGCCTTTGACAATCAAGGCCGTTGGTGGATTACTTCTGTGTAAAGAGCATGTTTATCATGAATGGAGACGAATAGCAGAGTATTTTCAGGATGAGCTTAGAGGAAACACTTCCGAGAACGACAATGTGATGTCTTCTCTGCAGCTGAGCTACGACGAGCTCCCTTCTCACCTTAAATCATGCTTTCTCACGCTCTCGCTCTATCCCGAAGACTGTGTTATACCGAAACAGCAGCTAGTACATGGATGGATCGGAGAAGGCTTTGTCATGTTGAGAAACGGAAGATCAGCAACTGAATCCGGAGAAGATTGCTTCTCGGGGCTCACGAACCGGTGTCTAGTCGAAGTTGTCGACAAAACTTATAGCGGAACCATCCTCACTTGCAAGATCCATGACATGGTTCGTGATTTGGTGATCGATATAGCAAAGAACGATTCTTTCTCTAACCCGGAAGGCCTCAACTGTCGTCATCTTGGGATTAGTGGAAGCTTTGATGAGAAGCAGATCAAACTTAACCATAGACTGAGAGGCGTAGTGTCAACAACAAAGACAGGTGAAGTGAACAAACTCAACTCAGACTTGGCTAAGAAGTTCACAGACTGCAAATACCTGCGGGTTCTAGATATCTCCAAATCCATTTTCGACGCTCCTCTGTCTGATATTTTAGATGAGATTGCGAGCCTTCAGCACTTGGCGTGTCTTAGCATGAGCAACACACATCCGTTGATCCAGCTTCCTCATTCTATGGAGGAGCTCCACAACCTTCAGATTCTTGACGCGAGCTACTGTCAGAATCTGAAACAGCTTCAACCTTGCATTGTCTTGTTCAAGAAACTCCTTGTTCTTGACATGACAAATTGCGGATCGCTCGAGTACTTTCCTAAAGGAATAGGGAGTCTCGGGAACCTCGAAGTGCTATTAGGGTTTAAGCCATCAAGGTCGAACAACGGGTGCAAGCTAAGTGAAGTGAGAAGCCTCACTAACCTCAGAAAACTTGGTCTTTCTCTGACTCGCGGCGATCAGATCGAAGACGATGAGCTTGATTCTTTGGTAAACCTATCCAAGCTTATGCTCATCTCCATCAATTGCTACGATAGCTACGGAGATGATCTCATAACCAAGATAGATGCTCTCGCTCCTCCACACCAGCTCCATGAGCTTTCTTTGCAATTCTATCCTGGAAAGTCGAGTCCTTCATGGCTGAGTCCTAACTCGCTTCCGATGTTGAGGTACATGTCGATATGCTCAGGTAATTTGGCGAAAATGCATGAACGATTCTGGGGAACTGAGACTAACACTCACTGGAGAATCGAGGGTTTGATGTTAACTTCGTTGTCGGAACTAGACATGGGTTGGGAAGAGCTCCAGAGGTCAATGCCGTACCTTAGGACCGTGCACGCAAACTGGTGTCCGGAGCTAGAGACTTTCCCGATCGAAGATGTCGGCTTTAGAGGTGGGGTGTGGACTAAGACACCACCGCACAGGACCTGATGATGGCACGTATTAAGCAAAATCCGGGTCAATGTTTATGTATCAGCAACGATAAATTGGTGTATTACACAATATACCAACATACAATGTCATGTAGCATATGGCCGTTTAGGATATTTTATCGAAGTTTCCTTTTCTAATAAACATATAACAAAAGAGCAAAAGACAAAACAAAGATGAGACTCTGTGATCAGTCAGAGTCAGAGTCCAGATTCTCTGACGACCTAACCGACCGCCTTATGCTCTCTTGATATTCGGCGTCTTCATCATCTTCCTCTTTCTTCTTCTTGCTGAGCATTCCTGTTTACAGATTTGCACATTCTAAGCAACAGTTCTCTAACTGAGCTCTATGTAAATTACTGAGAAGGTAGATGTGAGGTTCTTCATACCTTTTTTAACCAGAACGTTCTCCAATTTAGTCGTGCTGAAATCGTCCTTTGTGCCCAGATCCTGGAATCCAACTAGCCTATCTACCGCGATTCCCTTACTGAGAATGACAAAGAAAATCACATCTTATCAGTATAAAACCTAACAACAAACCATGTATGTAAGAATGAATCTAAGGAGGCACAACCTGAAAAGCAAAACGCAAGGTAAAGTCTTGATTGCGAGCTTCGCGACAAAGAAAGGAGCATTCTGCATTAAGTCAGCCAAGCATCAGCTTCACAGAACATAAACCGGAAAAGCCATTTCCTTTAACTCTATTTTTTTAACCGAGTGGTTCACTAACCTCTGCGTCCATTTTAATGAACTTTGTGTCCACATGTCTAGGAGCAAGAGTTTTCAGATGCTTGTCCATTATCCTACAATGATGCAGTGCACAAGGTTTGGTTATGAGCTGGAATATTATAAGAAGAACCAAAAAAAAAAGCTGATGGGAGACAGAATCTTACTTGCACCGGTAAAACTCCTTGTGGTAGAAATGACATATCACTTTCTCACTCCTAGTGACTTCGCCCAAGAAATCTCCCTCGCTTACCTCTCGGTACTCCCCATGTCCTTGCCTTTTGAACGCTTCTCTCTTCTCGACTTCTCTCTGTAACAGATAAAATCTTGAAAGGTTAGCTCATACCAACAGATAAGGGCCATAAGGCTCAATACGATGCCAAAGTTATATAACCTTGAGCGATGCAATCCTATCTGCGTGCAGTTTTTCTAGCTCCGGGTCCTACAGAGCATGAGCAAGTAAGTCTGCGTGAATCTCAAATACCGAAAACAAGATAATAAGTCGAACAAGCAACACTGCACTTACATCCATCAGTTCATCAAGATCAACCTCCTCATTGACAGGCTTTGATGATTGCGCCTTCTCGTTTGCAATAACTTCCTGCAAACTCATGTAAAGAAATCATCAGAAACATACAAGTCCTCACAGATTATCTACACAATGTGATTCATACAACTCCTAAAGTTCACAGCTTTTGCAGACATATAAAGGCATTTCAACAAATTATGTTTCCAGGATTTACTCGTAACACAGATCAACCACTTTTTTTTAATAGCATATGGATAAAGCAAGAAACCCACAACGAACATATGCTAGAAACACGAAAAAACTTAGAAATAATCGCACAATTTTCCAAAACCTATAGAAAATGCAAGTATGAAATCGCATTTGATGGGATTTAAAACAATACTCAAGAGAAAATTATATACCTTCTGATAATCTCTAGCAGCTGCCGCCATTACATTTCCGAATGCCAGATTCGAGAGGGTCGACTTGACTGCATCTGGATCCATCTTTAGCACCAAAAGTTCTGAAACACAAAACACGAAAGCATCGGCCAAAATATCTCAAGGATTCAGAAATAGAAAGTTAATAATCCGAGATCATACCTTGTTCAATTCCCTCCTGCTGGGTATTAAAAAAAAGCTTGAGAAAACGAAATCCGAGCTTGATATGAACAATTTTAAATCTGGAGCGGAAAAAAAGAAATCCCAAAATCAAAAGATGAACATCAAAGGAGGAAAGACACAAAGGAAACGACGGCGTTTGCGCGGTGGAATATCCTTTAGGGCTTCCGTTTCAGCTCTATGGGCTTTCAAGGCTGTGCGAAAAAACCCATAAGGCCCAAATTAAAAGAGGTGTGTGGCAGTGGGTTTATTCTCGGATACGTGTCGCTAATACACTACACCAACGTCTTACGTAATCCCCACGTGTCTCTCTCTAACGAACACTGGTTGTTTTTGATACATGATTGATTTGATTGATTCCTATCCAAAATCATGGGTCTCTATAAAGGCATCATTCACGAGCTTCTCAATCTTCATCTAGAAGAAATTTGTCTATATTGTTTATCTATAAAAAGCGAAAGGAATTAAACTTTTGGTTGGAGAGGAAAATGGAGTCATACCAGAACCAGTCCGGAGCGCAGCAGACAGGCCAACAGCTTGACCAATTCGGAAATCCAGTACCAATCGGCACCGGAGTCTACGGAGCTCCGGCCATGGCTGGTGGTCATCACACGGAAGGTGGTGGTTTGAGTGGCCTGCTTCACCGCCCTGGAAGTAGCTCCAGCTCTAGCTCGGTACCAAACTTCCTATATACAAACTTACTTAACTTTACATTTTTTATATACAGCTAATCCTATTGTATTGAAAATGCTTAGGGTTTGAGTCGTACTTAAAATTACATTTAAGTCGTCAGTCAATGTCGATATCAAGTTGATTCATAATCTTACAGAGCTATATTGGACAGAGTATTTGTATCGGCTAATCTAGTTGTGTGTTTGGATTTGGGTCATTAAATTTTGGGGATTAAATTTTTATATATGATTTCTAGTTAAGGGTTTACTTTACGTACGTCTATGTTTTGAACTCTGAATTTTATGGCCGGTCTTCGTCTTTCTTCCCCATTTTGCATTAATAGAAAAGAAAAAAATCTGGGAACACAAAAAGGACCCCAAGGAAAAGTCATAGAAGTGATAGTTTGCGTTATCTTAATTTGTTTTGTTACGATCTTAATATTTAAATTTTAAAATATATTATATGGAGAGTCTTGCAAAATAGTATTACACGCGCGTGTGCATGCAGGAGGACGATGGACTAGGTGGAAGAAGGAAGAAAAAGGGAATAGCGACGAAAATTAAGGAGAAGCTGCCAGGTCATCATGGGTCCCACCAGACTTCTTCAGCGACGGGAACCACGACGGCTTACGATACTACCGGCACCGGCGTCGTTCACCACGAGAAGAAAGGCATGTTGGAGAAGATCAAAGAGAAACTTCCCGGTGCTCATCACTAGACTTGTTTACATCAACTTTCTTGCATGTGCTAAAGTAATTAATATGTATCGTGTAATAATATAACAACGTGGCTTGGCTTTGTAAGGCACATAAGCGTTGGCTCGTTGCATACATGCATGTGATATAATGTAATTGACGGGGGTCATGGACTCTTTTCATTTCATTTATGGCTTTTGCTTTCGAATTGTTTGGAAGTGGATACAAATCAAGGTTCGTAGCGCACGGACCGATTTCCGAGTCCATCGGCATCTCCCATTTTAATTAACAAAGAGATATTTGACGTTTCCTATACGGTCAATGCAAAGAAAGGAAAACCAAAATTGCTTAACATATCATTTACGCCAACATATAATTGGAATACGTACGGGCTATATATAGAAGTAGCAAATCCGTTTTTCGAACAAACACTCGCATATTTAATGTGTTTATCTGTCTAAAAAGCTAAGTCTTCCTCTATAAATTAAATGAAACCATGCATTCATCACTCCCACAGGAAATCACTAGAATCGCAAGTGAATAAAAGAATCAAATGGCAAAGTCAAGGACGTGCATTGTTCTGGCCCAAATCTCCCTCATTGCCTCGTTTCATATTTCCATGTGTTATCAAACCAACGAATGCACGAGCACGGCCTCTCTCTCCCCTCAGTTTTAAGACAACTCGTGCCCAAAAGCACAAACCATCGTTCAATCTCTCGTCGCCAAAGCATACTCCGATGACCCTCGCATGGCTGCCTCGTTGCTTAGACTTCATTTCCATGACTGCTTCGTCAATGTTTGACATATGATAATCTCTTCTTAAAGCTTATTAAATGTTTGATATGAATATATGGATAAATAGGCAGTCTTAATATATGGATATTGCTTGCTTTTTGGGTGGTGCAGGGATGTGATGGTTCAGTATTATTGGACAGTTCCGGAACCATGGAAAGCGAGAAACGATCAGACTCAAACAAAGACTCTGCTAGAGGGTTCGAAGTCATCGACGATATCAAGTCTGCCTTGGAAAATGAATGTCCTCAAACAGTTTCATGTGCTGATCTTTTGGCTCTCGTCGCTAGAGACACCACTGTTATTGTAAGTCAATTCCCGTAACACGAGACGATCACTAGGATTAATATACTAATTTTACAAACACACGTTAATTAATTCAATTATATCTATATAACAGACTGGTGGACCGAGTTGGGAAGTATATCTAGGAAGAAGAGACGCAAGAGAAGCAAACTTGGTTGGTTCCAACAACAACATTCCTCTTTCCAACTCCACGTTTGAGACCCTCGTCACCAAGTTCAACGTTCGAGGACTGGATCGCACCGATCTGGTTGCTCTCTTAGGTAATATACTAGTTAATACACCCGACCGAGTCAGGATCTAACTATAACAGGGTTTAAGAAATGATGGATTGCATCAATGTAATTATTTGAAATGAAATGAGTTTACGTTTCTTAAAACTAATGTTAAGCTATTGGTTTCATAGTATTAATCAAGAGCATAGATAAATATTTTAAGTAGTGATATGTGTAAAACATATATATCGATTAAAGTTTTAAGGGAAAATCAAGAAAATTGTTAAAAACATATAACTTAAGAATAAGCTAAGTCTGCTACAATTACAATACAACATTTCCAAGTATATAATCTAGCTTTACGGTGTAGGGTCATATATACCATTTTGTTAATTTGACCAAAATGTATACAGTATACTATTTTGTATAAATATGGTATGATATAATTTGTCCCAATTTTAGCATCAACTCTCCTAACGTATTGCCAAATGCCAACCATATATTCCAACATGGAAACACATTAACAAGTATTGTAACTTTTAAAACTAATAAACCATGATTTGAATGTATAGGAGGTCATACGATAGGAAACTCAAGGTGCAAGAGTTTCCGACAAAGGCTATACAACCATTCTGGAAACAGCGATCTTGATAAGACTTTAAATCAAAACTACGCCTCTCTGTTGCAGCAGGAATGTCCTATTTCCCGTGACGACCAAAAGCTCTTTGCTCTCGACTATGTGACGCCGACCAAGTTTGACAATTACTACTACAAGAACCTGATGACGTTTAAAGGACTCTTGAACTCTGATGAGATTTTGTTCACAAAGAGCACAGACTCCATGGAGCTGGTCAAGCTTTACGCGGAGAATGAAGAAGTGTTCTTTGAACAGTTCGCGAAATCGATGGTGAAGATGGGTAATATCTCGCCCTTAACGGGGGATAATGGTGAGATCCGGAGGATTTGCCGGAGGGTTAACCATGAAGACGTTTAGTTGAGACTCATTATTGAATAAATTAAAGTCATACGGGTTTGATTAACGTTTCTTGATTTCTTGATTTGATTTCTATTGTTCTTGTTTTACTTTAATGATTTTGGTATTGGTTGTGATATATATATATATATATATATATATATCTGTGATTACCCAAAATATAATCTTTTTTTTATTGCCAGTGAGTTTTATATATATATATATATATAATCGTAACTTTCCGCTTAAAGATTTGGAATTTTGCCTATTTATCAACAATGCATATGTTGACATGACAACTGCATTAGGTACAAAATCGTTCTCGAATTTACGTATCTAACCTAAATGCTACAAGTATGTAGGCTTATTTAAGGATTCCGAAAACTTTATGGGTGGTCTTCTAACATTTAACCTAGCCTTTTCTTTGGATAACTAATTTTGTTTTATCTTAAAGCTTCTAATATTTTTCACACGTCTGTTCATACTTTATATGCACAAATTCAAATTGGCTTCTTATTCCTGATGAACATAAACAATAAAAAATAGAATATTACATTACTTACACTATAAAGTATTAACCATTATTATAACGACCACGCTCGGGTTTTATATTCTCCGATACACATCAGTAGTTTTACTTAAGAGCATCATGGAACTATAAGTTTCAGCAACCAAGAAAGAAAATACTATAAATTAAGGCCATAATACATCATGACTTTACTCTGTTGTGTGTTGTAACTTGTTTAAGAATGAGAGAATCTCCTCTGAGACTTGTTTGGACTTCTCCTGCTGGATAAAATGATGACCATCCTCAATAACAACCACCTCAAGATTAGGTACGATACTCTTGAACATCTCTCCTTTCACGTACTGCATTGTTCCCATTGGTCCTTCGTTTCCGATATCTTTGTTTCCCGCGATAAACTTAGTTGGTACAAGGATCTTGGAGTCTTGCCACGGCGCCAATATCTCCCAATTCCTGTAAATTTTTACTCAGTTCAGTTACTTGATTCTGTGAACAGGAAGGACTCGAGATAATTAAAGAGAGAAAGTGAAAGTTTACAAATCCATGGCTCTGTAGTAATTCAAAGGCCCTGTGAATCCAGATCTCTGAAACTTGTCTGCATACACTTGAATCTCTTCCTCGGTTATCCAATCTGGAAGCGTCGATGGTATCTCAAGATGATCGATGATCTCTGTATCAGGAGGAGCCACCAAGTAACCTGTTGTCGTTACCGTCAAGAACTTCTTCATAACCGTTAAGCAATCATGTTTTGCAAATGAAGCCTCCGCTCTTCCAGGTTTCTTGTGAATAAAACAGAACCAAGAAACTGAATCTAACCGACGAGGACGATAGAAACATTACAAATCTTGAAAGTAGTTTAGGGTTTTACCTGAAACTGAGAGATGTATAAACCATCTCCAAAGCTTTTGAAGAACTCGGAAGGTTTGAGTTTTGGGTCTCTTGGAAAATATGAAACAGAGAGACTTATGAAACCTTTGACTCGGTCTGGTCTAAACAAGCACAAAATCCAACCTATGATCGCTCCCCAGTCATGACCAGCCACAAAAGCCTACAACAGTAGAAAAATGTAAACTTCGTTCCAGTAAGCAAATCTAAATTCTAACCGTTGGATTCTCAAGATCCGTATATTACCTGAGTAGTGCCGTAGTGGTCGAGCAAACCGATGACATCAGCGACGAGGTGGCTCACAGTGTAAGACTCATGGCTCGGAGGAGAGTCGGAGCTAGCGTAGCCTCTGAGATCTGGAGCGACTACGTGGTAGCCATGGCTCGACAAGAAATCGATCTGGTGTCGCCACGAGAACCATGTCTCAGGGAAGCCATGGAGTAGCAGAACCAAAGGCCCGTCCTTGTCTCCTTTCTCAGCCACGTTTAACCAAATCCCGTTGCTCTTAATCCTCTGTTCTCTCACTTCGCTCGTCATGATTCTTGATCGATGAGAGAGAGAGAGAGAGTAGTGGATTAATCAGCCACCAAAGAAGACTTTTATTACAGAAGATTGAGATTTAGGAGTTCACAGAAAACAATGGGTACACGTGGCAGAGAAAGAGAGACCAAAGCCTATGGATTACACGTGTCGTGATTCAGAAATCTTGTATGTTTCAATCTCTTTGAGGTGCCGTGAATAAAAGAATGTCGACAAGTTCATGAAAACGAGAAACGCATGACTGAATATAAAGACCAGAAACATTCACGAATCTCTCGGTTCTTTCGACAAAGTCTGCAGACGACAAGGGCGAGTGTCTCAGATAAACACAACAAGAAAAGAAAAGAAACCATTTTAGGATTATTCTATGTTTGGTTGAATGAAATGAAAGCAATTCAAGAAGACATTGATTTCTTCTTCTCTTCCTCGAGCTGCTCAAGCTCCGCCAGTCTTTCTGTCCATGCCCGGTCCCTTGCTACAGCGGCCATCTTACGCTCCACTTGCTTGATTCTCTTCTTCCTCTTCGCCTCTTGCACCAGAGCTTGCCTCTTCTTTTTCTCAGACTGTGAAAGTATTCAGAAGGACTCCATCTCATTAGATAAACGACATTACTCTTAACTGTAAACAAAATCTATAAGAAACATCGCACACATTGTTTCACCAAGAAACAGAGCAATAGAGACGGTTACTTCGGTTTATTTAAGTTTACACATTTTTCCTATCTTCTCATTCTCTGGAATCAACATTTCAAGATTTCTCATCTAATACTTATCCTTACAATCAGCAGAAATAACAACACCCTGATAATGTCGAAACATTGTCTCGCCAAGAAATGGAACAAAACAGAGAAGGCAAGATCAGCTTTTCACACATTGTTCTCATTCGTACAATCTATGCATTCAACATTCCAAGATCTCTCATCTAAAGTTTGTTCCAACAATCAGCAGATACTACAACACCTTAATAACGTTGAGATTAAGCAAAACATCAAAAAGGCTTCAATTTTCTTAAAAAGAAACTTGAAAGAAACAACACAAACCAGTATAAAGGCGCGTCGCTGACCGATGCGCTTCCTCGCGTTCCTTCTTGTCACACTTCCCTTGTTGGGATTGTTTGAAGCGATTGGCTCGCCAGGTGTGTACTGAACATATGCATACGGCCCTGCATTTTCCTCAAATCGGTCATTCATCAAACCAATTCCACCATAGATTATATTACATTCTCTGTCTAATGTCTATATCAAATTTTTTTCAGCAAGAACACTCATGTCGAGCTTTACCACAAGCACATTCCCACTTAGAGTACACTGTACACGAGATCGATACTAAACCTAGTTACACAGACTTTTACGCAGAAGAAAGAAACCCACAAAATACGATTTAAACTGCACAAACAAAATTCCTTGTGAAGATTACACTAACTCGACTTTAATCACACAACACTCATCCCCAATTTCACAAACAAAGCATCAATCTTAGGGCTACTTACAATGTCTAAGACTAACAATGAAGCTTGATAGAAACACAAAAGTGATGAATAATCGATATAACAACAAAATGACAAACCTGGAGGTTTCAGTTTGAATCTCTTCTTCTTGGGATGTGCCATGGGTCGTCTCTTCGGAAGCCGAGTATCAGTCAAGCTTAAGCTATGAAAATGGTTGGTCAAAGGAATCCATGGCGACCTCAAATGCCTCGATCCACCGAAGAAGGAGCATAACTCGGGCTTCGCTGCCGGAATCGTCGCAGGGAACGGCCCAGACGAGCAGCTTGCGGCGGCACGCGAAACTAGGGTTCTCGACAATGGTCGAAAAATCGATCTAATTGCACCGAAACCCATTTCACCAAAGCATCAGCAGAACAGATTGCGATCAAAAAGCTGCTTGATTATCCGATTTAAGCTTCCGAATTTCACCTGGTTCATACCAAAGGCTGATGAAACATGAAACGAAGGACTCGATAAACCCTGAATTCCACACTCTACAGTCCACACTAATGGGCCTATAAAGTGTAATTGGGCTCATGAATGCGGTGTTAGAGTACTTGTGAAACAAATACGAATAGGCCCATTACATGTACAATATTTTTTTTCGAATAAACTAAAATTATGGAGATTATTGTTTTAAAAATCCCATTCATTTATTTTTTTCTTGTGGAGAATATATGTTTTCTTTTTTCCGGTTTGTCGACAGAGAATATATGTGTTTATTGTGTAAAGATATAGTGTAGTTATGGAGCTAGAGAGAGACTTGCGTTGTAATTTCAAACCAATAAATAATTTGGATGAAAGTATGCCACATAGAGAAAGACAATATTACACAATTAACGACACGAATGCCAAACTTGGAATCCTTAAATGTAATATATAGATATGGTTACCATATAGATATAGATTGAAATATCCAATATTAAATCAATCGAAAACCAGTATAAATATATATACACCACTCTCGTTCATTTTGCAAAGAAAACACAAACCTTGCAAACTCATATAACTACTCCATAAATTTCTTCACGAGTTCATAAAAGCTAACAACAAGCATGTTTTCTTCAAGTCGTCAAACATCTACAAGGCTGGTCCGTTTTCAATCTTATCATTACATATTCATAATCTTCATAAATATGTATACTAAGATTATATTCGAATGTTTTCTCTTGCAGACTTGTGGGTTCAAAGTGAACACCAGCTCACCGGAATGGCACAAGAGCATGACGAAAATCCTCAAGAAAATCAAAGGTTTGTTTTGTTTTTCACTAACATAAAACTATTAAATATCTTTTTTTAACGAAAATTGCTTTTGGGAATTTAGGAGGTAACTTTTGGATAGACGTGGACGAAGGAATGGCATATGTAACGGGTCAAGGAGATCCAAACAAGCTATTGAAGCTGATGGGTTCGAGGAGAGGCAAGGATGCTGAAATGGTGTTTGTGAAAACAGGAACGACACAACATCCTCAAAGCTCTTATTACGGCCAATCATCAGCGCCTTATTGGCCGTCCGATATGAGCTATATGCAGCCTTCAACGTATCAGCCTTCGTCGTATCAAGGGTTTTACCCTCAGACGCAGGCGATTCAACCTTACTATCAACAACAATATCCATATTCCAGTGGATATAGTAATAACTACGGTTATTATTAGGTGGTATGAGTTGGTTTTTTTATATTATATAATTAGGTCTATCGAGATCGAGCAAAACCCTGTTTTTTTAAACTATAGGTTTTTTTTTTTGCTTGTATCCGAAAGACGATACTTTTTTTTTGTGCTTTAGCGGATGAATATCCCATTCTCTCTGCTGTTTATTTGTATCAGCAGATCGAGGAGAATTGTTTTTATTTTCTTTGTCTCTTTTGGAACTTTTCATTTTATCTTGAATCCGATGACTATAATGATGTTGCGGTTCATATAAAAAGTTATAAGATTATACCAAACTTGGATGTTTCAACTTTCAAGTTTGCGTTTTGTGTTACTTTCCGTATTTTTCATGGATATATACTGTATATTGCTTCGCGAAGTATCTTTTATTCTTTTACACTTTAATCTTGCAGAGCGAATTTCTTCATTTCCTTAGATGACGGATTTATTAGTAACAAACAGAAATCATGAAAGTCACTGTTTTATTCGTGTAGAACCTTTTGGTAATAATATAATATCACAGAATCCCAAAAACAAATCTGTCTTGATTCTCTCCAACGGAAAGTTTTCAACTGAAATTGTGATCCACTTGATTTTCGGATAATTAATTATTATCCTCTCGTTAAACATATAGCATTGCAACCAAACACGATTAATGATCTTTCTCATATTCATCGCTCAAAAGCAAACGGTCTTTTATTTTACGGCCATTGCGATAATAGTAATTTTTTTTTTGTCAAACGGTTGTATTAAGAGAGTTTTCAAACTTGGCCTAGTGGGCCTAAAGTAAAATGGCTGCCTTAGCGAGCCTGTCTGCAATTATATTTTCGTTACGGTCTATGTGGCTGAAAGATAGGGAGATGAAACGAGAGGCAGGACTTCTGATGTCATCGAGAATGTCTGCAATCTCAATCATTTCAGATCCTGATGAGAGGATGTTGATGAGGACTTCCGAGTCCGAATGCATGTGGAGGTCTCTGATGCCGAGTGTGAGAGCTTCTCGAATTGCTGCAAAGATGGCTAAAGCTTCGGGTATCAGCGCAGATGCTATGAATCGTCTTGCCGAGGAGTTCTGGGTCAGCTTGGAGCCCAAAGGGTCGAGGAGTATCCATCCCATGCCCCCGGCCTTGTCCTTGGAGTTCCAGGCACCGTCTGTAAAGCAGACCAAGGCTGTGGGGCGGAGAGGGTGGCTTTTTACTACTCGAGGGGTCTTCTGAGGAGGCTCTTTGTAGTTGTTTGCTGTTTGCCAGTGGTGGGCTTCCACTAATGGTCGCATCACCAGTTCTTGACTTTCGGTGCCAGCTGCTTCAAACACGAGCTTGTTCCTCGCTTTCCAGAGGTACCAGAGGATCCAGGGGTAGATCGGGGTGATCACTCCTGTAACCGGGATGTTCTTGGTCCTGTATAGCGATCGGAGGATGCTCTTGGGGTCCGAGTTCATCAGAGCTGGGGACGGAGTTGGTGAAGTTGGAGTTTGAAGCCAGACTGCTTAAGCAAAGGGGCATTCGAGCCAGATGTGGGCTATTGTTTCTGTCAGGCCACATCTCGGGCAAGCGGTGTTAGCATCAATTCCACGCTAGGAGAGATTGACGCTCACTGGGAGGGCCCTGTTTGAAGCTCTCCACAGGAAATGTTTGATCTTTGGGGGTGTGTGAAGATTCCATATGAATTGGTACCAACTGAAATCTGAGTCACCCATTAGGTTGAATCTTTTTTGTAGATTGTACCCTATTTTTGTTGAGAATAATCCTGATTTTGCAGGCAGCCAGACCAGTGTGTCCTCCGGTTTCCGTGAGCTTGGTATGATTTGTTTGATCATCTCCTCATAGTGAGGTAAGTGATCTTTTATCGCTTCCACATTCCATTCGTTAGAGTCGTGGTAGAGCAAGTCTTGGACTGACAGGGTGATGTTCTCTTTGGTAGGAGGACCATAGGGCGCTTGTGGGGATGTGTTAGAGAGGCAAGGGTCTCTCCAAACGTTGATGGTGTTTCCATTGCCCACTACCCATCCTAGGCCTTTCCTGAGGACAGTCCTTCCTTCCAGGATTCCTTTCCATCCGTGGGATGCTCTGGGTATACAATCAACATCCATGAAACCTTTTTCGTTGCAGTATTTCCCTAGCAGCACTTTCGCTAATAAGCTGCCTTGTTGTTTCAGGAGTTTCCAGCTTTGTTTCGCCAAGAGGGCTACATTGAATTCTTCGATTTCTCTAAAGCCTAAACCTCCCGCGCGTTTCGGCTGTGCTAATCTTGACCATGCCACCCAGGAGATCTTTCTTCTGTCCGGTGAGGAGTTCCACCAGAATCTGGTCAGAATGGATTGAATTTTCTTGCACAATGATTTGGGGAGCTTGAAGCAGGTCATGGTGTACGTCGGGAGAGCTGAAAGCACTGCTTGGAGTAAGACTTGTTTGCCTGCTCCTGAGAGGTATCTGGTGGTCCAGGTATGAGCTCGCTGTCGGATGCGATCCACCAGTCCAGTAAAGATATCCTTTTTCCTCCTCCCGAAGTTCTCGGGTAATCCCAGGTATTTCTCTGACCCTCCTTCCTTTTCGATACCTAGAGATTTTTTCACTCTTGCTCGGACCTCGTGAGGAGTTTTTGCCGAGAAGGTAATGGATGACTTAGCAAGGTTTATACATTGACCCGAGAGTTTTTCGTATGCTTTCAGGATTCTGGTCAGCTCTGTGCAGCATTTTGCATTTGTCCTGCAGAAGAAGAGCGTATCATCCGCGAAAAGGAGGTGGTTGATGTGGGGGCTTCTACGGGCAACCTGGATTCCTTTTAGTCTTCCAGATTCTTGTGCCCTGGAGCATAGGCCTGAAAGGACTTCTGTGCAGAGGATAAATAGGAATGGGGATAGGGGATCTCCCTGTCTCAGACCTCTGGTAGGGAGCACTTTCCCGTTGGGGGATCCGTTGATAAAGAAGGAGTATGACACGGAAGTGACGCATTCCATTATCCAGTTCACAAAGGTAATGTGAAAACCCAGTCTACATAAAACTTCTCTGAAAAAACTCCATTCTATCCTATCGTAAGCCTTGCTAAAGTCGGTTTTGACTACCATTGAGCATCTTTTTGTTGCCTTTGATGATTTTAGATAGTGCAGGGTTTCATGGGTTATCAGCACGTTATCCGCTATGGCTCGTCCGGGAACAAAAGCTGATTGGTGTTCAGAGATGAGGGTGTCCAGGATCGGTTGGAGTCTGTTGGTTAGGATCTTTGCTATGGTTTTGTAGCAGGTGTTGCATAGGGCTATCGGTCGGTAATCAGCTGGTTTTCTCGCTGCAGTATTTTTTGGCAGAAGACAAATATGGGTGTTGTTGAGGTTCTGCTCCATGCTTCCCGTGCATAAGAAGTTTTTTGTTTCTTTGCAAATGTCTTCTCCTATTATGTTCCAGTATGAGTGGTAGAATCCCGCCGAGAAGCCATCCGGCCCAGGTGCTTTGTCTGCGTGGATATCAAAGATTGCCAATCTAATTTCTTCATAAGAAGGTAAAGCGATGAGTTTTTCATTCATTTCCTGCGACACTTTGACATTCAGAGTTTCTGACACTTCATTAAATTCCGAGGTACCATTGGAGGTGAAGAGTTCCTGGAAGAAAGATGAGAACACTTTGCCTATTTGTTCTTCTTCATAGGTTTCTTCTCTCTTATCATTTTCGATTACCGTGATACGGTTTGCAGCTCTCCTTCCTTTCGTGACTGCGTGAAAATATGCTGAGTTCTTGTCTCCTTCTTGTAGCCATTGTACCCTGTTTCGCGATAATAGTAACTTTTTAAAAAAAAGTGTAAAAAAACTTTAAGCAATAGATCTACTAGATGTCAGACTCAATAAATTCACTAGTCACAATCTTTTCAGATGAGATTAGATCCGCCATCATCTTAAGAGAGTAATAAAGTAATCAACTCAACATGATAATAGTATGAAAAGCTAAGAATATTAGAAAAAGCTTAAGCCAAGTGATAGATAGGTCCCAACCAAAGCAAGAACAAGAATAACTAGAGCACTATTTTATTAGGCAAAATCAGTCTGTTTCCATAATATATAGAGATTAAAACCTATATTAGTGGAAGCAAAAGTAATCATAGAAAAGCAACTAATGTTCTCCAAAACTCTCGAAACATATTCGATTATCATGCAATAAAGAAATTGTATTCAACCAAATATTTGAGTTTAATATGATTTTAGATAGTTGTAATGATTAAAATTAGCAAATTGTTATAAATTGTTAATAAAAGTCTCTATAATCTTATTTAAAATAATCGGATTTTCGATATTCATATTTTTAATAAGCAGCATCTTGAACTGAAGCCATTGAAAACAATGTTTTGAATGTTTTCAATAATTAAGTGAATTTAAATGTAGTTTTTCAAACACTGTTTCAAAAGAATTAGATTTTAAGAAAATAAATTAACAAAACTTTTAAGTTATAATCAATAGCAATAGATTTACCGGATGTGCAAAATAAATAAGATTTTAAGAAAATAAATTAACAAATCTTTTAAGTTATAATCAATAGCAATAGATTTACCGGATGTGAATTTTAAAAATTCACTAGTAGTCACAAACTTAACAGATGAGACTAGACCGGAATCATAACAAAAAGGGAATTACAAAGTTATAACATCCCAATATATATTAGTAAAATGTTTAGAAAGCTATCATTAAGCCAAGTGTTTGGCAATGGTGGACTGAAGCTCATCTTTCTTGGCTCCAATGACTTTGTCCACAATCTTCCCTTCTTTCATGAACATGAAGGTTGGCATCGCCTCTATCGCCCAGTCACTTGCCACTGACTGTTCCATCAAAAACAAAAAGAAGATTGTTGAAGCTCATTGGATTCAAGAAATCAAGCAAAATCTCCAAGACGAAGAGAGAGTTTATTTTGGTTTATTTTACCTTCAACTCGTCAGTATCAACCTTTAGGAAAATCACATTGGGGAGTTTCTTAGCCAGATCAGCAAAGAATGGAGCTATGAAACGACACGGTCCACACCAAGAAGCCGTGAAATCAACCACCACCTTCAACAATTAACCAATCATGAATCGTTTTCAGTGAACAAATCAAAATTAACATTACTGTTAATCACATCTTAAATCATATATAAAGCATGAATCCAAATCGAAACCAATGTCATTCATCTTCAGGGTAAACATTTTTTTCTCGTGATCTAAACCAATGTCATTCATTTTCAAGAAAGAACAAGGATTTTAATTGTTATGTACGTACGTACTGTCGTCCCATATATGGTGGTACTGGTATCAAGCATGAATCCAAATTGAAATTATTAACGCATCATAATGTGAGATATTGAGATTATGAAGCAAGCAGCACAAACAAAATCAAAAACCAATGATAGAGGGACAAAACCCGTATCTGAACAAAACAAGATCAAATCAAAAACCAAAAAAAAAAAAAAGTTGGGAGAAGAAGAAGGAAAAAGGGAGAGATTACAAGTGCTTTGGAATCATTTCCCTTCTGGAGTTGCTCGTTCCATGACTCGACGGTGTGGCACGCGATCACTTGTCCTTCTTCCGCAGCCATTTTCGGTCTCTTTCTCTTTGTCTTTTCGTCTCTCTGTCTTGATCTGTTCTATTTCTTGATTTCTTTCCTCCTTTTGTGTGTTTCAATTACTTAGCATGCTCTCCCTTTTCAAATACTGTATAATCCCCTTAGAATCACCTACAAATCACAATCTTGCCACCAATATTTTTCTTTATTGGACGCGTGATTTTGTTTCCCATAATTACACCTTCCAAATATGCTACTTTCCTGCTTTGCCCAAATCATAAATATTCCCCACTTTACTCAAATTATTTTTTTTTTTTCTGACAATTTATATCTTTTATGAGTTTTATAACACAAAAAAATCATAAAATTAGTGACAAAAGACCTTGCCATTATCCACCAGAAAAACAATCGAAATGATGAAACTTTTATATTACAACCGTCTTAATCCGTCCCATTCCGATAAAAAAAATGTTACCAGCCAGATCTAAAGCTGGATCAGTTTCTTGAAGCAATAGGTTCCCATGACGAACCAACCGGTAAGCAAAACCGCTAGGATCGAGCAGGAAGCTATGAAACTCCAGCCACCTAGTAATATCCCTATAGCGTAGATTACAACTGTAGGCAACAAAGACTTAACCATCGCTGCTTTGCTCACCCAACGTCCCTTGAGGAACACGAGCGCCGCGAGATTCACCACGTTCCACCCGCCTGACCTTACCGCTAAACGGTTCAGGTTGTTGGCGACAAAGGAGTGACAGTTGCAAGTGAATATGTTGTACGAGTGGTGTTGGTACTCTTGTATGCCTTTTCTCAGTGCATCATCCCATGTTGGCTCTCTCTCACGAGTGTCTTCTTCTTCCTCGTATCTGCTCTCCCCATTGAACATATGAGAACCGGAAGTAAAAGATGATTCCTGATTTAAAAACCCAAGGCCAAATGTGAGAAAAGTTGTTATTTTTTTGCAGCAAAAGGGGGGAAAAAATGAAAGCCAGTACCTTTTCCTTGTTGATTTGGATGTATCGAGAGACGGCTCCAAATGCAAAGTTATCAACGCAGACGAAATTAGGTCCTGCAAAGTCGAGGATGACACCGTCTTCTCTGCAGATACCCACGTGGCCGATGAAGGGAACCAGCCATGAGATGAAGGGGAGAGGCGTCCACACGATGCAGCATGGGAACCGATCTCTTCTGGGATCAATCTTCATGGGATTATCTGCAAAGCCCATCATCATGCGATGCTCTGAATCTGTTGTTGTCTCTCCCATTTCCAAAAGGGTTTTGTTTTTTTTATTCCTCTGTTCGTTGAACAGCATGTTCAGTGATCCAAGGATAAAGTAAAAGACTCAACAATAGAAGTTCTCAATACTCGAACAGCTGATTACCATTTACATCGCACCCAAAAACATACCGAGCTATAAAAGTACACTCTATAGTTATAGCAAGAGAATGTTCTTGTGCAAAATCAAAACTCGTACAAATCCACAGAAATCTGGAAAATCACAAGGGTTTTCTATAAACAATATCTAAACAGTGAAAACCAACAATGCCAAAGACTTAAAGCATCACGGAGTAATCATCAGAGCATCTCATAGACAAGGATTACTGAATTTTTTTCATAGAGAATAGATCAAAGCGTACCAGTTTAAGTGGCGAAGACGAAGGATGTAATCATGAACTATACCCAAATTCTTCTTCGTTGAGACGAAAAACGGCGAGCAGAAATTCGTCGTCACTGGGAATTTTGATTTTCTCTAGAATCCCCAAATTGGATACGAATGGTGGTTAATGGACATGTTTGGCTCCTTCAATTGTACTAATCCTCTCTAAGGATATCTATACCGTCTTGGGGATAGTAATATCTCCACTCCCGAGAAAAGAGAAAAGAGAAAATAGACGACATAACGTTCGATCTAGTAAAATGTGAACGGCAGGATGTTTACTTATGAAACGACTTGTACGACATCATTTTCAGACGACTATAGAGTCTATTGAGTTTGGTTTATTCTACGGTCTACCTACGACATAATCCTGAGTAAATATGGAGGTATATGGGAGATACACAAAAAAAGGCTTGTTGAAGAAGCCCCCGGCGAGGATCGAACTCGCGGCCTTTCGCTTACGAAGCGAACGCAATACCACTATGCTACGGAGGCATCACGTCCATCTATAGCTTGGTTTTAATATAACCAAATCAATGAAAGAGAATATAAGGTTTTCAATTACTGATTTATAATTATAAGTGATTAACCATAAACTAAATGGGCTCTAGTCTAACATATGGTTTCTTGATGTACGCAAAATGTTATGAAATTAGAAGATCATGAGAAGAACCACTGTGAATTCATCATTGTAATAATACTCACAACCGAAGAAGAATAATTTTGATTTCTGACTAAACATTCATCGTTTCTAGACAAGACAAAAATGTCGAACAAAATTAGTTCTTCTCCAGGAGCAGCAAAAAGCCGTCTTACGTGATTCTCTTATCTTCTATGCTTTGACATACTTGTCTACATAACCCTGCCAAAACAAAAACAAAAATGAAAAACATGATGTCTCTGGTTCGGTAATGATGGATTTTGGGGAGAGTGTGCCAAAGCTTTTACGTGTTTCTTACCATGACGAGTTTGGTCAGCTTGTGCTGCGAAGTACCAATGTACTTGTCGATCTTAGCTCTTGATTTGGGTACACGACGACCCTCCATTGAATTCGAAACTTTATCCACTGCTCTCTTCACAATCGTCTTAAACGCCTCTTTGCTCATATTCCCTTGCCTCCACGATGGTTTCAGAAGATCCTTAACGAATTTCGTTAGCACGACCTTGAAAAGCTTCATGGACCTTGACGAATCTTTCTCCTTTGGATCCCCTCGAGACTTCTTCCTCGTGCTGTCACCTTCGCATACATTGTTATTTGCCTTCGGATTCTCGTCGTGGGAGTCTGGAGTCCCGGTCTCATGGCTGTTACCTTCTCTTCCGTTTTCTGCATTCTCACCAAACTCATCGTCATCTCCAGATACCACTGCTCCATCTACAGTGATGTTTTCTTCAACGTCAGGTGGTTTGTTGGAGGAAACACTGACCCGACCTGTCACGTCTGACTCACTCAGAGCTTGTTTATCAACACCTAGGTTGTTTTCTTCCATATTCACTGGCCTGTTTGAGGAAATGCTCGCCTTCGGTTCAGTGTACGAGTAGTGAACTGGTTCATGCTCTACTTTCACAGAGGCTGGTTCAAAGCTGTCCACGAAAGGATCATACATGTCGCCGAGAACGCGTTCTGGAACAATCTTGGCTCTTCCTGAGTAAGGCGAGGAAGAAGCTTGTCTGGAACCATCATCTGTATCTTGGTGCATTTGAGCATATGGTTTTGACAGAGGAAGAAGCTCTGTTTGAAAATTCATGGCGACGCCTGTGATAGAATCGGTTTCAGGTAGCGGCTGTTCTGTGTTTAAGTATGCCCCGGGAACTTGATGAGAACCACAGTTTAGAGGTTGGCTTGTGTAATTCTCATCCTCAGGCAGCGTGATATCATCTGAAAATAGAAAGAAGCCAAAATGTAGCAAAAGGTTAAACAAAGAAAGCACGCAAAACTGGTATTGGCCATAAAGTGTCAAACTTTCCCACACGAACCTTCCATCTCAATGTCAGGATCACTACACGAAGGAGAAGCGATCTCATGTGGTGGAGAAGATTCATCACAATGGTTAGAACTCTCAGTTAAGGATTTAGCGTCTTCAAGAGCTACGCCATTCTCACAAACATGCTTTGCAGCTTGAGGTTTACCAGGTGGTGGAGGAGGAAGAGGCATCATCCCAGGAGGTTCCAAACTTCTTGCGGGAGCAGAAAGTGGGAAACTTGGTAGAGGATGAAACGGATGAGGCAATGCCTGCATTAGAGGAAGAGTGCCGGGAGGTAAAAGTGGCGGCGGAGGTAACATTGAAACAGGTGGTGGAAGATGGCAATGAAACTGCTGTGAGATCCCACGAGCAGTTTGGGTCTCGCCCTGTGAAGACGGATACAAATTTGTGTACGATTGAGTTGTTCCTGACATTGTGGTTAACTGAGTTTGGCCCGGAGGAGGAGGACGAGTCACGGCGTGATTCTGCTGCAAAGTCACCGAGTCAACATCGGAGCATCTCATAGACAAAGGATTTATGAAACTCATTTAAAGAGAATAGATCAAAGCGTACCAGTTTAAGCGGCGACGATGAAAATAAGTTCGGATCTACCATGAACTATACCAGAATTCTTCTTCGTTGGGACGAGAAACGGCGAGCAGTTTCGTCGTCACTGGGAATTTAGTTTTTTTCTTTTGTCTCGACTCCCCAAAATTGGATACGAATGGTGGCTAATGAACATGTTTGGCTCCTTGATATGAACTAACCCTTTCTAAGGTTTTCTAAACCGTCTCGGGGATAGTAATATCTCCATTTCCCGAGAAAATAGACGGCATAGCGTTCGGTCCAGTATAATGAGGACGGCAGGATGTTTAGTTATGTAACGTCGAACATTGTTTTACGACGCCGTTTTTGGACGAATACTGGCCGAGGAGATTCTGCGTCTCGACTATTCATCGCTCTGGGGAGATTGCTGCTACCTACTGATACCATCTGATGCAAATCTGCCATTAATACATCTGCTCGAGGTTAGGAGGAGATGAGGAAACGCGATTTGGCTATTTTGATGCTCTCTGGATTCGCTATATTCTTCACTCTTCAGGTGATTTTCCGCTCTTATTCTTTCTTCAGCATATAACTTCTAGAACCCTTAATCCGATGAGAAAGCTTTGAAATTTCTTGTATGGGTAGAATTCGACTGCCAATTCGATGCATGCGAGCTAGATTGTGAAAACTTTTGAATGGAATCGTATTGATTTGTATTGTATTCAGTTTCCCAGCCATTGGTGCTTAATTTATTTATAGAGCTTGATCGATCCTTGAATTTGTAGCACGAGGGTGATTTTGCGTTCAAAGAAGCATGGTTCCATTTGTACGATGAATACCCAGTCAAGTACGAAGCGGATCGTCTGCCACCACCTATTATAGCTGATCTTAATGGCGATGGAAAGAAGGAGGTCCTCGTTGCCACAAATGATGCAAAAATCCAGGTATCCTATTTGTAAATTCTAATCTCTACACTTTCTGGAGCCGTGGTGGCGATTTTGATTGCTCGAACGAGTGATCTGGAGCTTAGTGCTTATGCATGTCTCTTTATGGTTTTGCTGTTACGTGTTGGATCTAGTGCTTAACTGTTGATGCTTTTTTGTGGATTAGGTACTGGAGCCTCACTCCAGGCGTGTGGATGAAGGTTTCAGTGAAGCACGTGTTCTTGCGGAGATCACACTTTTGCCTGACAAGATCCGTGTTGCCTCAGGGAGACGTGCTGTGGCGATGGCCACAGGTGTTATTGATAGGTACTATAAAGATGGAACACCGCAGAAGCAGGTTCTGGTCGTTGTTACTTCAGGTTGGTCTGTGCTCTGCTTTGATCACAACCTGAAAAAGCTGTGGGAAACGAATCTGCAGGTTTTGTTTTTATATCCTCTTCGTCTTTTTTTGCTGGAGTTCCATTTAAAAATTTTGACTTATTTCTCCTGTTACTTACCCATGTTGATGGAATGACAGGAGGATTTTCCACATAATGCACACCATAGAGAGATAGCAATTTCGATAAGCAATTACACTTTGAAGCACGGTGATACTGGTTTGGTTATTGTTGGTGGACGGATGGAGATGCAGCCATATGTATGTAGGAGGAAAATTCCATCTGTTAATTTTATTATTTAGATTGCATGCATTACTAATTGATTATTCTCGTGGTTTTAGAATCACATGGACCCGTTTGAGGAACTTGGCATGACAGAACAAAATGCCGAGCAACACAGAAGGAGTGCTACTGAGAATCAGGTACGGAAGATGTGCAGTTGTTATATTGTGATCGCTTCCTTTGACTGCTTCTGGTAATAAATTAGATGCGTCTCTCTGTATTCTGGTTACACATTTTCTCTAGAACTCAATGATAAAGAAAGAATTCTACAATTGTGCATGAGAGCTGTGTCTGGACTGTATATTAGAACTTTAAGCTTCCTTTCAGGCCTCTGAAGATTCTGGAGCTATAAACTTGCGTCACTTTTCTGTTTATGCATTCGCTGGCCGGTCTGGTGTTCAACGATGGAGTAAAAAGACTGATGTCAGTTATTTCTCCTTTTCTGCTCACTTTTTTCTCCACATTTTGCTTAACTATATTCTTACCTTCTCTATATTGTGGTCAGATTGATAGAAATTTTTTCTTTCTTCTCTTCTAGGATGTTGAAGCTCACACGTCAGATGCATCACAATTAATTCCCCAACACAATTACAAACTCGACGTGCATGCTCTAAATAGCCGTCACCCGGGAGAGGTAAACTTAACTCGTTCTTCGTTGATCATTGAGCAAGATAGTTAACCTGTTGTAGTTGTCTTTTAAGAGATTTATATTGCACTATGATCATTTGAAAGCTTTGAAAGCTGATATATGCTGGGCTGAAGTTTGAATGCAGGGAATTTAGAGAATCAATTCTTGGTGTTATGCCCCATCACTGGGTAAGTCTTATACTTCCTACTACGTGCTTCCTTAGTCTAATATGCCTTTAAAAAGAAACTGTTTTAATGTACGTTGTTGTCTTTGTATCAGGACCGACGTGAAGATACATTATTGAAGCTTGCTCATTTCAGGCGACACAAGAGGAAAACATTGAAGAAGCAAGCGGGTAAGTCTACAACTTTTCCGTTTCACAAACCTGAGGAAAACACACCCGCTGGAAAAGACTTGTCGAGAAAGATTCCGAAATTGATTGGGAAGGCTGCACGCTATGCTGGCTCGGCAAAACCCAAGAAGGTGAAGCTCTTATAAAACGTTGAGTAGCCACATGAAAATAACCCAGATTGTTTATAATAGCAAAGCAAATTTTGATGCAGGGAATGCAATACATACCGACTATAACTAACTACACCAAGCTCTGGTGGGTTCCTAATGTTGTTGTGGCTCATCAAAAAGAAGGAATCGAAGCTATTCATTTGCCTACTGGTCGAACACTTTGCAAGGTAGCTATTCCCTTCTGATCATGAACAAGCTTACTATATCACGAACCCGTTCTTTTTCATATGTGAGCTTCCTTATATACTTTCTGTCTCCAGCTTCATCTGCTTGAAGGTGGGCTTCACGCGGATATAAACGGAGATGGTGTACTCGATCATGTCCAGGTACACATTAGACACCACTGCCGCTTTTGCTTCATCGACTTTACAATGGATCTTCAGTTTTTAAAACCATATATTCTCTCTGCGCACCTTAGACTGTCGGAGGCAATGGTGGAGAGAGAACTGTAGTGAGCGGATCAATGGAAGTGTTGAAGCCTTGCTGGGCAGTGGCAACCTCAGGCGTTCCCATCCGAGAACAGCTCTTCAACGTCTCAATCTGCCATCACGCCCCTTTCAACTTCTTGCATTACGGAGAGTTTTCACGACACTCTGCTCAGGCAAGAGACACCTCTTCTTTGGAGATTGCAACTCCCATTCTCATCCCCAGAGATGACGGTCATAGACACAGAAGAGGAAGTCACGGCGATGTAATCTTCTTGACAAATCGTGGAGAGGTACTTTATTCTGATGATCCAATCTCTGTAACTTCTTGAGCTTTGGATTTCGTTCAAAGGCTCATCGGTTTTCTGTATCAGGTGACATCATACACGCCTGATGTGCACGGCCACGAGCCGCTCTGGCAATGGCAGATTCAGACAGAAGCCACATGGTCAAATCTCCCGTCTCCATCGGGTTTAACTGAATCAGGGACGGTGGTCCCGACCCTGAAACCGTTCTCCCTGCGTATTCACGATAACCAGCCGATGATCCTCGCAGGAGGAGATCAAGCGGCGCTCATCATCTCTCCGGGAGGAAGCGTGTTGGCTTCTATCGAGTTGCCGTCTCAGCCGACTCATGCACTTATCACCGACGACTTCTCCAACGACGGACTTACGGATGTGATTGTGATGACATCAAATGGGATTTACGGGTTCGTTCAAACCAGACAGCCAGGGGCTCTGTTCTTCAGTTCCTTGGTGGGATGTCTCTTAGTAGTTATGGCAGTTATTTTCGTTACTCAGCACTTAAACTCCATTAAAGGTAAGCCTCGACCTTCCTCTAGCTTTTGACCCAAACCTCATAGAGATTTCTTCCTCCCTACGGAAGTTAAACCGGTCTTCACCCACACCGATTTTGGTAAACCGGACAGTTCGCTGATATACAGGTGTAGAATCAATGCCATATCTCCGGGTTTCAGCTTTGTGATTTTATTTTACTTTTGTAGAATTCAAAGTAAAAATGGTAGAGGCGAATGTAGAACTTTCTTTATGTTTCTCTCAGTTTTGATGTTATGGAATTATTATTGTGACATTTTAATTAAGCGAGGTAATGAAACGGAAAAGAAAAAAAACTGTTCTTAGAAATGTATTGTCGTTTTTATCTAATCCTCGATATATAAGACTACATTTTTTTTTCATGGGACTCATCGTACATTTCGTTTCTTGAAACAAAAATTATAATATGTCGTAAGTAGATAAATAGGTTTAGCTTGCCAGTAATAATTGATGCAGCGATGTGATTGAAGTTTGGACCACGCTAGAGGTAATAATATATACCTCAATTCTCAAATGGGAATGTGGGAGGCATGAGTGGCGTAATCATTTACAATGTACAAAAGCCATCGTTATTATATATGTTGTAGACCATGTAGTTTTAACCCCCCACCCCAAACAAAAGTGTATAACCTATGAATTTAATATTTAATAGGTAAACGATTCAATATGTAATCATTACGAGTGGCGTTTTAATCCAAAACATACAAGATTAAGTGTATATTATAAAATTTATTGTGCAAGTCCTATTCTTTTGGTAAAAGGCAAACATCTCAAAATTTGGAAATTTATTTAACATTTAGTTATGAAAAGCATAAGAATGCAAATACATAGACTTACTGAGTTACTGAGGAATGTAGAAGGTGACGGAAAAAGCATATTTCTAATAAAAGCATGCAAAGAGGTTCACGAGATCACTTAATATGGGCACTACTCTATTTTCAGTCTCTTTTTGGGCTCTTTATATCCCTTCATTTTATTTATGAACTTTATCATGTTTTCCTGATTAAAACTCAATTGTCGAGACAGATAACCCAAAAAAAGAAAAACCCAATTGTTATATGGATGGAGATCTAGTTGATGAAATTATCCAGTCCACTCATAAAATTATTAATATATATTCTAAGCCTGCCTCTATCAACGTTTGTATGCATGTGTATTGTAAAACAAATATCTTAAAACATAACTTAATTTGATCGTATAGATTTGGAAAATCTCCGAACCCCAATTTCCCATTTAGTATACGTAGTTACGTACTAGTATAAAAATAAAGCCTAACTGAAGAAGAAAATAATCGTAGAGTTTGTGGTCAGGGGTAAATGTAAATAACATGTGTTTGATTTATATATATGCCCTAATAAATTAACTAGCTAGGGTTTTGCAATTTCCTTAGAAGGAACAATAATAGAATAATGAAGAAAAATTAGTGGTCCTTTATTGCAGCCTCTATACGTGTTTTATTTTTCAACTTTGATCCACACCCTCGGTTTCTAGCGTGGGGACTTCTTATCAGCCACGATCAGACCGATCCGATCCACTTTTTGCCATCTTTTTTCTACATTCCATGGTCCAGCCCCTTCAGGTCGATCGATCTTACCGGTTGGTTTGATTTTGTTGACCAAAGTGATTTCGTTTGTTTTGGCTCGGTCTTTTCTAATACGAGTAACCATCACTATTGAGCGTGTAGATGTGTACAACATGTATCCATCCTCGAGATACCTAAACAACAAGATGCAGACAAACAGCCGTAAATGCTCTACAAATATATAGTCAAATTAAGAAGCAAACTTGTGTTTCAATTTCAATTCATGGCTATATTAGGATATGATATCTATATTCATTATGCTGCTTTGAACAAGACATATATTCCACTGCTTTGTATTAGTTGCTACTCATATTTAAATTGGCTATATAAAAATGTATGTGAGATGTTGACACAACAAAATTGTTTCAAATTATATATGTTTGAAATGTCATCGATCGATCAACTGTTATATATATAAACTATATAATATTGGTATGCCTGAAATCACAAATTGGGAGAATTAATGTTATGATTCCATATATTTTGACCAATAAATTTTCAGAATCGCAAATTTACATATAGCCGTTCATTTTGCAAGAGGTAATGGATTGAAAATGTCAATTCAATTTCTGTCATTTTGCATGTGTTTTTAATAATTTTGTAGCGTTACCAATCAGATATACGATGACTTTAATTGGTGGAAGTTGATAAGCTGTGTCTACTAATGCGAGTTGGAAAATCCACATGACATAGACATTTATACCAATAACAAGCTAATAACTTTTTAATTGGTCGAACTGTCGAAGGGAAACTGATAAGTAAGTGGGATCTAACGAAACATAAAATCAATGACAACAGCATTTTATAACGAGTGTATACGTGTATGCATGTGCATGACATATATTGACATGGTAAGACGCCATAACTTCAAACCTTCGGGACCCACAAGAATTCTACTGGTTGTATTCGTTTTATATCGCAATTGAAGAAAATATACGGTATTATATACATAGAGATATAAATGAATGACATGTGTGTATGTACGTATACGAAGTGAAAGTGAAGTAGGGCCCAAATGGAAACACAATCCATGTGAAGAAGTTTCAGCTTCTGAATTTCTGATTAGATACGGAGTTGAAAGGAAAGCGAGAGAGAGAGAGAAGACGGAGGAACAGAACATAACAGAAACTAAAACCAAGTTTGCAACTTTACATTCTTTTTCTCCTCACTCTTCTCTCTCTTCTTCTCTACAATAACTACTCTTGCACCAAAGAGAATGTAAGAAACTAAAAAGCTCATTTTTATATATTGGCTTTTGCCTTGGAAACAAAATATAAAAAAACAACCCACCTAATCTTTTCTTCTTTTACTTCTTTGGTTCTAAAAATAAATAACTTGACAAAAGAAAAATTAGAAAAGGAGATAGAAAATGGATATGAGGGAACAATAAATGATTTGACAGTGAAAGCATGGCTCATTGTAGAAACACTGTTCTCTCCCTGTCTCTGTAAAAAAGATCTGTTAAGTAGCAGTGATGAGAAGCCACCAAACACTATACTCCAAAATCTCTCTCTACATTTAAATAAATGCTTCACACAAAATAGTAATGATAATATATTACTACTGTATGCAAGTATTTTCGTTACACCAAATGATTATTTGAATATTATGTTGTTGATCATATACAGCATACTTAACAAAAAAAAGAATAATATACGTTGTTACATATCCTCAAGACTATAAACCCTCAACTAAATTTACGAAGATCATTCAGTTAACTAATAATCGTAAGTAGAAGCATAGAGTCAATTGTGGTTGAAGTCTTTTGGATGGTTTCTACGTGGTATGTACATACGTATACTTGAGAGAATTTATTTAGGAAATTAAGAAAGAAAAAGGAAAAAAGGGTTAGACAAGTTACACAACACAGGGCTCGAGAAGAGACAAGACTCTGCGGCTTCTACCCTTTTTTTGGGGACTCACTCTTCTTATCATTCACTCCCTCTCTTTTTCTTCTCCACGTCAACTCGGATTCCCATCCTTCTCTATTTAATAAGTTTAGTTTTATTTATTTTTATAACCATTATGTAGAAACCTGTTATCATTTACTTATTTCAGATATAACTACAAGTATAATTTCACAGAGAGTATTAATCTAATAATAATATTATTTCATTCCTTTTCAGTTATCCTAACAATGGTTTTAGATTTATTTACATACGTATAATAGAATGTGTAAGTTATCGGCAATAGTATGAATTTTGGTTCAGTCTTATGGTTATATAAAAACAAAAGTAACACTTTTATATAGAAGATAACCATGCATTTTTAATTTATTTGAGGGAAGAAAAAACTTGTATTGGATTTTGAGTATTAATTAAGAGAAAGAGCCTGGAGAACTGAGTGATAAGCAAGTTTGTTCTCCATATAATATTCGAAGATAATAAATAAATAACTTTAAGAGAATGTTACTATAGTAAAAATAAAAAGACAATGGTTGGACTGAAAACGCGTGTAGTGAGGCCACGAAAGTCTTATCATCTGTTCACCTTATGAATTCCATCTAATTCTCTGTTCTACACATTACTATTACTTATATATATACAATACATGTATTTTTATGTCTTACACATACGTACGTGTAACGCTGGCATGCATAATATCTACTATTAAGAATTTGTATAATAATGCATACTGCTGTTTTTATAACATCCTAAAGTTTTGACATAATCCAAATCTACTCTAGATTCTGAGATTCACAGGCCGCTTCTCAGTTCCATCCATCCATCTCTTCCAAAATTTTACTCCACTAATATTGTTTTTGTCCGTTAATCATTTTTTTTATTCATTTGCTTCTGCCTGAAATGATTATTTGGAAATGATGTTTAAAATTATTTGACATTAAAAGATTTGTAATGTAGCAAATAAATAACAGACTACGGAGAGGAAGAGGTCACTCTCTCGATTGTAATGTATCCATCACATCCTCCTTGAATTAATTGATCTCCTCTATTAATCTTTTTTCATTTTTGTAAATCATAATGATATAAAGTCAATAAGTCATACAATGGAAACCAATAAATCAATCGATTATTAGCTTAAATTATTGAGAAACCTTAAATGGAGTTTGGAAATAAATCAAGAACCGGTACGGAAGCGTAGGGCGGCGAGGCGGTGCTTTTAGCCTGTCTCAAACTATTCACTCAATTTCCATTTTTGAATCTAATATTTTCGAAATGTCTAATTTCTCCCCCTCTCAATTAGTCAACTCTCTCCACCCTTTTGGCAAATAATCCTATAAATGTCCCCATCTTTTGTTTGCTTTTATTTTAACGTCTTAACTTTCATTTACATGACACTCATACACATTCGTATTCTCTAGATTTTAAAAATTGTAATTATCGCAACATCATTTTTCGTGCCGTTATTCTCAGACAATTTAAGATATAATGATAATTACTTATTATAATGATTAATTAATTAGGTTCCATGATGCTCACGGCACGGGCATAGAGGTGTGTGTTTGTCTGTATATAATTGTGTAAACATTAATATTTTATACAGAGATAATGCAGAACATAGGGCACCTAAATAGAATCGTACGTTTGTCTCTACAACAGAGGGTGTGTTTACGTGCATTTTTTATTCGTTTATAAAAATATTACTTAGCATATGTTGTATATAAATATATGTGTGTATATCATACTAATTTTGTTTCCTCGGAAACATGGACAAAGGCATCTGCTTTCCAGCTACAAACTTTATACACTAAATTTAATTTTAAGCCACGGATTGATATTTTTAAAAGATTATGGGCTTACGGATAACTAAAACAAGATAATAATAATCAATGCTGATAATTGGCAATCCTTACAATTTTTAAATATGCAGTGACTTATTTAATCCACATGTTTATATTGTATCTCTTTACCTTGTTTAAATCTATTACAACAATAAGTTTTTTTGTCCACAAATATATATTTGAATTGGAGCGTTTGATGCAAAATAATCTCACGTATACGGATATACCCACAAAATAAGTAGTAGTAATAATAATAGAGCTATGGACTTTTGACAAGGTTTTGTCGTCAGTTCTAGTTCATGATTAAGAGGTCTAATTAATAGGTCCGAAAATATAGAAGTCTTAGGATAATCAAAAATACTAGAATTTGGATACCTATAATTGAATTGGAATTAGTATAATATTATGTATTCCTTTTTAAGTATATGGAGTAGTAAGTATACATTCTATAAAAAAAACATAAAAAAATTGCACAATATGAGAAATGGTTAAAAAAAAAAAGCAGCGGGTATCCCGGAAGAAAGGACAAAGAGGGGAAATATAGTCTATGACTACGTGGCAAAATGACAACCGTCTGATTGTAAACTAAAAAATATCAACGATGAGAGATGAATGTTTCGAGTGTAGCCAGCCATTTGGTAGAGAGAAGTGTTGTAAAATTGTTCTACGAAAAAGAAAAAGAAAAATGAGAAATTTTAAAAAGACAATTTTGCAAAATCTGGAAAAACAAAGAAACAAACAAAGAAGAGATGAGAGAGAGGAGGAGACAGAGAATTAAATTAGAGGAGCAGAGGGGAGAGAGAGAGAGAGTGAGTGATTATTAAGGTTATGGCGGCGTTGCAGAGCGCGAGAAAGGCGATGAAACCTCTCTGATCTCTCTTCTCCTTCTTCCTCTTTCTCTCTGTGTGTTTCTTAAATACTCTCTCTCTCTCTCGTACCGACAAACGAGCTTTGCTTTTACCAGACTATCAAAAGCTACTCAAACTTCAATTCAATACACTACAAACCCAGAGAATGAATTCTACCTAAACCCTAGAAATCCTCTTCCCTCCCAATAGTCTCGAAGATCTAGAGCGATAAAGTAATAGTATAGTATAGCCACTAAAAAAAAGATAGGATCTTTGATTTTGGGTTTGTTTCATTTCTCTGGAAAAGATATTGGAGAGTGGGGGTATGGGTGGTCGAAGCAGCGCCGGTGAATGGCGGGGTTTTTCTCGCTAGACGGCGGAGGAGGAGGCGGAGGCGGAGGAAACAGCCAAGAAGAACACCGGAGCAACACGAATCCTCCTCCGCCTGTACCAGAGGCTTGGCTCTGGTACAGAAACCCTAACGCAAACACAAACGCTCCTTCCTCTTCAAACGCTGCTTTAGGCACACTTGAGCTATGGCAAAACCACAATCAGCAAGAAATCATGTTCCAGCATCAACAGCATCAGCAGAGGTTGGATCTTTACTCCTCCGCCGCTGGTTTAGGAGTCGGACCAAGCAACCATAGCCAGTTCGATATCACCGGCGAAACCTCAACCGCCGGCGCCGGAAGATCCGCAGAGCTGATGATGATACGGAGTGGTGGCAGCGGAGGAGGAGGAGGAAACGGTGTGAGCTGTCAAGACTGTGGGAATCAGGCGAAGAAAGATTGCGCTCACATGAGGTGTCGAACTTGCTGCAAGAGCCGGGGCTTCGAGTGTCCTACTCACGTGAGGAGCACGTGGGTTCCTGCTGCTAAACGCCGTGAGAGACAACAGCAGCTAGCCATAGTTCAGCCGCACACGCACCTGCTACGCGGTGAAAGCGTCCCGAAACGCCAACGGGAGAATTTGCCGGCAACTTCTTCGTCTCTTGTCTGCACTCGCATTCCTACTCACCACAACACTTCAGGTAATATATATATCCGTATATCCAATCAGTGTAAATATAGATTTAGGTCGTCAAATCATGTAAATGCAATCAGCATTTTTAATAATTCAAGTAAAATCAGAAAGAGAAAAAAAAAACCTATATGTTAATCATTTTTCTAAATTTTGTGATTTAATTGTGAAAGTACTGTGTTGAAGTAAACACTGACTATTAGATTGACAGGAACAAGCTGTTCTCATCAATCTTGAAATCTGTGCTCTTTCTCTAATTCCCTGCTACCTGAATTTTGGAAGAAAAAAATGAATATTGATGTTTTACTCTCTCTCTCTCTCTATATATAAAATGGAACATGCAATTTTCTTTTTATAAATTGTTACTTTTTTCTTTAAATCTAGGGTTAGAGGTTGGGAATTTCCCGGCGGAGGTGAACTCACCGGCAGTGTTTAGATGCGTGCGAGTGAGCTCAGTGGAAGATGGAGAAGAAGAGTTTGCTTACCAAACAGCCGTAAGCATAGGTGGTCACATCTTCAAAGGCATTCTCTACGATCACGGTACTGGAAGTAGCGGCGGCGGTTCTGTGACTGTTGCAACTGCTTCTTCCTCCACTCCAAACGCCGGTGGTATTGGCAGCTCCTCCGTGGCGGCCGCGACTTACATTGACCCAGCCGCTCTTTATCCGACTCCTATCAACACTTTCATGGCCGGTACACAATTCTTTCCCAACCCAAGATCATGATCAATCTGACATAAAGCAACATAACTCTTTCGTGTTCTTAGAATAGCATTAGGGTTTTAAAACCGTTAATTGTTGGATCATATTACATAAAGTTTCAGAAGTGGGGACAGTTTAGGAGGAAATTAAGTGGATCTGTTTAGACTTCTTCTGGATACTCAATGTTGTTGCAATTTTAGGGTTTTAAAGGGAAATTTAATTCAAATAATATCATCTTCTTATTATAATGATTTTGTGAGGAGCGCAATTTTTTGTGTATTAATATTTAAATGTCAGGAGCACAATATAGCTCTTGCTGTCTGAATCTTTGTTTCATTAATGTGTCTGTTTCTTGTTTGTGTAACACGTAACCTTAGAATCCGGGGATAATGTTTCTCATCTTTACATCAACCTTTTGTGTCTTCTTCTAACCAATAGAAAAATTCGTTACATGTGTTACAGATATTATATACAGTATTAATTTCTTCAAACATGAGTTCAGTTACGGCGAGTATGGTCTGCCCATCCCATGCATTTAATGATTATCAATTTGTATTATTTAATTTGTTTGTTACTACTAGTAATTGATAGAGATATGCCATAATTGACATGTGCTTGAATCAGAGAAGACGAGTATATAATTTATGTTACAAGAGCGACATGTAGATGTGACATGAGGGTGCGTTCTACAATGTAGTTTGTTTAATCCAATTAATTAATCCCTCCATTAGTCCTTGAATCCATTAATTAATTAAACATTTGTTTAATTTTACAATTACTAAGACATTTTTTAAGCCACACGCATCTAACGTGAAAACATAACGAAATTTAATTATTTATCCGTGTCTAATTGTATTAGCTAGAAATAAAATTATTAATTATTATATAACTTTTTTGAAAATAGATTTTCTTAATTAGTTGCATGAAATTTAAAATAAAGCATATTTTCTTTGAAACAGAAGTATACCATTTTCGTTTGTATAATTTAGTTCAAGCATTATCATTTGAGAGGACAAAATACATGTTTTACGTTTCTTTATTGTCCATACAGAAATAGTAACGCACACAAGTTCATGAAATATTATACGTACACATATACATTTACTGATGTACATAATCTCTTTTATGTTTATACTTGTGGATTAATTGCCTGTACATGCATGTTTACACTCCTACACACGAAGCCATACACACACTATATATATACATAAGAGACTAGAGAGAGAGCGAGAGATGTTTCGCAGATTCTCATGGTTGATGTGGAAGCAATATTAGAATTGGGAATGCATATATGCAATGTCATCAATTTCAGATTAATATACTATTTGGCTAGCAGCATCATATTTACTCATCATTCCTCTCTTTTTCATCAGTCAATACGGTTCGGCTCATTTAAACACAAAGGAACCCAATTTCGTTTTATGGGATTTGTGGCCGAACTAATATTAATTTAGCTTTCTTGAACAATAACAGGTATCATAGAATGTCAAAATGAGAAACAAATAATACTAATATATATTATGGAAAATAATTGGAAGAGAATAATAGATTGGATTTTTAAAACCTCATCTTGGCTGTTTGGTGACGTCGGTCTAGTTGTGGAGTGTTCGAACCATAATTTTGATATAGATATTGAGCCTTTTAAATTGGCAATAACAAAAAAAAAAAACTTTAGATTCTGTTATGTGGAGTTGGTAATTTGCAAATTTGGATTGCGTGACAACATTATATAATCGACCGATATGGTCCATTCCAATAGTGCTGCGGTCCAATCGGCCGACTCGTTCCGACTTTTACGCCCTGCCGTATCCTTCCTTCTCTTATCCCACAAATTATATATTTTTAATACATGCATCCACGATTATATACTATATATATAGTATAATATTAATAATGTATTCGTATATGTAAATTTGATGTCTTTAACTTGGATATTTTATTATTTTGCGAAGATACTAAATCAGAATTCAGAACCCTAAAAAGCTAAAATTTATCGTAGTCCGACATTTATTAAATTTAAAGCTTCAGGTTCAAGTTCAACCCAAACAAAATGATATGAAGACGAAAGCGTGACAACGGGATTTATAGTGGACCAAGCAAACGTTATGTGTAACGACGAATTGATATTTGAATTATGTAATTTTTCTTACGTACAACATTTGAATTCGGTAGTTCAAGGGGACAAAACCGTTCCAAGCTAGGATTACGAATCTCAAAACCAACATTAAAAGAAAAGATTAGTTTTGGGAGAAAATGATTAAAATTGGGAAGGTAGTCAAAGTATTAGTTAACAAAAAAGTATTATTTACTACCAAAAAGGCAACAATGCATTATGCGGGTGTTGACGTTCCAATCATGCAATCTATATTTACCACTCATGGACTAACTCAAACACTCAAAGAAGATGAAGAAGCAAGACAACGACACGAGATATACACCTTTTCTAAGTCTTAAGTCATACACAACGATAACGACATCAATACAAATTAGTATTTTATAACTATAAGTCTATAAGTCATGGTCACTAAAACATTTTCTTAGTCCATGATTTCATATAGTTCATTACTACGAGAACTAATTTTTTTTTTGTAATAAATATTTTGACAATAACAACAAAACAAACAAACAAAAAAATCACTAGAAAACAGAATCCATATTGACATCAAAACAATATGGAACAAATGTAGTTAGTACATTTATTTTATTGAAACCAAAACTCAAATAAAACATCCTTAGAATCCAATATGTAGAAAAGAAAAAGAATGATCTTGTAATGTTCAATGTTTCATTGACTAGGCGTTACCATTTAACATCACATTGCATGGCTTTAAATTTTCAGGGACAAAACATGAGAACACAAAGGACCATAAACTAAATTTAGAGACACGAAATTGAAAGTCCCATGTCCGACTCTGATGGATCTTTGATTCAGTCTTCTCTCTTCACAACCTCTCTTTCTCTTCTTTTTCTTCTATTTTTACTTCCTTCAACTCCCATTTTACTCCTTCATTTTCTTCTATCTTCTCCATTTTTTTCTTTCTTTTCTTTCTCCCCACAAACGTTACAGTAACTCAGACCGGAAAGATGGCATTTGGGAAGGGACGTGGAAACAAACGCTCTTCGACGACGTCGTATGCGTCAACCATTACAATGGTCGTCTTTGTAGCTCTATGTGTCGTCGGTGTGTGGATGCTTTCTTCCAATTCCGTTATTCCACCACAGATCACACAAGGCTCCACTCGAACGGTCATTGCAGAGACAGAGAGGAGCGATGTGTCTGCCTCTTCAAACGGTAATGATGAGCCCGAACCAACAAAACAGGAGCCTGATGAGCAACCAGCATTTGAGGACAATCCAGGAAAGCTTCCAGAAGATGCCATAAAGTCTGAAGACGAGCAAAGGAAGTCAGCGAAAGAGAAGAGTGACCGGACGAGCTCAAAGGTAGGAGACGAGGGAGGAGGGAGACAGAGTCAAATGGAGACTCAGAAACAAGAGATCCAACAGAACAATGAAAAGGTTCCCGAGGAGAACAAGAATGGCGAGGGTCAGGTGAAACAAGTGGTCAAGGAGTTTGAGAAAGAACAGAAGGAACAACGGGACGAGGACGCTGGGACTCAGTCAGGAAACTCCAAAGGAACACAAGAACAAGAGCAAGTACAAGAAAAGGAATCTCAGGATGTGGAACAGGGAAAGAAACAAATGGAAGAAGTAACGAAACAAGGGCAAGATATAGATTCGAACACGGACGTGACATTCACAGATGCGACCAAAGAAGAACAACCTATGGAGGTGGGGCAGAGCGATACATCAGAGAACTCAAAGAACGTAGAAAACGGACAAGAACAACAACAACAACAACAAGAGGAACAAAACTCAGGGAATGATGAAAACGGACAACAAAACGAGGAGAATGTCACGGTTAGTGAAGAAAACGGGAAGGAGCAGAAGAGCATGAAAGATGAGAACGGACAGCAAGACGAACATAACACAGCAGAGGACGAAAGCGGGAACAAAGAAGAACCTAACACAACAAAGGACGAGCAGCAACAAGAAGAGCAGAAAGATGAGAAAAAACAAGAGGGCTCAGAAGCGAGCGGGTTTGGCTCTGGAATACCGAAAGAATCTGCAGAATCACAGAAGTCATGGAAGAGCCAGGCAACAGAATCTAAAGACGAGAAACAAAGACAAACATCTGAATCTAATAACGCAGAGAGTATGATGGGTGGAAAAACATGGACGTTGTGCAATGCAACTGCAGGATCTGATTATATACCTTGCCTAGACAACGAAGAAGCTATAAAGAAACTAACAAGTAGAAAACATTTTGAGCATAGAGAGAGGCATTGCCCTGAAGACCCACCAACATGTCTTGTCTCCCTCCCAGAAGGGTATAAGGAGTCCATCAAGTGGCCAGAAAGCAGAGACAAGGTAAAAAAAGATTCTATCCAAATCAGTTTTTGTGTTTATAATAATCTGATACTGGATAAAAAAAAGCTGACTTACATGTTGATCAAGTAGATATGGTACCACAACGTCCCACACACAAAGCTAGCAGAGGTGAAAGGACATCAAAATTGGGTAAAGGTCACCGGAGAGTTCTTAACGTTTCCCGGCGGTGGAACACAGTTCATCCATGGAGCTCTCCATTATATAGATTTCCTCCAGCAGGTGAACTTAGAAAAAAAGACACCAAATAAAGATCTAAACTTTCTGTGTAAGCTAATTCTTCTTTTCTTGTTATCCACGGCAGTCTTTGAAAAACATTGCGTGGGGTAAACGTACTCGGGTCATATTAGATGTTGGATGTGGAGTTGCTAGTTTTGGTGGTTTCCTCTTTGAAAGAGATGTTATAGCCATGTCTCTTGCACCAAAAGATGAACACGAGGCTCAGGTCCAGTTTGCTCTCGAAAGGAAAATCCCAGCCATCTCTGCAGTGATGGGGTCTAAGAGACTTCCATTTCCGAGCAGAGTGTTTGACCTTATCCACTGTGCACGTTGTAGAGTCCCTTGGCACAATGAAGGAGGTATGCTTCTTCTTGAGCTGAACCGGATGCTTCGACCAGGAGGTTACTTTGTCTGGTCAGCAACACCAGTCTACCAAAAGCTAGAAGAAGATGTTCAAATCTGGAAAGGTAAAGGGTTTTGAACTATAAAGAGTGTTCTCCTTTTTCCTCTGTTTTTTTGTTCCCACTGAAGCTGACATGTTTTGAGTTTATGTAGAAATGTCGGCGTTGACAAAGTCAATGTGCTGGGAGCTTGTGACAATCAACAAGGATAAACTCAACGGTGTTGGTGCTGCCATCTACCAGAAACCTGCCACGAATGAATGCTACGAGAAACGTAAGCGAAACAGGCCTCCCATGTGCAAAAACAACGACGATTCAAATGCAGCCTGGTATGTACCGTTACAGGCATGCATGCATAAAGTGCCAACGAATGTGGTCGAGAGAGGGAGCAAGTGGCCAGTGAGCTGGCCTCGCAGGCTTCAGACACCTCCTTACTGGCTAAACAGCTCTCAAATGGGGATCTATGGGAAACCAGCTCCAAAAGATTTCACTACAGATTATGAACATTGGAAGCACGTTGTTAGCAAAGTATACATGAACGAAATTGGAATCAGCTGGTCTAATGTGAGGAACGTTATGGACATGAGAGCTGTCTACGGAGGGTAAGCATCAAAGAAAAGAGATCAAACGAAAGTTTCACACTTCACTTCACCAAATACTTAACTTTTTTTTCTGTTTCCAACTATGTTCAATATGCAGATTTGCAGCAGCTTTAAAGGACTTACAGGTGTGGGTCATGAATGTAGTGAACATAAACTCACCAGATACACTACCAATAATCTACGAGAGAGGACTGTTCGGTATTTACCATGACTGGTGTGAATCTTTCAGTACATACCCTCGGAGCTATGATCTCTTGCATGCTGATCATCTCTTCTCCAAGTTAAAAGCAAGGTAAAAAAAACTTGCTTACATTTTGTTTTTGGATATTACCATCAGCAAATCCTGAAAAAGTTGAAAATAACTTCTCTTTTTGTCATTTTGAAGGTGCAATCTTGCTCCGGTAATGGCAGAAGTGGATAGAATAGTGAGACCGGGAGGTAAACTCATTGTTCGTGACGAGTCCAATGTGATAAGAGAAGTAGAGAACATGTTGAAGTCACTGCACTGGGATGTTCATCTAACCTTCTCCAAGCACCAAGAAGGAATCTTAAGTGCCCAAAAAGGATTCTGGAGACCAGATACATCTCAAACTTCTTCCTGAAAGACGCTACTAACCCTGGAATCTGCAAAGTGAAGCAGCATTATATAATACATTTATCATTTATATCTATAAAGCCCCCAAAAGTTCTTGTTCTTTGTTGCAAGAATTTGGATAAAGAGTGTCAGTAAAATGAATAGTGTTTAGTCTTGTTTAAACTATAGACTAATTAGAACATTTTTGTTTCCTATACTTCATATATTTTAACATCGTTATGATATTGTAAGACTAATATGACTAAGAATTTTTCATTGGGAAATAGTAAGGCACACACAAGTACTACTATAAATTCGTTCACTGATTATTTAAAATTCCATAATTGAATTGAAATACCTAATCGGTTAGTTCTCCGGTTAAAGAAGGCATAACAAATACCGGTTAGACTATAAACCAAGTGTTTTGAATGCTCAAAGACTACTAATTCCATTGAGAGAATTGAGAAAGAAGAGAAACCAAACTCACAGGAAAAAATAAATACATTTATAATCAATTTTTGTAATCTAAAACACAAAAGCCTAATTATGGCAAGAAATCTATTATTATCAACAACCAAAATAAAAGCTATTATTTTCAAATAGATACCCTTTTTTTCTGCTAAAGATTATTTAAAAATGAAATAACGTGAAACATTTTGTAATCGGCGTGAGAATACATTAAATTGCAATCGCATTTCCCTCCAAATGCCTATATAAAGGGACACATCCACAGTGAAAAGATCCTCGCTCTTTGACTCTCAAACAAGTAACAGAATCTTTTCGTCGAAGTTAGAGAAGGAAACAGTTACGTACAGTTACAGAATCCTCCAAGAGCATCATCCATGGCGAGCCAAGACTCCACAAACTCTGCAGACTTGATCGTCGGATCTTTGGTGAGCTTCACGTCGGCCGGAGTGTTCTACGAGGGAACCGTCTACTCTTTCGACGCAGAGTATGCAAGTTTCGGGATCGACGATGGTACGTTGTTTTCGAGCGTTTTTCTTTTGATATGATCGTGCCTTCTTTTGCCGAACTGGTGGATTTAGAGTTTGCGAATCGGTGTTTCCTGATTCGAGTTCTTCGGAATTTGAGGTTTATCGATGCGATCGAAGTCGAGATGATTGTATTGAGGTTTACTTGTTTGATTTCTCGAGGAATCGAAACTGGGGATAGGGATTGATGTTCTTGCGATTGGTATTGATGATTGCTCTCGTCGATAGATTGGGTTTGCTTATGCGAACGCTGATTTCGATCGTTTTCGCGATAATATTGATTTATGGATGTTGTTGTTGCGATAGTCATTTATTGATCTGTAACTTCATCGATCCGTGTGCAACAAATGCTGATTTCGATCGTCTTCTCCACAGATTTCTGTTTCTCTATCGCTGATTTGGATTGTTCTTCGTCTTCTTAATGTGTTTTTGAGTCTTTTTCTTGGCAGATTTCGAAAAACCTGCTGATGTCGACCTGTGATCTTGGTGGATTTATGACTGTTTATTAGCGGAAATACTGATTTAGCGATTGTTGTTCTTTGTCTTCCGAGAGCTTTCTTTATTAGACGAATCACTTTATGTTCTTTTGCGTTACGTGAATTTTTGGGTGAAATGATTTGCCTCTGTCATTGGCGCAGTCTCGTGTACAAAGCTTCTTGCGGGTGCACTATCGTCTACGAGGCTTCTTACGGGTGATACTCGACTCGAAGGGCTTTACCAGTTTTTCCTAAAAGACATTCAGGTTTGCGTATTATTATCATAAACATCGATTTCATGTTTCTATCTCGAATATATTTATATATCAAACTGTCTTATTTTCCTAAACAGGACTTGAGGGTGATCCGTGTGCCATCGCCAAAACCTACCACCAACACTACTGAGGTAAAAAAAAACTGAAACCTAGAATTATGAGAAGATCTCAAGCAAAGAGTTGATGTATATAATCAAGGCATTATTAGTTTCTCTTTTGTGGATGTGTTTCATTAGAGATCATAATCTGAAAAATAAGGAGTTTACGTTTTTGTTACTTCTTTCTCTGGAACTTGTTGACACCTAACTTAGAGGTATATCTCCAAGAAACGAAAAAGGGCTCCAATAACAAATTTGATAATCATTTTGAGGAAAAAGGGCTCCAATAACGACATTTGATAATCATTTTAGTTTTGAACAGTGTGAGGAAAAAACGCTGAACGAAATTATTGCATTTGCTTAAGACCCAAGAAACGAGTATCAGCCGTTGATAGTTGTATTCTAAACTGATGGATTTCAAAAGAGTCCAGCTGAAACCTATCCCACGAGACCCAAAGCCACATATTCAGATTAGGAAAGAGTTTTGGGAATAAATTTTGATTTCTGCTTTACAATTTGACCATTTTTAATGTCCTACCAAATACACTAGTAAGACTTTTTTTGTTTGGAATATGAGAAATAAATAACTTTGAATAAAATGCTAACGGACTTAATGAGGTGTCCAAATTTGTGATCATTCAGACAGCCCAGGCCCAGCCCAAAAATGTTTTCGTATTAGTAGAAAACGGTGCCGTTTCCATTTGTAATCATACAGTATCCCAATAACGTAGATACGCTTCGAAATTTACAAAAGTATCTTAATGCTATGCATATTTATATCTATATACACTGTACATACTTTGCCGGTTGGATAAAAATTACATTCCACTTTTATACCCAAGAAAAATAGTAATTTATTTGTGTGCCCTTATTAGTTTTGAATTTTGTTCTTGAGAAATAAGATAGGAACCAAAAAAAAGAAAAAAAAAGAGAGAAACGGGCACTATCATATATTCAATGCTTTACCAAACTCACACCCTCTTCTTCTAATTCACACCACCACCCTTCTTCATCTCTTTCTCTCTTCCTTCACCGACATCTCCCCCAAAGCTCTCTCTCACTCTCTCTGTATCAGGTATTCCGATTTCTCTTCTCCAGTTTTAGGTTTATGAATTGGGTCGTCACATTGTATTGATAAGTTTGAAATTGACATGAAGAGGAGGATGAATTCTGTTTCTCCTTGTGTCTTATGGGTTCTAGACGCCAGAAATTTCTGGGTTTTCGTTAAGATTTTGTTTTTCTCTTTGAATTGGTAAAATGGCAACGGTTTTTTTCTTTTTAAGCGTTTTTTTTTGTTGTGAGATAATTAATTGTCAGTTTTGTTTGGTGGAGTTTTTGATATTTCCTGAGGCAAAAGAAAGATTTAGGTTAAATTTGTTTTTGTTCTGATAAACTTGGTGGGATTTTTGATAGGAAATGGAGAGTGTTGTTGAATTGGGTTTGAAGAACTGTAACCGGAAGGAGAACGCCGTCTCCGGAGGCGCTCAAAATGGCGACGATTTCTCCGTCGACGACTTGCTCGACTTCTCAAACGGCGACGTTTTCGTTGAGGATGAGGCTGAATTGAAGTTGCAGCGAAAGAGAGGAGCCTCTGTTTCCCAAAATGACGAAAATACCCTTCACCAGAACGACGGTTTCTCCACCGCCGGTGAAGACGTTGGGTCTCTCCCCACAAACGAGCTCTCCGTTCCGGTAATTAATTCGTTTCTAATTGATTAAAAAATTGCATGTAATTTCCATCTTTTTAATTTCTTATTGTTTTCGTTGTTGTTAGATGGATGATTTAGCGGAACTGGAATGGTTATCAAATTTCGTGGAGGATTCTTTCACTCCGTACTCGGCTCCAACGAAGAAACCGGCGTGGTTAACCGGAGACCGAAGACACCCTGTAGCACCGGTTAAGGAGGATTCGAGCTTCAAAACCCTTCTTCCGGTTAAAGTCAGAACCAAACGAGCCAAAACCGGAGTCAGCGTCGGGTCTCTTGGTTCATCGTCGTTAACGGACTCGTCTTCGAGTTCTACAACCTCGTCTTCCTCCACCTCTGGTCCTTCAAGCCCTCCATGGCTCCCCGGCGCTGAGTTTCTTGATGAGCCAGTGGTTCAAAGACAGAAGAAGCAGAAGAAAACGTCTTCAGTGTCGGCGATTTGGAACAACGGTGTCCAGGCGCAAACGCAGACGCAGACGCGGCGGTGTAGTCATTGTGGCGTTCAGAAAACGCCGCAGTGGAGAGCAGGACCAGAGGGAGCGAAGACGCTGTGCAATGCGTGTGGTGTGCGTTACAAATCGGGTCGGTTATTACCCGAATACAGACCCGCTTGTAGCCCAACGTTCTCGATTGAGCTCCACTCCAACCACCACCGTAAAGTCGTTGAAATGCGTCGGAAGAAGGAGACGTCCGACGATGCTGATGAACCCGGTTTGCAACAGGCGGCTCAGGTTGTGTCGAGTTTTTGAAGAAATAAGGGAGAGGGTTTTAGAAAAGAATTAGGATCCGACCCGGTTCAGTTTTAGCACCAGTTATTAGTTTCTCATAACTGTTATGGAATACTAATATTTTGTTTGACCTTTTGTTTTCTCTTAATCGGATTTTTGTTAATGGTGGTCGCACTAGTTTTTAGTAACTGGTCAGGTTTTAAAACTTTGAAACTCACATTTTGAATTTTCTTTTCATGCAAATTTACAGTTTTTATTTTTGGTGGTCGCAGTAGTTTTTAGTAATTGGTGTCACCCATTACCTCCTTCATCATTTCAATTTGATAATATTTCAACGTCATGATCTCACTGGTCCCTTCTCTAACTATAGGCTCTACATCCTGCGTGGTCAACATCATCGCCATGAGTTGTTAAAACCTCTAATCATAATTTATATAAGTTCATTTGCAATTGTTGAAATTTACATGTTTGGTTTCAAGTTTAAAAGGCATCACATTTTCTCTTGTATTTGTAATATTGACATAGCATAAACTGAAAATTAAAATGGCTAAGTAAACGTATTGGGCACACTATCTGATTCACTGATTTATTACTCTGCGTATCTTTGGAGATTGAATGCGACTTTTAGTGACGTGCAATAATATGTCCAATTTTAATTTGCACCGCTCACATCACTAAAATTGTATTTTAAGTTTTTTTATATTTACGAAATTTCTATAAACTTGGGAGTTATTCCTCTACTGGTTTTAGTTTGACTAAGCTTTTAAGAGTTGGCCTAATATCAAAAGATTTGAAGTGGCAAGTTTCATGAATACCAACATAACATGTAACTCTACAGACTACAATTTAAAGTGTAACTATACAAAGCCTAATAACAATTTACCAAATTATTAAACCTTCATTAATTTTTTTTTTTACTAAACTATCCAAAAAGAAAGCCATACTTTACAAGCATGGAAGTAAATGCTTGCATTGTAACACATTTTGAAACTACAGGAACATTTTCATACAAAATACAGTTTTTCTAATGATGTTTTTTTCCAGTTTATAGTAAATTCACTTTGGTTTTGACACTTCAATCGACTCATATGTACCAATTTGCTTTATTAGTATAGTTGTTTTCTTGGTGATCAGGACTAAAATTCTTTTAGTTTAGCTTTAGCATGATAGATAATTACTAAACATAAGTGATAATCATGGAAACTTAAGAAGAAGAAAAACCAAAAAGAGGCGTGGGGAGTCACGTGATGAGCATTTCCCCAATCCGATCCAACTACTTTCATTCCAGTTCTAGATTTTACGTTGTTATGGTCCCTTGTGTGGTTAGTTAGTTCCATCATCATTAAGTTTCGTAAAAGAAAAGTTAGTCGTAACGATTGTCACATAAATTGTATACTCTTTGAGTAGAGTTTTAAAGCTATAAAGATAATATAGATAACTTGTTTCAGCGACGTTCTTATCGAGTTGTGTGCCTAAAACTGATCCCCTCATTCCCTTGACCCAACAATACATGTGAGTGTGCCACATTCTCTCATCTTAACATTATTCTCTTATCGTTCGGATTACGTTTCTTGTATTAAATACACGACATATATTGTAGAAATTGTCAAATTTATTGTTTTTACAAAATTAAAAGAAAAATGTTAAGTAGTTAACACAACACCTAAACTCACCTAAATTATAGACTTTGAGACTAGCCAAAAAATTTGAAGCCCCACGATAAAGATAAAACATTTTTTTTTTTAATTTATAAAACCTTCATTAGAAAAATCGTTGTTAAATTAAAATTGGAAAAAAGTTTTGTAACTGATTTTTCTTCGCGATGCTTTGTTACCAACGCTTATATCTTGGATAGTGAACATCTATAAAATGAGTTATGATCTTGGAGCTATCTTTCTGCTTCCCCTATGTTGAAGGAGCTCATGCTGAACTGCTGAAGTACTCATCATTGTTTTGACAAAATTAAGAGAAAAATGTAAGTAGTCAACACATCACCTAAACTCACCTAAATAATAGACTTTGAGAGCCAGAGTTTTTGATGCCCCACGATAAAATAAAACATATTTTCACTTACAAAATCTTCATTAGAAAAATCGTTGTTAAATTAAAATTAGAGAAAAGTTTTTTAGTTGATATTTTCGTCGCAATGTTTTATTACCAACGCTTGATAGTGCACATTTTAGTCAATTTATCTATAAAAGAGTTATGATTTTGGAGCTAACAGGGAATGTGATTTGGAATATCTTTTTATGTCATTCTTCTAAGTCGACAACTTTGGTATTTTGCTTGTATGTTTGCAAATTAGGAAGATATCTTGCTGACATTAATGCAAAGATCATCTTCATTTGTCAAACGGTAAATGGACTAACTACAACTACAATGGTTATTGCAAGTCTCCTCTATTTCAAACGGACTGGAAGTACTTGACCCTCTCCGGTCACTCTACTAACGAATGATGTTCTTATAAATCATATTTCTATCTGAAACAAACTGAACTGAATTTTGGGGAACACTATTTTGAATTGTTTGCTTTTATACCTTCTAGGCTAGAGCTATATACATACTGAAAATCAGTTTATCTTTGCCGACAACTTTGCATTTGTTATCTATTTGCTTGCTTGTAGATTTGGTTCTACCTCAGTTTCCGTAGGAGCCAGTTCAAATTTTTTTATTTTATTTCAGAGACTTTTCCTATGTTTAAATAGTTCTCTGCAGTTGTATATCTTTAAGCAGTTATAAAAGAATTTAAATATGCTCAAATGAATCTGATACTCGTGTTTCAGATTGCGTATGATCTTCAAGGCGTCTCATATAAATTCATTTGCAATTTTCAGCTTGCTCAGGAGAGATCCTTTAGGCGTCTTTGGATATGAAGCCTTCTATGACAAAGATTGCAGAATCTACTGAGAGGTGCCCTGTTGAGATGAGTGTCGTCGCTGCACTTAGAAGTGAGACAGTTCTGCGAAGTCAAACTGTTCTGAAGAGCGATCACAATCCTGGTTGTCACAATTTAACTCTACGCAAAAGGGTGGGAGAAGCACCGAATTTTAGAGATGTTTCAAGATTTCCTATGTATGTATTTCGACATTAATAATTTACATAAACGAATATAAAAAAAAATGTCCTTATTTATAAAAAATAATATTTTTATTATTATTTAGTAAAAACATTAAAATAAAACCAATAAACTACATTGTAGTTCTAAAACTGATTTTTTCCATCAAATTTTTAACTAAATTTTAAAAATCGTTAATTGATCGTAAATGAAAATTATTTAAGATAATAACAAAGTAATTAAAAAAATTAAGAATAATTTCACCTTAACTGTAACTAATTATTAAAAAAATATTGAAAAACTTTGGATTAATGAACTTTTCAATGTTATAATATAACCTATTTTTTTATTATAATTCTTTAATAATAGAGTAATAACAATTTGATTTATTGTGACATTAAGGCCCATGTCCAAATTTAAGATTAATACAGAACGTAGCTAATAATAAATATAGATTATTAAAAATTTCTATTAAATTGCTGCCCTATAATTAATCTTTTTTTCTGCTGCCCTACACCAATGTGTCTTTTTAATATACATAGGCACGGCTCTGTGTATGGTGTTGCGAATCCAACTATAGATGGTATTCGATCTGTCATTGAAAGGGTTTGGAGTATAAGAGGTCGCCGGCAGGTTTTTTGGCACAACATGAGAGAAGAACCTGTTATAGATGGAAGAAGCATCATCATATACATTGATAGCAAATCTCATAGGTTTCCTTTTCTTTCTTTTCACACAACGAGTATATTAAACGTAGTAATAATTCACAAGATGTAGAGCAAGCAGACCAAGATGATGAGTTTGGTCATAAAATCGACACCCTCCCATGGAGAGCGAGAGAGTCACATGACGATCCGAAGGACAGCGAGACCAACAGCTGAGATGGATACAAGTGTACCGATACAGTACTTGATCACCTCGTACTTGGCCGCTTCTAACTGAGCTCTCAAAGTGTGAATCTCCTGTGAGAGAAAATCAGGAAACAATCAATATATATACATAAAAACAACTTTGCTGCAAAAAAACAAACAAACAAATACACAGAAACCAGAGATGAGAATACTGACACGGTCAAGTTTGTTTGTAAGGTTAGAGGTTTCGGCGTTTTGATTTGTTAGCTCATCTCGTATCCTCCTGCCACCATTACCGAAGTTTTAGTAAGTTGTAACCTAAAGAAGAAGTTAAGGAATGAAGAGAGATATAAGGTAGCTGTTTCTCTTACCCTTTCTCAAGATTCAAGTCCAAACGTTGTCCTGCTGTGACTTTGTCGATCTCGTGCCTGCAATGTCAAATTTCTATCAGTCACTGCACTGAGTCTATAGCAAATCAAAAACCCTAGAGGCCGTTCCTAGAAGGCTGACCTAATATCAGTGCGGATTCGCTCTATGTCGTTGCGGAGTTTCTCATTCTCGTGTTGCAGCAATGAGAAATGGTGATCCTATATACATACACCGCTTTTCCGAATCAAGGTTGAGAGCAAACACACAGTAATACAAGCGAAAGCATAGCTTACCAGTGAACTGTTGATTTCACTTTTGAACTTGGATAAGTTTGATTCCTGCGTCATTTCAGTCTACCAAGAAGCAAGAAGCTTTTAAGTAGCTATCATAATAGACATCTACATTCTGCCTTGTAACAGATTTCACAATAGAAACTTACTTTCTGCATCTCTCCCTTGGAAACAACCAACTGAGAAACAACTCCTAAGCTATCATTCAGAACCTCAGTTATAGCACCGGTTATTGCCTCTGCTTGCTTCGAAGGCAGGCCCTGTGCTTCTAAGCTCCTAACCTGAAGACCACATACCAAATTCTCATTTGAACTATACTCATAAGAAGACTATATCTAAAAATAACGACAGGACATGTTGCGTTCGATGGCTCCTGTCTGGAGTAAAACTCAACCTATTGTGTCATTTCAAAAAGCAAAAACGATAACACAAATTGTGATGAAGGACACAGAGTGCTCCTTTTTAATTTCTTCTCACAATCTTGCCTAAAAATGGACTAAGAGAAAAGACAATTCAAAGTAATGAGACATAGAAAACAAGGGACCAAGATAGGGGTTATTACCAAAGCGAGTGTATCAACGAGATACAAACGTTTCCCATTGGTTTTGACAAGTTGAGATATGAATCTGGCGTGGGATTGTCTGTACAAAGAAGATGATGATACCAACGATGAAGAAGAAGAAGAACGAATCTCGTGGTCATCGAACAGAGTCCTGTCAAATGTCGGATTCGGAGAAGAGATTGATCTGAAAGTCGAAAAATTAAGACCCGAACTAGTTCCAAGTCGTGCCACCCGGAGGTAATTCGCGAAAGCGGCCATCAAAACGATGCACAGAGAGGAGAAAGCAAAATCCACAAAATTGATTTGCAAAGTGGAAACCTTAGAATTGAATCAACTCCAAAAAATTGGATTTGGATCGGGTGGAAGACAGAATGCGTGATGAGAATTTCTCAATCGGGGTAAGCATGCAAATGGAGATTCAGCGATGGTCAAAAGGAGAGAGAGAGGGAGAGAGAGAGAGAGAGAGAGAGAGAGAGAGAGAGAGAGAGAGAGAGAGAGAGAGAGAGAGAAAAGGGGAAAAGAAGAAAACTTTGAAGATGGGTTTGGTGGAGATTGTTCTTATGGTTATTCTGTTCTTGGTGTGTTCTCTGATCCTCCCATTGAAACCGCTAAGACTTCTCCGCACCATTAAAAGAAACAGACGGACGACGAACGATGATAGAGAAAGCGTGAGATTTTCGTCTTTCCAAAATGGGCACGTTTCCCAAACTCAAATCCCGTTTAGTTATTTCTTCGGATATTCCATTTTAATAACTGTAACCCCACGTGCTAATAAAGCTCTCTGCTAAGTCCTAACTTGACTGTAAGAGGAACTAGTTGTCGGAAAAAGAATACTACAAGAGAACAGATATTTTTTTTAGAAATCAATTACTACTATACTTTTTATTTCTTGTTAACGAACACTGGAGCCTAAATTTGTCATTAGCGTACCTTAACTATTGTTATGTTTGCATTAAGGTAAACACCAAGTTCAGAGAGTGTTCATATATCAAGTTTTAAGACTATTACCATCAAGAAGAAAAGTACATACATAAGAAAAAAGAGTTAAATGAACTTTCTGAGAACTTTGAATATGTATCAGTAAAACCAAAATTGAGGAAGGTAGACATATTACTATTCTCATAGTCGTAGCTAATCACTTTGGTACATAGGCTGCTTTAAGATACCAATGCAGCCATTTTTTGGGGGGTTGCTTTTTTTATTTTAAGAAATCAAGAGGAGAAACCAAAAAAGTGTCAAATACGATTAGATATTTCCTCTCGTCTGTCACCTGTGCGCTTTTTCTTTTTTGGTTTCTCTTCCAGTATCCACATTTAATGTAAAAAGTTTCTTTATTTTGGTCGCTTTCGATATGGGTCCATGGAGTCGTCCACAGTCTCTTTGACATAGTTACCCACTCTCTTCAGGTTCTTCATCACCCCTGATGCTACCAGGTTTGCGTTCCTTGTGAACCTGATACATTCCACCCATATTGTGTTAGTTATGACTATCATATATGGCCTTTTTTATGGTAGATAGGACTGATTATTGGTTCGTCTGACAATTATAGTTATACAAGGATCTGTAGTTTGAGGTTTGTATATCTTTTTTTTTTTTTTTTTTGCAGGCATTTTCAAGTCAAATGCAAATGCTATTGCCTATTAAGCCACATGCCCAGAAACAAGTCAAAAGCTATTTGCTTACCTGGTTACGAATCCGTTTTCTGTGTTTGTGGCTGGGGCTGGGGCTGGGCTTGGTTTCTGGTTCTGGAGCTGAGGCAACTCTCGAGAATCTAGAGAACACAAAGAAAATGATTAGCATTAAAGAGAGACAGATTACGTTTCATAGTTGTAAGCTGGTGAATAAGACTAGATTCGGTGTACCTTTTCTATTTTGAACACGAGCTGGAACAGATGAAGTGTTGCTAGAAGCTGCTCTTCTATCTGCTAGTATCTGCATTAACACAAGAAAAAAAATTGATATTTAGAGGTTGCGAACAAAACTAAGTAGACCATAATCCTCTTTAATGCCAATGATGATCGCAATATGTATCCAGTTTTTTTTTTGCAGAAGCGTCTTCAAAATAATGCACACATAAAGGAAACCAGACAGCCTAACCGGGTCTAATGTCAGGCACATAATAGTCAAATGAGAGCAAGATTGACCAGACAGCCTAACCGGGTGTAATGTAAGTTACACTTTCGGGGCAATGCAATGCATTTCGAGGGAAGTGATAAGAGTGTGTGTCAAACCTCAAGGCCGACACAAACGGGAAGTTGGGTCTTGGTAGGTTGCTTCATGGCAGATGAGTCTTTTTCAGTCATGTAGACTGAATAACCCAAACATCCATAGTAAAAATCTGCTAAGGTCCTGCCCTCTTTCGAAGCTTCTGCTTCAGACTGTCCAACAACGTAATCAGGAACTGCAAATGTTTTTGAAATCGGAATTAAAGAAAATATGAAGAAAAAAAAGAGTAACAAAAAGCAAAAGAACACATCTCTCTTCAGTGGTCGTGAAACAACAAAGGTGAACAAAGCAATAGTATTAACATAGCCTAGTGGGATGATGATTCAGATTTTGAATTCTGAATTGTAGAATCTACAAATCAGATTACTAAACATCTCTCAACCATTTTTAGTTAATCAGGAGAAGTAATCGCAATGATAAAAAACCAAAATTTTCATGTAAATGTTATGATTTAATCAAATTTCGGAATAAGAAACGATTCAATTACAAGGAGAGAGCTACGTGGCGGATTCAGGAACCTTAGTATGACAGAAACAGCCATTAATTCAAAAGGAAAGATCGAGTTTCCGTCTTAGAGAGAATTAAAGAGAGAAAAAACAGGGGAAAAGACGAATTACCTTGACGGAGAGTACGAGGGATTCCGACGCAGCGAGGGTTCTTAGCCTTGGATTTGAGAGTGGAAGAGTAATAAAGATAGCCTTTGCACGATCTTCCTTTCTCGAGAGATCCTCTCCCTTGTTGCTGTTCTGGTTTCTCTTCCATTGCCGTTCTCTTTACTTCTCCGCTCGAGCCTTCACTCATCGCAAACCTCTCTCTCTCTCTCTCTCTCTCTCTCTCTCGTCTTAATCTTATTCAAAGTCTTCTTCTTCTCTCTCTCTCTCTCTCTCTATCTTTCGCTCATCTTCAGGCTCTCGTCCGATCTGTTTCCCGGGTACTCTATTACGGCGGTGCCCTCCAATTTCATTGTTCCCATTTTTCTTAAGGAATATTATTTCATCTGTTTCGAAATGTTAGCAAATAAAGTAAATGGGCCGAGACCCATAAAAATAACAAATAGACCCAAAAAAACTACAAAATTAATCCTAAAGAAATAATGTATACCATTTCCTCGTGAATCCGCTCAATTTTATCCAAGTTTTGCTCAAACGGCTACCCCCACCTTGAATTAATTTAGGAAAGAGGCATATTGGATGATTGAATTAGATATAATATACAAGAATTCAAAAATAATTGATTTTTCAGTAATTTAAAATATTTTGTTGGAATTTAAAATAATTCTATTAAAATCAAAGCAAGAAAAGGGTATTAGATGATTGAATTAGATAAAATTAGATAATGATAAAAATTGGTTCTTTAAAAATTTTAGGTGAGATTTTATTAATCTTTTCCTAAATAATAATACTATCAAAGCTATTGCAAAATTGAATAACACTAACATTTAACATAATTATGAAATTAATGAATTCAATAACACTAAAATTCAAAGTAATTTAATAGACTACATATAAATAACTAATCCAATAACACATGAATTTAAAAAAAAATCATAAAATACATTATGGAATAACATCAGAATTGAAAAGAATATCCAATTCTTAAATTCTATTAAATCCTTAAATTTTATTGATTTGGTTAAAAACATAAAATATATTTTAAGTTTAGAATAATTTGTTACCGTCATTAAACTGAAATTGGAAATAATTTTGTGATCTATGTTCTTACTTATGATGCTACCAACACTTACAATTTTGGATAGTGCATATGTTTGATATTTTAATTTAAAATAAAATATTTTCTCATCGCGATAAAAAAAGATAATTCGAACTATGTATTCCACTATGTATCATTTATGTTTTAATGATATATAGACGAAAACTAGCTATTTTGATTCTCTTTCTAAATGTTTTCTAAAACTTTTTATTATATTATTTAATTTTATTATTTAGTTTTTAGTTGTAATTTAAATTTAAACTAATAAATTATAAACAACACATGAAATGAGCATCTTATGAGTCTCATCTCACCATTCTCTCTCTTCTCTTTTTATAATTTTACTAATATTTTAAGATGAGAGACTCAATTAGAACTCTCCAATGCAGATAGTCTTAGAAATATTTAATCACTTTCTGTTTGTGCTTATCTAATCATCTTGCTGGTCCTGCTTGCTCTAATTACTAATTGTTTTCATCATTCCAGAGTAATGTAGAAGGCAAAAGGCAAGTTAATGAAGCGATCGACAAATGTGAATCCGTCTATCGCAGTAGTATTTTAGATCAACCGGATGAAAAGAAAAAAAAGGTAGCACTATTTTAAATTCTTAAATTTTATTAATTTGATTAAAAACATAAAATATATTTTAAGTTTGTATCAATTTGTTACCGTCGTTAAACTAAATTTGGAAAGAATTTTGTGATTTATGTTCTTTCTCATGATGCTACCAACACTTACAATTTTGGATGGTGCATATGTTGGTCATTTGATCTTTGATTACTTTGAAAAATCTTTTACATTTTTCTACTTATCTTTAGTTTTATATGTTTTATCTTCTAGATATATGATCAAGTTAAAATTATAAAGAACATCATATTTTATTATGTGTTTGAGGATAGTGAGAATTTGAGAAGTTTTTCGAAAAAAATCTTTGTTTTGCCAGAGACCATAACTTGCATCTACGGACTTTCTTCTCATCAATGGTTGTCTTTCTCAAAGCTTGGATCATGAAGTTTCAACCGTGGTATAAAAAGTAATATTATTTATCTATTTGGAAATGTTATCAAATAAAGTAAATGAAAATTACAAATATACTCAAAAACCTACAAAATTAACAATGATAATTTATTTTTCTACAATTGAATTGGTTGCAGAACATAAAACATCTTTAAATTTAAATTTGTTTGATATTTTTAATTTGAAATAAGCTATTTTTCATCAAGATAAAATATATATATATAGAACCATGTATTCCACTATGTATCATTTATGTTTTAATGATATATAGACGAAAAACTAGCTATTTTGGTTCTCTTTCTAAATGCTTTCTAATACTTTTTATCGTCATACTTGATTTTAATTTCGACGACAATTAAAAAAATTAATAAACTATTCGCTAAAGTCTTGGCTTTGTCAGAAATTATTACAAGCATTACAAGGTTTTTTTGAAATGTTCAAAACCTATTCATTCGGCGAACCTTCAACTATGTATAAACGATAAAATAAATATTTGTTGGAGGTTAAGTAAAAATTCTCACATAGAAGTTGTAACTTTTAAAACTTTTCTAAATGAAAAGTTATATAAGAAGCTTTAATAATTACTTAAAACATGCGACTTATGGGGTACATAAACTTTGGTGTAACAAAAAAGCATGTTCGAGATGTGTTAGATAAACCAGAATAAATACAAAATACAAGAAATGAATGAGAATCAAGGGTGCCAAAAACTACAAGAAGCCCCCTTTTTGCAGTATCCACTCTCATAAAATTTACAGATTTTCAGCCCTTTGGGCGGATGAGCTGTGTGCGAACCTGATCCATGGTCATACCCATGGCTACTGCTGCATGGCCATTGCCGATTATTATGACTGTTGTTGAAGCTACTGCTGTGACCGTTGTTCCACCATTGCCGTTCTCTGCTCTGCCCACCGGATCTCCTTTGCTGACTTTCACTTCCACGTGGACTGCGCTCGGCGTTTCCACGGACTGAGTCATGTGATGATGATGACCTAGGACTCGGTTCCAAACCAACTCCCGAAACAAACTTGGGAAGCCTCTCGACCGATCCAGCTTCAGCTGTGGTTTCTGATCCCAGTCTGAGAGCTGTTGTCGTGAGAGTCAGGTCGTGACTTGTAGAAGCTGGCGCTGCCGGTGCAAAGAGCAGGAGCTCAGGACCAGCGGTTTCGCAGTGGCTGAAGGGAGTGTTATCTTTTGCTTCTGTGCCCATTAAGCTTCTCCCGGCAGAGACATTGTCGAGGATACTCGGCTGAGAGAGATCCATTCTGCATGTTTCAGGTGTGAGGGACATGCGTGCCACGGGGTTGAAGAAATCTTTTTCTGGCCCTTTTGTCAAATCATCGTCGTCATCGCAGTGAAATGTGGAGGTGGGTGAAGAAGGTAAACCGTTCTGCTCCATTGCTTCAACTTCGGCTAATAGATCTGAAACTGATTCATCACACTCGTCCGGGTCAGCCACAATGGCCGGCCACCCAGATGAGTGAGACACTTGGGTGTTGTGTGAAGTCTGAGTAGGTGTGGCATGATCAGCTGCCAAATCAATTGGCTTCACAGACGGTTCAGCTAAAACAACAGCATCCTGCTGAGTTACTTGGGGAAGAAGTTGTCCTCCAGTGACCACAACACTTGAAGTGGTAGTAGCAGCATCGGTGGTTGCGGTGGTGGTGGTGCTCCATGTGACACCAGATGGTCCTTTGATCAGAACACATGAAGACAGAGACTGAATAGTCTCTGCCGCTTGAGCTTCCAAGTCTTCAGGGCTCGACTTAGGTGTAGGACTGGGAAAATCAGGGAAATGGATTTCTTGATTTAGGTTGGGTGCATGAACAGAACCATTTATGGAAACAGAACCACCGTTTGTTCCATCCTCCACAGTCTTAATCGTACTATGATTACCATCTGCTCGCACAGCATGGGATTGATCAGTTCCTGGAGTTTCTCTTACGTCAGGAGTAACCACAGATATTGATGCCGGACAAGTAACCTGAGGCTGGAGATGAGCAGGATTACTACCCTCAGCTTTTTCAGAGCTAGATACAAGAGCCTCAATTTGTTTCTCTTTTGGATCGTGAGCAAGGACACCAACAGTAGAGGACGAAGAGGAGGTTGCACTGGTGTTGACTGGCGTAGGGTTATATTGAATACAGTTCACATCCACGCCAGTGTGTCCAGAATCGTGCGGAGACGGTTTTTGTTCTTGGGGAAGCATAGAGGAGCTTGGCGTAGCAGTGGTTTTATCAAATCGCCCGGCAAGAGCTTCAGTTAAAAGTACAGACTCGTCTTGATTCTCATGCGCTTTCCATATCCTAAGATAAGGGGGAAAATGGCCACTAGATTTCCATCTGCGGAGCTGCACCATAGAAAACGGCCCCTGGGTCTTTCCTGTTGGATCTCGATAATGCCATATTTCACTATCCTCATCATCTTTACCGGCTTCCTGCAGAACTCAGAAATTTGTATTTGACATGGAACCAAAATTTAATAAAACATTAGGGCTTACATTGTGAACAGAGTAGGAGTCAAACCTGGATATCTGATGAGTTGTTGTGGACCTTGGAACAATCATCTTTATTAGCATGCACGACATTTCTGCTTCGCAGAACTGGAGCTTCATATTTTTTCTGCGCATTATTTCCCAAGTTGTTCAGGACATTCCCTCTTTTCTGCGGACCCTTACTTTGTGCCTTTATGTGGTTATCTGCAAATAAAAAACGTAGAAGATTGTAAACAGCAATCACCAATCAGGACGTTTCGTAAGATAATGAACAAGTAGCTGTTTCACATCCTAGGTTAAGGTGGGAGACCTTGTTTCCTCGTACCCAACCCTGCATCTTCCGCTGATGCATGGCTCGGATCCATGGTTGGATCTGTATGAACTTCTGGGACTTCCTGCAGAAGCCGCTGGCGTTCCTCAGGTGATTCTAGAAGCCCTATCTTTTCTACACATTCTCTAAGCGTGGGAGATGGTTAAGAAATCAAGACTTGAACATTTTCATGCAATCAATGTCAAAAAGTATAATGGGAAGACCGGAGTACTTGTAAAGTTGTTTACTACTCAAAGTAAACAATTCTTTGTCGTTCAAGTGGCATGGTCATCTTTCCAAGGGATTATTTCATCAAAGACTCATAAATGTAGTATAGCAACATTTGCAAAGAGAAACACTGTAAGCGAAGTGCAATAAATGTAGTATAGCAATCTCAAAAAGGATATTCTTTTCTATGACCAATCTCACTGGCCCGATCACGGAGATGTTTCAACTTTAATATCTCAGCTTCCAGAGCCTAAATAGACAAAACATCAATAAGAACCACAGCAGAGGACAATAAAGAACTTGATCGTGGGGATCTTTACTATATATACGAATGATACTCGCTGTATTTAATGAACCTACCTCATTGATTCTCATGGCTTGCAGTGTTGCTGCCGTCTTCAAAATGTCACCCTGACACCACGAAAAGATAAACATATGTTTCCAACTTAGGTAAAATATACAATTTCAGGACGAGATATCAAGTGCGCATGCTTACCACGGTTAGACGTTTATTGAGTCCACATTTAATGCTCTGGCGCAGCCGTTTGCACTCGTCCTGAAAACCACAGTTATAAGTACACGAGTTACCTTATTAGTAGATGGGGTACTTCTTATTCTCGAGCAGAGAAATGTAGACAAAACAATATTTCAGAGAGGACTATATTTACCTCTGTGACATTCTGATCTGATAACTGATCAATCGAGATGACTTCTCTCTTGTCTAAATTCAATATTTCTAGCATAACATCTGTAGTCTTTGCGCCAAGTTGGTAGGATGTTGTTGCCTTGCTTGTACCTGTTACGTAACACCACAAAATCAGCTGAGATCTTACCATTACAACTTTTGGCTCACATATTTCCCAATTTCCAGTGGTTCCCTTAAAAAGCATTAATATGACCATTAATCAAGTACCTACAACTTGAACAAGCCTGTGAATATCCAGCTTCTGGTCGCTTCCAGATACCTTAATTCTCAAAATTGTGCCTACCACCTTTTCGTGAACTTTGTTGACATCATCAAGTAGAGTCTCTAAAAATTTACGTCTCAAATAAATCAGATTAATATTGTGAACATCAATGGCTGCATATGCATCCAGATTTTCGTTTTGTACTCTGCTATCAGTATCAGTTTTCCTACGCATCTTCCGTCTTCTATCCCTAACCGGTGGATCATGAACAATATCCTCCTCTATTTGGCTAGGAACAGCAGGGGAGGTTTCACCGTTGGTGGTTTTCTCGTCTTTCGGCTTCTCTTGAATAAGGAAGTGAGACTCAAGAAGCTTAAGCATTTCAAAGTGGCCTACCCGCTGTTTTCCAAACAACTTCACAAGCATTAGGTCACAAATCACTTGAGACTTCTGAAGAGGATCCCTAAGATCTTTTTTCTTAATATAGTCAAGCAGAAGACCCTGTACGTCGAACTGAGAAAGAACCGATGTATCGCCATTTCTCATGAACGACAAAAACTCGAGGAGTTCTTTCGTTGCCCAGTTTGTATCTTCAGGAAGCTTCTTTAGAATATTACTTGGGTTTTTGGCATCCAACTTGCTGGGCAAGGTGGGGGAATCACTGGTCCTTCTTCTTTTTGTTCCATTCACTGCTACATCTAAAGCTGAATTGTCTGAAGAATGAGCTTTGTTATGGGTACGATCATTTCGTGACTCCATTTTAGGAGCCATGTTAAGAACCTCCTTCCATGGATTATTCGCTTTAGTAAGCTCGTCGACCGTTAGAGACAGTTCTTCCTTCAGGCAAAGCCAATATACCTTGAATAGATACTCCCAACTGAGCTTGTCATCAAAATCCACCTTAACCTACAAACCAAGAACAACAACTGTGAGCAGCACACATCATGATAAAGTAAAGAGGATAGTATAATAGGGAAAAAAACTGAACTTTCTTAAAAATCTAAGAAAATACAAGATTTCCTGCATATTAAAATGCCCCCACTAATAGTAATCCTGGATCCGCCACTGTTGATATGCATGTGCATGGCAACACAATCAAATGAGATGTAAATGCCAAACACTACTTTAATCAACAAACTATATTCCTCCTAAGGTAAAAAATCAATTGGACAATGCAAATCTTGCGGCTAAGCATTGAAGGGAAACAAAAGATTGTGGAGGAGTGTCGTACCGCTTCATTATCTCCTTGAGCAATATTCTCAATCAACATTATAGGCTTAATACATGTGCCACAAAGACCCATGTTACCTCTCACAATCACATAGTCGGCATCTTTAATGCACCGCTTACAAACAGAAAAAGTGCATGTATAACACATGTAACTGGAAGCCTTTTGGCATGTACCGCATATGTGCCAACCTGAAAAATGAATGAACGAAACATCAGTTTTTGAAGAGATTTGAAATGACCGGCACGTAGGAACCAACACTCCCTAGATTGCTAGACAGCAAATACAACATAGTAACATCATGGGACATACCACAATTCCATTTAGCCGTTGTTCGAAAGAATGCCTCATCTCTCTTAATACAAGCTGGATGGTATGCCTTGGGGCAGTTCCTGAATTGACAAGACAAACCCATCAAAAAGCTAATCCATAACACAAATCTCGTATCTAAAACCTCCATAAATAACGATCATTGACAGTGCCCACTTGCTTTCTATAGCAATTGCGTAATTCTAATCGATGGCATTAACTAGAGCGTACAATAATTGTAACTAAAGCACTAACATATACCAATAACTAATTAAACTCTTTTTCGTTGTAAAACATCAGCCGAGGCTCTAACCTCTATCTATGCATACAATCTAACATAGTTATCACTGTAAAGCTGACAATCACTTACCGTCGATCACAGAGAACGAGGTCTCCGCCGTCGAAGCAAATAAAGCAGACATCTTCTTCCTTTTCTTCCTGCCGCTGCGGCGGCGGTGGCCGAGTTTGCGACGGCGTCTTAGCCTGTGCCTTCGGAGGCCGTCCCCGTTTTCGCTTTACAGGGGCGGCTTCATTAACAACTTTGGCCTCTTGCTCAATGGATAAGCCCATCGTCGGGGCAGGTCCAGGGAGAGCAGGAACTTGGGTTGCAGCGATCTCCTCGCATTGACCAGCTCTCATAAGATCGATTCCCCTGACCGAACTCTCTTCGCGACGAGCCAAAGCAGTCAACTCCGGCTCGAGCCGCTTCTGCTGATTCTCCATGGTTACGCTAAGAATTCGAAATATATAAGAGCAGTACTTGCAGATCAATCAGTGAAAGAGAAACCCTAATCTGAGGTTCTTTGGGGATTTTGGCGATGATGATGGAGAGTATGGGTGATGTGTTTAGAACGAAGACTAGTGGGGAAAAAAAATAAAATGGACTTTTGTTTTCGCTTTTTTTGCCCACTTCTTCTTACTGTGTGTTATGACTCTTCTGACTCCATTTTAAAGAGAAAACCCAAAAAAAAAAAAAAATCTTGTTTCTCCTAATAGAAACTTTTTATTTTATTTTTTTAACATCATTTCTTCTTATAGATTTATTTTCCAGATTTATTACTATTTACGGATTTCAAATTCATTTCTAAAATGTTAAAAGATTTCCTAGGTTAACGTTGTTGATTTTGTTATGGCTCTGCTTTATGGAAAAAAATTGTTTTGAATTTGCTTCTAGTTATAGGTTTTATCTTCTAGGTCCAGATTTCAAATTAATTGCTAAATAGTAATGTTAGATTTTCTTGGTTAAAACCTTCGATTATCCATTCGAAAAAACTTTTTTACTCAAGAAAATATGACATTTTATTTTACATAACAACAAATAAAAAAATAAACCAAGAAGCAATCAAGAGACTCGGTAATAGTCAAAGATTGTGTCTCAAAATGTTTAAAGTAGTTCCCATATCTTTCATCTTTCTTTTTCATTTTTTCACACAAATAGTATCCCAAAACATTATAATATTTATGAAAAAAGATCAAAGAGTAACCCGACCCGACGGAGAACAATCTCAGAGGATATTGAATCTCTTTTGTTGTTGTAGAAAATCATAGGATATTTCATGGTTTGGTCATCTATGTTTATATCACTCACACTCACATGGTATTGTAGGTATGTACCTTTGTTGGGCATTGTTCACGTGCATGTTAGACTTGCCTTTTTGTTATAAAGTTTACAAGTAGGCTTCTTTTTATCGAACTTATGATATATATATTTTCTAAACATCTATGATCCATATCCTTATTTTTAGTAATATAGTTTACAAAGACAATGTTTTCAAAATCATTCAAATAAATTCTCTGTTTTATATTTGACGCTATAAAGAGAAGCCATTTGAGTGAAGCTGTGAAGGTACTTCGTAATCATGTTTATCAACTAGTAGTATTAACAATTGTCTATGTACTGTTACAACACTAACGAAGAGAGGCATGTAAACGTTTCTATAAAAAGAAAGGATAACACTGACGATAGGGCTCTATAAATAAATAAATTGAGATCTTTATCCTTTTCTGCATTTTTTGTTTTTATCTAAAAAAACGAGATTTCTCAAATCATTTCGATTTCTTAACCGATTATATAAAAATTGAGGTGATTGTTGGTTAGCAAGCATTTTAATCACCGCTAAATTAACTGTAAGCGCCGCATTTCCGAACATAGTAAGTAAGATTATTCCAATATTGATATATGCCAAAAACATAGTTTATAAGTAAGATCGTGAGAATATAACCGTAAACGAAGAGAACAAATCAAAATAACACAAAAGGGTACACATGCATGTAACGAAATTTTGAACATTTGTCATAACGATTGATTGGAGTATTATGAATTTTAAATTGATTTATGTCAAATATATTGGTTAGGGAGTATGCGTAACAAATTGGTGTTAAGTGGACGGGTCAACAAACCAACCCGACCCGTTTAGCAAAAGTTTTCAAAAAAGAAATGAATATAACTAAACCCGGCTTTTTATTAATCAACAGAAAACTCTCTTCATCTTCTTAAACAAATTACTTTTTATTGTTGTGCTGCCTGAAACAAGAATTTTTTTTTTTGTTGCTCCTCCGTCCAAGAAACCGACGATCCAAACATGAAGGATTACTCAAAGATCGGTGATAAATCGGTGGTGCAGAGAACAAGACGACGATGCGAAGGCACCGCCATGGGCGCCACCGTCTTCGATCTCCGACCCGGCGTCGGCATCGGACCTTTTTCAATCGGTATGCGATTCTCTCAGAATTTCTGCTGCTTTTCTCTATTTTGAAGTATTCGAGAATCAGTTTATCATCTACCCGGCGTTGATTGGACTTTGGAAGATAAGCAATCGATTTGCGATCGGCGATTGCGTGTTTGTATGGGAATTCTGTGATAACATTTATTTTCTGGGGTCTGACATCGCGACGAAGTTTCTTGGTGTAAATATCGTAGTATTAGCAAACGTCGTGTGAGTTGTTTTAGTTCATTAGCAGTCTGTTCAACTTCCGATCAGTTTGACCGACGATCAATTCGTGGTGTTGTCTCAGGGATGCCAATTTGTGAAGCATTTGCTCAAATAGAGCAGCAGCCGAACATATATGATGTTGTCCATGTTAAATACTACGACGAGGTTTGTGCTAATAGGACTAATTCAATCTGCTTCTTTCATCCAATTTATGTGATTTTTGTGCTGGATTTGCTATGATTCCGTTGCCTTGCGCAGGATCCTCTGAAACTGGATGTTGTTATTAGCTTTCCGGATCATGGGTTTCATCTCCGATTCGATCCCTGGTCTCAGGTACTACTCTTTACTTGATGATACTGTGGTTCATACTTGTTTACTAGATGGTGATGTGGTTCATATTTGTGTTTGACAAAACCAACTTCACTAAAGACAAACTACTGTGTTTCAACTTTCAAGTATTAAAGAGGGAAAAAAATATCCTCATGTTATCTGCAAATCAGGATACACCATTATTCGATTAGTCTCAAGTGGAATAAACTTATTTCGCAATTCAGTATAGTCTACTTTTGTTTGTTAAAGACACTCAAGTTTAGTTCATGTTCTTCCGATTTTGTTTGCAGAGGTTACGCCTTGTTGAGATATATGATGTCAAGCGGCTTCAGATGCGCTATGCCACTTCTATGATTGGGTGAGTCAAGTAGTTAAAATTTATGGGTTTCGTGTAGTTTACTGTTCTGACGACTGTCTTTCGCTTGTACAACAGGGGGCCATCAACTCTGGCCACGTTTGTGGCTGTTTATGCACTTTTTGGACCGACCTTTCCTGGAATTTATGATAAAGAAAGAGGGATTTATTCTCTGTTCTACCCGGTGAGCAAGAAATTAGACTACGGTCACACTGTTTTTCCATAAATGTTTGAATTTGTTCTAAAATTTGTTTAATTACGACAGGGGCTATCCTTCGAGTTTCCAATTCCTAACCAGTACACGGACTGCTGCCATGATGGAGAAGGTATGTTCGTCTCCAGACTCCAGAGAGATTCTGTTTATATTTTTTTGGCTTGTTCAATATCTAACTTCTTACACTTTTTTTTTGTTTTTCTACAAAGCGGCACTGCCATTAGAGTTCCCAGATGGCACCACACCAGTAACATGCCGGGTCTCTGTGTATGACAACTCAAGTGACAAAAAAGTTGGTGTAGGAAAATTGATGGATAAAGCTTCTGTCCCTCCTTTGCCTGTTGGCAGCCTGTATATGGAAGAAGTTCATGTCAAGGTGTGACTACTCTCAGTCCCTTTTGTGTGTTTTAACATCTCTTAGTCTAACATAATTAGCAGTTAGCCATCTCCTTACTCTTCGCATGACTTTATTAAAATTTTATGCAGCTTGGCAAGGAACTCTATTTTACCGTTGGAGGTCAGCATATGCCTTTTGGTGCATCACCACAGGTAAAGTTTGTACATTGCCTTATTGTGCTTCTTCTTTGGAAGTCATCATTTCGTGCTCCGTGCCTTATTGTGTCTCTTCTTTGGAAATCATCATTTCGTGCTCTGTGCAGGATGTATGGACTGAATTAGGACGACCATGTGGGATCCACCCAAAGCAGGTGATCTTATTTCTGTCTCTATGAACTTGTTTGTTGTATATGGCGAACAGATGCTAACATTAGGTTCTCTTACTATCTTACCTGCATCATCTCACTGTTCAGTGCCCACTTGTACATATGGATTTCTGCTTCTAAATTGTCCTTTGCTTTCCAGGTTGATCAAATGGTTATTCATTCCGCGTCAGATCCACGACCAAAAACAACTCTTTGTGGTGATTACTTTTACAACTATTTCACTCGTGGTCTGGACATCCTGTTTGACGGCGAGGTAGGCAACTCGTCAAATAGAGTTAATATGTTCCCTTCGTATGTTTTACTTATCCATGACTCTGCCTTTGATACAGACGCACAAAGCTAAGAAGTTTGTTCTTCACACCAACTATCCTGGTCATGCTGATTTCAACTCATACATAAAGTGCAACTTTGTGATCTCTGGTAAGCAATGTAAATTAGTAGCAGCTTCATGCTAGTTAATTATCATTTACTTATATGTATAATATTTCTTATTTTTCAACAAAGTACGCTTTTTGATACTTTTTAGTTGGAGAGGATGCGGCAGAAGCAAACAGAGGTGGAAACAAGATAACTCCAAGATCGAACTGGGAGCAGGTTAAGGTAACTTAAATTCAGACCAAAGTGATGATTTTATCATAGCAGAAAAGTGATAGGAAGCTAGTCTATGTTCAGCCTTGACCAATTTCTAGTCTCGTGACCATCCTAATCGTTGCATAACCAGAAGAAATTTGTGACGAAGCGTCCAAGAAATGATAAAATGCAGAAATTTCAGCATAATTATGTCTGACTGATTTGTATCAGAATTTCTGAGAATGAGATTGCTAAAGAATCGTAAATCATTGCTTATGAAACCTTGCTTTGGCCTTAGGATATACTCGGGGAGTGTGGCCCAGCAGCTATTCAGACACAGGGCTCAACTAGCAACCCTTTTGGATCGACATACGTGTATGGCTATCAGAATGTTGCATTTGAGGTGGAGCATTTTTTAGTAACTCTAATTCAATAACTAGGATCCATGTTATATATTTGCAGGTTGTTAAACTTAACTTCAAGTTGGGTTAATATTTGCAGGTGATGAAGAACGGTCACATAGCCACTATAACTTTGTTCCAGTCATGATGTGTTTATACCTTCATGAGGTATGCCTTTACTAATTCCTCGTTTATCTTCATGTGCTTCATTCACTGTCTGATTTTGTAGAAGAAATAGGCTTATATTATAATTTGTATTCTGTAGTATGCTTTGGAAGCTTCTCCACATGTGGAAGATTAATCAGTGTATTTGTTGTAGGTTGGGCTTTTTCATGCTTTGGCTCGAGAGGCTAAAATCTAACGTCAACAAGATGCAAACTATGGATATCAGCAAAAACTACACCAATGTCTAAAACAAATGTTGTACAGTTGTACATTTGTTTAGTTAATATCAAGTGTTCTAATAACAATTACTCTATGGTTTATATCCATTTTTTCAGACTATATTATCCATTTACTGTATTTGTGAATATGCAGCTTCAGAAGTTGAAAAAAAAAAATCAGATTAAAAAAATTAAAAATCTCCGTCGCCGGGACTCGAACCCGGGTCTCTCGGGTGAGAGCCGAGTATCCTAACCAGCTAGACTACGACGGACTGTTGACTAGTGCTGACTTAAAAACCTAGAGTGCTAGACTACGGCGAACTGTTGACTACAGTTGACTTAAAAAAGAATTAAGATTAAAAATAAAAAGTCTCCGTCGCCGGGACTCGAACCCGGGTCTCTCGGGTGAGAGCCGAGTATCCTAACCAGCTAGACTACGACGGACTGTTGACTAGAGTTTACTTAACAGCTTTATAGCAAATCCAGTTAGTGGAAGTACAACTGTTAATGTTGATGTGTGCGAGTGCGATATACCTCTTCTATCCGTTGTGAGCAGCGTTTAGTGGATTGTTCCGGGAGGGAAAGGGGGAAACTGGTGTTGTGGATTGTTTTCATCGGCGATACGTCTTCTTCTCTTCTGGTACTCTTTCTTCTGATTCTCACCCGCTGCTTCCAATTTATTTATTGTGTGTTATTAAGAATGGCTTTTGGTTCAATCCATGGGGATGCGAGAGCTTGAACTTTGATATAGTTTCGATTTCTCTCAGTCTGTTTAGCTCGTTGGATGCTAGCTTCGAGTCTTTTAGCTTCTCCAATTGGGTCTGCATAGTAATTATGCAATTGGTTTAGACGCGATTGTTTAGGGTTTATTGGATTCACTTCACAATTCTCGTTATTCCTGATTTTTATTTTTTGAATTTAGGGATTGAGCTTGTTGGTGTGAAGGAAAGCTCCGGCGAGAGATGAGTGGGTCCGGGTTAACTGTTACTCCGCCCAGATTTCACTTCCGATGGCGTTCAGATCGTTTTGGTACATCTCAGAGAAGCTCACAAGCTTCTACTGTTCCTGGCCAACTGAATCGTCGAAATGCCGCTTGGCCTGTTCGTCAAAGGTGTTTTTTTTTTTGGGTTTTGGTTTGATTAAGCATATGCTACTTCCTTATCATTTGTTTTCTGTAATGGTTTTCTTTTTGGAGTTGCGCAGGGCTTGTTTGGCACTTCCTACACAAAGAAGAAATGCTATGATTGTCCGTGCCTTTGGTGATATGGCAGACGATTCAACTGGTATAAATATACATAATTTTAGGTTAAGCTTTCTAGTATTACTGAAGAATCTCTGGGTTTCTCCTTGCTTCTGTGTTCCTTAGAGATGATAGTTAATGTGGTTTTGAGTTGAACTTGTTGCCAGTAAACGAAGCGAGCTATTCAGTGCATAATTCTTAGTTAAACTTAAACTTCCACAAGTATGCCTCAAAAGCAGAATGACTAATGTTCCCTGCTACTTCCATAGGTTCAGCTGTTTTTCCTCGGATCAATGTGAAAGACCCATATAAACGGCTTGGGATAAGCCGGATGGCATCAGAGGATGAGATTCAAGGCGCGAGGAACTTTCTTATTCAGCAGTACGCAGGTCACAAGCCTAGTGTTGACGCAATCGAATCAGCTCATGACAAGATTATCATGCAGAAGTTCCATGAGAGGAAAAACCCAAAGATCGACATAAAGAAGAAGGTCCGAGAAGTGAGGCAGTCCAAAGTTGTAAACTTTGTGTTCGAGAGATTCCAAACTCCTCCCACTGCTTTCCTTGTCAAAACGGCAGTCACGTTTGCAGTTCTCGGCGCTTTAACGGTTCTCTTCCCTACAGAAGAAGGACCGACTTTTCAGGTTTTGTTATCAGTAATCGCTACGTTTTACTTCATCCACCAAAGGCTGAAGAAGAAGCTCTGGTCTTTCCTTTACGGGTAATAAGAAAGCTGATCATAATCGCAATAAAACCATTTGGTACCTTTTTTTTTATTTTTCGAATTCGCACCTGATCATGTTGACAATTGTGAAACAGGACTGGATCTTTCATCTTCTCGTGGCTGCTTGGGACCTTCTTGATGGTGTCTGTGGTCCCGCCGTTCATCAAAGGACCAAGAGGTTTCGAAGTCATGTCTTCGCTCTTAAGCTACGTTTTGCTTTGGGTGGCTTCGAGCTACCTAAGGTAGCAATTTTAGCTCTTTTCTTTCCTCTTTTTGTGTGTGTGTGTGTCGCAACGGATATATGAAAACACACAAAAAGAGAAGTTTCATCATCTTCATGTGGCATAGAGAGAGAGATTTTTGTTACCGGAGTTGTTATTTTCGCTGAGACCTCACTATCTTTCACAGCTCAGTTTCTAAGTCGTGTCTTTGCGCTTGCCTGCTACTTGATTCATGTCTCGCGATAGAAAAGTAAAAAAGTGTAAAATATGTTGGAGATAGGGAAACAGAAATGGCTCTCTGAAACACCTTTGAAGAGTTGAAGGTAAGTGTAGTTTTTCTTACAGGTAATCGGGCAGCAACTGAAATAGCTTCAAGTGAAAAGAGATATTAACTTTTGCCCTTTTAAAACAGATCCCATGTAACCATATCTATCATTCTGACTACATCGTCCCCTGGCTGCTTCAGAACAACTCAAGCCTAGCATCAAAAGGTTTCCATGGTGCCTCTCAGTCTCTCACCCTTCGAGGAGCTGACTCCAAAGTAACTTGTACTAATTATATATTATCACTCTTGGAATCTAGTTTTGCGTCAAGAGTGATAACACATAAACGGATAGAAGAGGTATCGCACACATCATGACACCACCAAGAGCTACTACATTAGGACATTCCACTAACTGGTTATAATAGAACCTTTCTAAGCCAACCGTAGACAACAGTCCGTCGTAGTCTAGCTGGTTAGGATACTCGGCTCTCACCCGAGAGACCCGGGTTCGAGTCCCGGCGACGGAGATTTTATTATTTTTTAATCTGATTTTTTTTTCAACTACTGTAGCTGCATATTCGCAAATACAGTAAATGGATAATATAGTCTGAAAGAATGGATATAAACCATAGAGTAATTGTTATTAGAACACTTGATATTAACTAAACAAATGTGCACTATATATGAAATGCATCATTTGTAGTTGAACTTAAAACTTCACAATGCTGACGACTCAGAGCAAAATGACTACTGCTCCCGAACATGATCAAGAGAAATTACTTTAAACAGTTGTTTGAAATACGTTAAAAATGATCACAAAGTAACTCTTCATGCAACTTAAAGTAAGAGAAATGTGTGCTCATTGTAGAATTTGATGAGAAATAACTAAACAAAGAGGTTCTCTAGGAATTAAATGTTCCTCCTCCTATGTCATATGTCATGGTGGGAAATGGAAATAAGTGTAGCATATGCGTGGTTCCTATGGTAGTTATATATCTATTAACTTAGCGCAGTGTCTTAAATCTTAATTGCAATATGTTTGTTTTGTGCTGCGTTTATTCATTGAATATGAAAGATTGAAAGGTGGAAGTGTAACGACCCGGTTTTACAAACCAGACCCGTTTGGAAAATTCAATCCCGACTAAGACGGTTTAAGCATATTTCCTATTTTTTGATATTTCTTTTTTCTTCGAGAGATAATTAATTCCTAGTTTAAATAAATATTACATTTTTAATGTGATATTAATGAACATTTTTTTAAATGAATTATGAATATTCTTATTTATAATTATATTTTCTTTTTTCGTGGTTATCTTTACTTTTTACCCAAGTCTCCCATTGGGTATAAATAAAGAGCCTTTCCCATTCTTTTTCTTCATGCTAAACTTTCCAGAGAACAGAGAAACCCTATAACTCTCTTCTCTCTCTTTTCCGGCGCCGTAGTACTCTCTCTCCGCTGTCTCTCTCTCTTCTTTCTTTCTCTCTCATCGCCGCATCCTCTCTCTCTTCATCATGTCACGCCGTTCGTCACCCCCGCCTTCTGGTGACCGCCCTAGCCACTCCCCGGAGCAGCCATCATCGTCCGCCGGTGCGGTGGAGCAGCCGCGAGTCCATTACCTTCGGGATGGACCCGTAGCCACCCCTTCCAGCCGCCGGTGTTTCACGTTGATGAGGAGCCGGAGTCCTCCCAGAGCCATACGCCGCCGCAGCATCACCCCCGGAGATCGATCTACCCTGCGTGGTTAGCCGCCGTGGAGCATCTCGCCTCCTTCTCTTCTCCTTACCTCCCCTTGCCACCTCCTTCGCCACCTAGGCCAAGGTGAGGATGAATCTGTGCTTGAATATCGTGAACTCTGCTTTTCTGAATGCATAGTTTGGGGTTAAACCAAGCATAACCTACTTTCTGCTTTAGAACTAAGTCCCAGCTAGGTCATATTAGGTTGCTGTTTGTTCTGTGATCGCCTAGATGTGTTTAGGGTTTTGAAACTGAAGTTGCAGGAGACTTAAAAGAAACCTTTACTTGTGCTTGAAACACTTTGCTTGTTTGATTGCTGTTTGGATCTCTTATGTGATTGTGTGATCGCTTAGAACTTGTAAAGAGGATAGGAACTTAATACGGTATTATGTGAAATCATAACTGAGACTATGTGTTGTGAAATGTCTGAGATGAGAGTTGAGATCATAAGGCAAAGGAACCGTGGTCGATATACTTGAGTGGAAGACTATTGTTTGGGGTCCGAGATGGATGGTTGAGATTTGCAATGCCTGGGGCTGCAATCGATACACTGAAGTTGAGGATAATCGCTGAGCCACGTGGGCAATATGCGAGGGGGTACTGAGGGACCTGACATCACATGGGGCTGTTCAAAAGGATTCAGCGTATACTCATGTGGTATGAGAGTAATGGCTATACGTAGCGCTCTCAAGGCATGGCCGACGGACTAGTCGTGTAGCGACTATAAATCTACGGAGGATGCAACCCAAGTGCCACGGTGTAAATCATCATTGTGTGGTCCGGGTATTCGCAGTGGCGTTACTTGTGACGCTAGGTTATTGTGTGAAGTCTTTAGGACATTCTATGGTGCTGTTTTAGGCTTGAACTTAGCGTTGTTAAGTTGTGGTGCATTGATAGGATAGTGTAGGTTCATTCTCCTGGGTAATCTAAATTACTCACCTCTCCAGTCCCCTATCTTCTCTCTCTCTCGATCCCCTCTAGCAGGTTAGGTGAGTCTGGATGCTCAGTATTGCATATGGATGTGGAGTTGTTTGTTAAACAAGGCGCCTTTGGTTTTCTGGAACTTGTAAAGTGGATAATGCGTTTGGCTTATGGTGCAGACGGTTATCTTGACATTGTCGGTTCGGTTTTATTGACCGGGATCGGGTGTCACAGGAAGAGTTTTGGAAGTTTCTCATTCGGTGATTGTGATCGTGATGATCCATAAATCCAGATATACCACTCGATTATGAAAACTGTTGACTGTTGTATATGATATTGACCACTGGAACTTGATGTTTGAGATTTTGTTGTAGCTCTCACTGTCTCACAAGAAGAAATGAGTCATTAAGTTTCGGATCTCCTATGAGGCGATGAAGTTTGTGAGATAACATAGGCATTATGAGCTCTTTTTGAATTTGTAAACAAACGAAAGAAAATCTAAACGCAAGACAGAACATATATATGGGTAAATAAATTATTCTGAAGGCTACCAAAACACAAAAATAGAACATAAAGAAATAGTAGCATGCATATACGTTACCTATATAATGTGACTTTATGAGTATGATTTCCGTTTTATATATATAAGAAAAATGACCAAAGATAAAAAAAAAACGAGTTCACATTTTTTTGGTAATTCTTATATAGCTAATTTACTGAATTATGTACACTGGTATTATGGATTTGAATGCTTTCACTTTTAGGATATCATGTTTTGATCAATACAGTGAAAATATATATTAAAGATATAAATATTCATAATAAAAAATCGATAACTAATTCCCTGTATATATCAAGCATTGACTTTGTCAACAATCTCATGTACCGACGTCTCATCATGTGCATGGCCCTCTTTAGCGAAGGCTGCATGGTTTTGTTCGTTTACTCATCATGATGGTCCCCTTTATTTTTCGTGTCAGATTTTATGTATATCTCCCCCAAAAACACAATTTAGATCAATATTTTGTTTTTTTTTGGTCGACCTCGCGATCATATATATGTTTATCAATCAACAGATGTCACTTTATTTGCAGTATCACTTCCATATTAGTGGCAGTTATAAAATTTGGCTATCATCAAAAGTTGAATATTAATTTCGTCTTTGTTTAGAAATGTATTAAGATGTAGTAGACTTTTACATGTTTGTTTATTAATAAACCCATATAGATTGCTATATTGATCTATGGAAGTGAGGTTTTTGTCGACGACTGAGGTTTTTATACTTTTTAATTAGACGATATTTGCATTGAACCACTTTTTTTTTTTTTGACATTTGCATTGAACCACTTTATGTACTCCAAAATTAATTGTAAATAAGAAAAAGCAAACGCACATGCCTACATGTGCTCTGTTTTTATATTATTTTATTTATTTACATTTAAACTTATAATAAATGAATTAAACATTCGTTAACGTTAGCTTTAAAACGCGAAGAATGTAAATATAAGCTGGTACAAATTATTGCTTGCATAATCATAATTTTCTTTTGTGGTTGTGATTGTGATGTGCCATTATGATCGAAACAATGTGTGATCATCATAATAAGCGATTAGGTTAGTGACGTGATTATTCAGCTTAAACTGATTTTGGATTAGACATTACTAAATAATTATAAATTTTTTCATAGATTATGAGTTTGAATGGTATGCAGTTTTTTCACGTTTTCACGTTTTGGAAACTTGATTCTGTTATTTTTTACCATTCATAGTATTCATCACATTTTCACGTTTTTTTTGTTTTTGAAACGTGATTTCGCTAACGTGTTAAAAATATAACTAAAAAAAATAAAACGTGATTAATTTATTAAAAATAGCTTTTCAGCGTTTCACAATTATTCAGCTAAAATATTATCCAATTCAGTTTATTCTGTTAATAATTTTTTAGTTATTCTGCTATTCTGTTATTCATCTGATATACCAGTCAGACCCTATATCTTCTTCAATAATTCAAATCAATGTGTAAACTGTGTAACATTGTTTTGGAATAATAAAGATTGATTTGGATTAAAAATATGTATCATTATTTATTTAAAAATCTCAGATTGAGCCACACTTTTTTTGGCATATATTATTAATGATGATGGATCTTTGAAAAATGGCAATTTGGCAACACAATAAATCAGAGATTCAGAGGAGCTGTTCCAAATCTATGATTTATTCTTATTTAATAATCTCATTAATTTTATGATTTATCAGCAACAAAGAGACTCAATAATCCAACTAAAAAAAAAAAAAAAAACTCATTAGCTGCTCCATTGTATGCTTTCTTTAGCGCGCTAATATAATTAGCTAATTCCCTAATTCACACCAACGACGATGAAGAAAACAAAAAGCCATTAACGATTAACAGCTCCCCAATTCCGATTTTTTTTTTCAAACACCTGATTTATCGCTGTAGCGAGCGAAATAGGTCGACCGAGAATCTCTGCTTTCTTCCGATCTCCACCTTCCTTGAGATCGTTTTCTGTTCATTTCCTTTCGTCGGAACACCGTCGTGGTCCGTATCGTTCACCGTCGCTCCTGCCATTGCTCTTTCACCCTCGCGTTTGGTCTCGTTTCTCTAATTTCCGTATCTCCTTCGCGGATTCACAGACATCCGGAGTCGGAACGGTGTCGCAGGTTCCAATTTCGTTGACTGTTCTTAAAATTACCGGATTTTCTGTTTTTTTTGACCGCCGTGGTATGAGTTCGTGTTAATGCTTTCCGGTACCGGAGTACATTAGAAGTCCGCACGATGATTGAATTTTTTGTAGTTTTGAATATGAGTTTCGAGAGATCCGTTGATTTAAAGTTCCAGTGTGAGACTGTGAGCCGGTGAAAGGGAATAAGGGATTTTGGGCTCCGGCGACGCATGCCACACTATTCGTGGAGGATTTGATTTTGTTTTTTTTTTTGTTTTAAAAAAAAAGAAGTTGGAGTGCAGTTGCGGCTTATTCTTTTATTATTGTTACTTTCTTGGATATTACGGCTAAATTTGTGTTGGATTATTTGTATTTGTTGTTTTTCGGAGTCAGGTTTAAGTAGTCAAAGCTTTGTTTCCTCACTGCAACATGGGGTTCCTAAAAATTCTTGGCTTCAGATCGAAAATTCTCCTGAAACGTCTGTGAAATCCTGTTCAATAACATTAATACTCCGAAGGTTCGTAAGTGCTTTCTTTGTGATTGTTGGGGATAAAATATATGCGTAGTCTTGAAACACATGCAAGGAGAGCTTTTTGACAGACTTGTTTAGAAAAGGGACCATTTCAGAAAACACCAAATCCTCTCCAGAATATTTATATGAAACTTCGTTTGTTTATGTCTCAAACAATGATGAAAAAGAACCACATTTATTTTGATTTCTCTATCATTCTCTGCTGACATATTTTGAATATAAAATAAGTGGATAGAGAATGTTTTTCTGCCCGAGACATGGAATTACACAAGTTCATAGCTGGAGTCATGATGTACAATGATTGAGTTGTCCTCATTACGCCCTTCCTCTCCCTCTATATTATATATTTATGTGTGTGAGTATATGACATTGCTGTTGTTTTTCCGCATGGTTTCTTTTGGAGTAGGATGCGGGAAAGGAGGTGAGGGATGAAGATGACCACAGGAGGGGATCAGATGCAAGGGCCGAACGGTAGAGAAGAGAAGATTTTTGTTTCTGTTCGTCTGAGGCCATTGAATGTGAAAGAAAGGGTAAGGAATGATGTGGCAGATTGGGAGTGTATCAATGATGAAACGGTCTTATACAGGAGCCATCTTTCCATTTCCGAGCGTTCCATGTACCCCACTGCGTACACTTTTGGTAAGACTTGCTTACTTTTGCAGCTTCTTGGTCAAAGGTAATCCTGGATTCTATCTTGCTGAGCTTTCCTATGCCTCTAGACAGAGTGTTTGGCCCTGAGTGTAGTACGAGGGAGGTGTATGATCAAGGAGCAAAAGAAGTGACTCTCTCTGTTGTTAGTGGGGTTCATGGTAAGGCATTCCTAGTACTGCTTTCTAGTCTTAATCCACTGTGGCTCATGTTTGATACAAGTTTCAACTGGTTTCAGCTAGTGTCTTTGCATATGGACAAACAAGCAGTGGAAAGACATACACTATGAGTGGAATTACTGATTACGCCTTGGCCGATATATATGATTATATTGAGAAGGTAAAGTCAAACAACATCATAGACTTCATAATATTCTTACCGCATTAATTCCAGGTCATTCACTAACTGTGTTCGCTCTTTTCAAAATTTTGTGTGTTTCTGCAGCACAAGGAAAGAGAATTCGTTCTGAAATTCTCAGCCATGGAGATATATAATGAGTCTGTAAGAGACCTCTTGAGTACAGACATTAGTCCACTCAGAGTTCTAGATGATCCTGAGGTATAATTTGACACTGGCACCGTATGAAATTGGTTTTGCATACCCTCACTTTGCTGTTCATTTGTTTTTTGACAGAAAGGGACAGTTGTTGAGAAACTCACAGAGGAAACTCTGCGGGGCTGGAATCATTTTAAGGAACTTTTATCAATTTGTATAGGTATTGATTCTCAAAATGTGTTTCCATTTTAATACATTTGATGTTTAGCATCAATTTGACTAGTATTGTCTAATCATTGCAGCTCAACGACATATTGGAGAGACAGCTTTAAATGAAGTTAGTTCCCGCTCTCATCAGATTCTGAGATTGGTAAGGCATTTTGCTGGTTTACACTAAAGATTCAACGCACGTCTTCAGGCTGCTTTTTTTGAAACTTTTTTTCTGACTGATATGTTTTACAGACAGTTGAAAGCACAGCACGTGAATATTTGGCGAATGGTGGTAAATTTAGTACACTTACAGCGACAGTGGTATGTACTTTCGAATCCTACATCATGTATTATCCTCCTCATTATCCTGATGAAATAAGTTCAATGATTAACTAATCATCCTGCAGAATTTCATTGATCTTGCTGGAAGTGAACGTGCATCTCAATCATTATCAGCTGGCACAAGGTTGAAAGAAGGTGGTCATATAAACCGAAGCTTACTAACACTAGGAACTGTCATTCGAAAGCTAAGGTTAGCTTCAATGAAAGTACCTAATTGTGGCACCTTAGTCTTCTCTTTATCAGTTGAGTTTGTAAATAAACCCCCTGTCTTTAAAGATGGTTGAGCAGTTTTTCATTGCTTTGAGGGTTGAGTTCTCAAGCTGAAACATATGACTTTTACATAGTAGTGCTGTTTTTACCAAATTTTTAGCAGATTGCTGCTTTTAACATCTAATGGATGTATTTTCTTTGAGTGGCTTCCTTTTACATTACTAACTTATGTGGCTAGCTTAATGCAGTAAAGGAAAAACTGGGCACATTCCATTCAGAGATTCAAAGCTGACACGCATACTTCAGTCTTCCCTGGGAGGAAACGCCAGAACTGCTATGATCTGCACCATGAGTCCTGCAAGAGTCCACGTTGAACAATCAAGAAACACATTGTTATTCGCAAGCTGTGCAAAGGAGGTGACAACAAATGCACAAGTCAACGTTGTCATGTCTGATAAAGTTCTGGTTAAACATTTACAGAGGGAGTTGGCTAAACTGGAGAGTGAGTTGAGAAGCCCTCGTCAAGCTCTTGTTGTTTCTGACACAAGTGCATTACTGAAGGAGAAGGACCTCCAAATAGAAAAGGTAATGCGATTTACTGTAATCAACCTATCAAGATATCTAAAAACAAGATGCAGTATGAGAGCTCACTTCCCTAATAAGTCTTCTGCATTACTGGGTCACTCTAGAAACTTTATGCTCTTTTCATTATCTACAGCTAAATGAAGAGGTATTCCAACTAGCACAACAACTGGAGCGGGCTCATTCTCGGATTGAGGATCTCCAACAAATTATTGGAGAATCATCAAAAACAGAGATATTATCATCAGACTCAGAAAAGACATATGTACGTCATTTTCATTTTCTAGTTTCACCGATAGCATGAATAAAACCTTCAAGTGATTTATAATCCCCGTTTTGGAATTCACCCAGGTGGTTCTGGGACATCAGTACCCCAAGCTGCGGGTGCGCAGTTCATGGGAATCTCTAAACATAACACCAGATAGCCCTGTATCAGCTCAACCGTCTTGTATGATTTCCCCACAATCAACCGAGCACGGTTCTGACGAGAATGTCTTCCAGCTTTCAGACTTTAGGATAGATTCTGGTGCAGGTAGTCCAGGCCAACACCTTTCGTTTGTAACTCCTGGGAAATTCACGAAAGTTCGACTTAATATTCGTGGGGCGGAAAATAAAAACCAGCCGCACATTCACAAGGAGGAATCTGTAGAACAGTCTCCTGTTCAGGAGGAACGATTTCCTGAAATGCGAGAGCCGAGTGAGGTGGATTCTGAAGATACTTTCACGGAACTTCGATGCATAGGAACAGAGAGTCCCGGTATCATCATGTATCCAGAGCCAAACATGCTTCCAGGGCGGTTCGTGGCTGTGAGTGCGTTACCAGTATCTGTACCAGATTCAAAGAACATAAGACCACCAACAGAAACTGGAGAAGAAGAAGAAGGAGTTAAAGAAGCCAGTGTGGTCTTTATCCAACCAAAGGAAAAAAGTGAACCCATCAAAGCCTCTCCACGCCGTGATTTGTCACTAACTGACAAATCATTTACTCAAAAGTCTTCTAAGCTCAGAAGAGACCATACACATCCAGATTCTGTCACTCTGTCTCCTGAAAAGCCTTATGCTTGGCATCTTGAGAGAGATTCTCAAACGGTAGGGAGCAAGGGACATACTAGAAGCCGAAGCTGCGGAACAAGCTTTGTATCGACCTCTTCCTCTCCTTTGTATGAGTATGAGAGAGATGCTAACACACCACGAAGCTGGTATCACAAAGAAAGATCTGAGAGCAACCTGAAGCCGTCTAGCATCAAGAGGCCACCATTACCAAAGCATTTTAGCCGGATGAGCATGCCAGCAACTTGGTTCGAGAAAGACTTCAACCGCACCCAAAGAACTCCAGCTGCTTTAGATCGTGTTAATACGAGAAATTCATCGCCGAGTGAATCACAGGTGTCTCCCTCTGAAGCTCCTGTGTATGAGCGTCAGACAAGTGGTAGAGCTTCCATCAGCCAAGAGGAAGGTGAAGAGACTGCTCCACAAAGGGACAAGCGAATCATTCATTTATCGGTTAGTTTTACTTGGTCAAGCAGAGCTTGCTTTTCGCTTACCTGTACTTGATACGACCTTAAAAATGTGGTCTTAATCTTGAGGGCTACCTCTATCATCAAACATGGCAGATGGAGGAAATAGAACAAAAGTTCTTGGCTCTAAGATCAACAAAGAGCTTCAAGGACGCTGCAGTAGACCCCATACAAGACTATTTAACCATGCCATTGAACTGGCCGGTGGAGTTCAAGAGACTCGAAGTTGAGATAATAGAGCTATGGCATGCTTGCAACGTTTCAATGGCACACAGAAGTTACTTCTTCCTTCTCTTCAGAGGAGATCAGAAAGATTGCTTGTACATGGAGGTAGAACTCCGTAGGCTCAAGTACATCAGAGAAACCTTTACCCATAATAACAGAGCTATTGAAAATGGACGCACTCTAACAACAATGTCCAGGTATATATATATTCATACAACAACAAAAAAAACAAATTGCGTTTCTTTGACAGTTGAGATCAAGGATGTATTCTCTTTTTTAACTGTGTGGGACGTGAAACAAAACAGCCTGAGGGCGTTGAACAGGGAGAGGTACAAGTTGAGTCAGCTGATGCAGAAGAAGCTAACGAAAGAAGAGAGAGAGAACTTGTTCTTGAGATGGGGCATTGGGCTGAACACAAAGCACAGGCGGCTCCAGCTGGCGCATCGCCTCTGGTCAGAGAGCAAAGACATGGATCATGTCCGAGAGAGCGCCTCTGTTGTCGGAAAGCTCATGGGGTTCGTGGACATGGATTTGGCATCCAAAGAAATGTTTGGCCTCAACTTCTCTCTTAAACCCCGTCCCAAGAAATCTAGCCTGTGGAAACGCAGTGTTTTGTCGCTATCCATTTTGTAATTGAAGGGACAAAAAGGGTCAAAAATCAGAATTCCAATTGATTCAACGCCTGAGTACTACTCAACTGAAAATGTAAATTTAAATATGGGTCTTGAGACTGAGAGGGAGTCAGCGTTCTCAAATCAAATGTAATGTCAAAATGCCAACGCGCCAAAATGTGTTAAATTTTTCAAGCCCTGATACATTTGTGTGTGTTTAATTGATTACTTAGAGTAGGCTGATAGTGAAGTCGTGCAGATTAGCTGTTCAGGTCATGGACCTATAGGTTTATTATATACATGTGGACCTTTTGACACAGAGTTGTGAGCCAAGTAGAAACCTTTGCTCTTGAAAGGAACGAAACATTGTTTCCAAACCTTCTGTATGATTTTCTATGACACGTGATATCTCTGAGCTATGTCCGTGTGTAAGAGCCAACTCCAAAGGTAAAAGTAAAAGATATATTTTGGTTTGATATAACTTTGGGAGATAGTACAAGACTAGAAGAACAGAGGATGTGCTTCCCTTTTCCATTTCATACAACAAAATTAACTGTTGCTTCATCCTCAACTCATTGAGGGGAAACAAATTGAATAACTTAAAAAAAAAAGACAAACTAGAAAACAACAAAACAAAGCTCTGAAGCAAACAAAATTCAAAAAAAAAAACGAGATTTTTAAAGCTATAGAAGCTCAATCAAGGTTGCTGCTGAGCGTCCATGTAACCAGCATCCACAAGCACCTTCTCCCTCTTGGCAAGCTCAAGATCTTCATCAACCATCATCTTCACCAGCTTCTCGAACCCAACTTTCGGTGTCCATCCCAACACTTTCTTCGCCTTGCTAGCATCTCCTTTGAGGTTGTCTACCTCCGCCGGCCTGAAGTACCTCTTGTCGATCTCCACATGATCTTTCCAGTTGAGTCCCAAGTACCCAAATGAAACCTCGAGAAACTCCTCCACTGTGTGTGACTCCTCTGTCGCCACCACGTAATCGTCTGGCTTCTCTTGCTGCAGCATTAGCCACATTGCCTCGACGTAATCCCCAGCGAATCCCCAATCTCTCGACGCCTGCAGGTTCCCGAGGAAGAGCTTCCTCTGCAGCCCAACCTTGATACGTCCCAGGGCTCTTGTGATCTTCCTGGTCACGAAGTTCTCTCCACGTCGCGGCGACTCGTGGTTGAACAGGATCCCGTTACAGGCGAACAGACCGTAGGCTTCACGGTAATTGACAGTGTACCAATGAGCAGCGCACTTGGATGCTGCGTAGGGAGATCTGGGATGAAACGGCGTCGTCTCCGATTGCGGTGGGGGAGTTGCTCCGAACATCTCCGAGGATCCGGCTTGGTAGTACTTGATGCTCCGGCCACTGTCGATGGTGTGAGATCTGACGGCTTCCAGGAGACGGAGAGCACCAGTGGCGACTACATCGGCTGTGTAATCGGGGATCTCGAAGGAGACCGCCACGTGAGACTGAGCGGCTAGGTTGTAGACTTCATCAGGCTTGATCACGTCGAGCCAACGGCGGAGAGAGGAGGCGTCGGAGAGATCGGCGTAGTGGAGCTTCATCAGGGCCTTGTCGACGTTGTGCGGATCGATGTAGATATGGTTGATTCGCTGGGTGTTGAAATTCGATGATCGGCGGATCAGGCCGTGGACTTCGTAGCCTTTCGCGAGGAGGAACTCCGTCAGGTACGATCCGTCCTGCCCGGTGATTCCGGTAACCAATGCTACCTTCCTCGGCTGCGACGGCATTTCAACGGCGGTGGAATCAGCGTTGGGAGTGGTGACGGGATCGGATCTGGATCCGTTGGTTTCTGACGCCATTGATGGTTTTTGGATCTGGATTTCGCGGTGGGTCAGAGGACACTACACGTTTGCTCTGTGATGAAATTGGGCTCTGAGTTTTTTTTTGTTTAAATAGGACATAGACGGAGATGAAAGCTTGAAGACGGAGGGGATATTTTGGTCAATTTGAGGGTGAGGATAGAAGGCTAATTTGGTCAATCACCGTCGGTCTATTAATTTTCTTCGCTGACTAATCCGATACCATTCCTATTTTACGCCTAACACGTTAATTGGTTTACTTATTTTCTGGTCAAGCTCTTATTGGTTTACGTCAAAATAATGAAATTTCAAACAATTCAAGCCATTTACAAATTTGTTACTTGTATAGTTGTATTAGTAAAATCAAACATTGGTTAACTTGTTATGTATTGACCATAATATATGGTATAATAATATACTATGGTCAAATAAATAATTAAGATGATCAAATTTGCTTTAGCTTTGACAAACTTGAAAGGAAATTATTATTCATGAAAATTGTACTTTTTCCTTATGTGCTGAGTATTATTAAGATGGTCGTGCGCAACACCACAAAGAGCTTTTCCGAGACATAAATATCATACGAACTTGATGGATTGTGTGCATGGTTAATTTGTAGCTATATTTTTTATATCAAAAAGTAAAAATTGTAACTATATAGTCTAAAGGTGTATGAAGTTTTTTAGTAAATTAAGGCGACTTGCATCGAGCTGTAATTATTAAGAAATCACTAGATGATTATCCGCACGATGTGCAGATTTGTTTTTATAATATAATTTATTAAAAAGTGTAATTACAATTTATTTTATCGTATATTTAAAAATAATTAATGTGTATTTGAATAAACATACAATACATATTTTACATATTATGTGAATATTAACTATATATGTGATCAATGGTTTATTGATAAGAAAATATGAAATATATTATATATTGTATATATAGAATATATTAAATAGATATAGTGCAAATCAGAGAAGTACTATATAACAAAAATTAATTAGAGAAACCATTTAAGCACAACTAGATAGAGACGACTCTTTTTAACAGGTTGTACTTGTTCACGGCGTAGATTTACACAATAGCAATGTCGTGGTTTTATATTTTTATGAGCTTAAATAATTGATTTATAATTCTAATTTATACAGCTGAATTAAATATTTTATAAATATATATATTAGGACTTTAATATCTTATTAATTTTAAAATTATTAATGGATCAAGTTTTAATAAAATAAATTATCAAATAATTATTAGTTTATAAAGAAATTGTTTTAAAGTTTATTATAATATTGTATAAATTTTTCTTCTAACTTTTTAAGGTTCAAAATATCAAATAATTGTTATTTTTATATTTGTATAATTGTTTTTATAATAATATCTTATAATATTAATTTAAAATAAGAAAAAACTCTTAAATATAAAACATAAATTTTGTTAATGATTTTTAAAATCTACCACAAAATAGATATTCAATAATTATTTTTTATTTTTGGATATTATATATATATTTTTATTGAAATATATTGTCCAATTCTTCATATTTTCATATTTTTTTAGTATTATGATTAATAATACATTAAATTTATGCATTAACTGTATTTTACATAATTTTTATCATTAAATTTTTAAAAATGACACATGTGATTTCTATAATAAACCAAAATGATGAAGTGACACTCATATAGAGAGAGTTGACCATCTTTTTTATAGTATAGATTATAAAGATATCAATTAATGATTATTCTTCATTACCTTTATCATTAACTCAATCATATATTCTTCCTTTTATCGTAGTATGATCTTCTCAATCTCATTTATCTTTGAATCTCATAGCTCTTATCATTATCAACACAACACAATATAATAAACAATCATATTCAATAGTAAGTGCTTAGAATCAGGTAGCTTAATTAGTACCTTAATGTGTGACTTGCAAGATGATTATGAGCCACTATGGCAGTCGATAACACGCATCCCGGAGATGGTGGACATAAAGAGCATCTGGCTATGTATATGAGTGACAAGTGATTTGTTTACAGTCATGCAATCCTCATCATGGAGAATTGTTAGTCTGAGAATTTAGATTTATAAGTTGTTTTAAAAAAAAAAAATTTGGATATATAAGTTTTCTTCTTTGCAACGTGAATTAAGATTTTAGGTCTTGAATTCTTTCAGATCCTGCCCCGCTTACTTTCGCTTCACTTGTAGTTCAATGTTGAAGTCGATTTTTGGCTTTTGTTCCAACAATTGTAAGACATATTTCATAAGTCCTAAAAAAAATTGGAAGTCGAGTTTTCGCTTCTCGATTCTTAACGTGAATGATGTTCTCATATTGTAAATTACATCATTTATAAACTAACTTTTTCTAAATCATTTTTCATTAATTTATTTCCGACACAAGTTTGCTTGATCTTATTTACCGTAATTGTCATTCTCCCAACAACCTCGTTAAGTGAAGTATCCAACAAAAGCTCTCTTCGATTTGACCTTACATGAACTGATGAAAGGTTCTTTCATGTTCATTTTCTTAACAATATGCCTATAATTAATGTACAATATAATTGAAATTTTGGTGATTTTAATATTTATTCAATTTCCGTTATATTTTAATTGTAATACAAACAGACAAAATGTAAAACAACCAAAAACAATCGAATTGTATTCGTATAGCTTGTAAATTCTCCTTTTACTATATTCAGAAATTCCGTGTGAAACCTGTTTTATGTGTAGTATATACTAGAAAAAAATGACTACTTAAATCGAGTAAATTTTTGCTAATTTCGGTTTCAATACATGAAAAAGCATAGAATTTTAAAATATCTAGAAGCGTTACGAGAGTGGTTGAAGAGTCTTGAGACTTCACAATTACACGCCATTAAATTAACTAGGTATATACCCGTGTGGATTATTTCTTAATTATTTTTTTATTAATTTAATATTATACTTTAATAAAATAAAAATATATTAAAATGAATATTATATTATATATATATTAAAAAATATATAAATCTATATATGAAATTCTGTTTTAGTTGCATTTTGTGTCATAATCACTATTTATCTAATTTTTATCAGAGATGAATATAAAGAAACATATACAGTGGAACGTGCTTATGTGTAATTTTTCAACTTTACCAATTAGTGTAAAATTTATATAAATATCCCTGATTCAAAATTAGTTACACACTTTACTTATAGTTAAAGAAGTTTATTTGCTCTCAACTAAATAAACTTATAAATCCGCTCCTAATTTTAATTATTATGAAGCTGATTTTCCAAGTTATGAGTATTGGTGACCACAAAGTGCAAGACTGCACGTAACTGAATCTCATCCCACCAAGAGCATAATTCACGGTATTATCCTTATTGTCTTAAACTGACATCCCTCTAAATTGATACAAAAATTCACTCAAATGACACCCTACTTAATTTCATCATAGTTTCATATTTTCTAACTTAAAAAATGATTGTTCTCCCATCTAGTTATTTTTATCTAAAACATGTTCAAAGTATCTTATGATCTACCACTTCTTGATTAGAGACTTTATGAACATGTAGGCATAAGACTATTATTTAGAATAGTGTTTAAAACTTTAAAGTTTTAAAGCTTAATAGTAACCATCTTAACGTTAATTTATGTCACATCATTTATTTTTTTGTGTAAATGTGTTTTTTTTTGAAAAAATATTTGTATTAGATGTTTGTTGTGGTTAAAAGGACATAAATGGTTGTAATGGTGAGTTGAGGTCGAACTAAAACACTAATAGACACTTGGATAATGTAAACCATATTGAAGTTGTGAATGTAAAACATCAAAATTAAAATACCTTAAACAGAAAATACCTTAAACATAAAATTTCACAATAAAACTACTCTCTAATACAAAATTTTATTTATTTTATAAAAATTCTTTTCATTAGTAATTTTTTTTTATGTTAATCTGCTTTATAACAAATAGAAATAACCATTTTTCACTTAAGACATGTTCATAAATGTTTGGCATATTTTTATAGTTCTTACATCTAAATGTTATCAGCTTAGGGTTTATCTTTACTGTGTCTCATTTGTGAGCTGATATGTTATTTCAATCATATAATAGAAAAAATATTGATCTTACACATACTAAACTTATATCATCGAAGACTGTCGATAATGATAGTATAAATTTAAAATATTGAATCTGAAAATAAATAAAGATGCCAACTATAAAACACTAAAACTTCTCTTTTTTAGTAACTTGATATCTCTTTCTTTTATACGTAAAAAAAAGAGACCACTTTCTTCAATCAAAACCATTCTCCATCATTATTATACGAAACAATGATCATTTTCCAACATCCGAAGTGAAAGAGTCAAATGGAAATTCTGAAACTATGAGTAACATGAATTTGTCAAGTGACACAATTGGAGGAAAAGATTTAGTGAGATTATACATCTCGGCATATCTTGTGACGACTATACATCTTTCAGTCTCTTGAGACTCTGTTAATTAGGTAAGTGTCTTCTTCATTAGAGTTCATCACTGCATTATTAATTTTAAATGTTTCAATGATTCTTACGTTAGTTTTTTAACTGTAATCAACCTAGCAAACTAAATCCAATAGAAACCCCAACTAAGGCACTATAAATTGGTTCAACTTCCACTTGAAAAACACATGCGTGTGTTTGCCTTACAAAGACTTATGAATAATAACCGGTTGATAGTTTACAAAAATGGATAACAATAATTAATTAATTTTTGTGTATTTTTGGGTTTTTAACTTTTCCAATAAAATTCTAAATTGGGTCTGGAGAGATACCAAAGTCTAAAAACAATATAGACTTGATACTTCAAAAGATCCACGATGGCGACTACACAAAAAGCCTCACACGAGCCCAATCCAAAACTTGGTTTCGTTAAAAAAGGGCCACACTTATTTATTTTTTTATCATTCCCGTAGGTTTATTTTTCAGTTTAGTTCGGTTTTGATTTTTACCGAATTTTCTACGGTGAGCAATGCTTTGATGATTTAATGGAGATTACTTCTAAAGATTGAGGAAAGAAAGATTCAAAAGCACAAATACAAAACTCTTAATTTAAAATACTTTGATGGCTATTACATTATAAACCATCTTTTTTTTTTCTACTCATACAACAAACAAATAGTATATATAAGATGTTTGGATATCGTGAAAGATAGAGAATTACAATTAGTGATGATGTGTTCGTACTACATTTAGAGTTTTTTTGGAGAAAATTACAAACAGAGCCAAAAACATTCTTTCCTCGGATGCTTAGGTACTAACTTAGCTACCATCTTCACTGGCACACCTTTCAGTTCTGTATCCATGAAATTTTAACTTTTTTATTTGCTGTTGTTTATTATTTGGGTTTGAGTTTGACAAAAAATAAAATAATTTTTTTTTATTTGTTGTTATCTATTATTTAGGTTTGGGTTTGACAAAAAGTAAAATAAAGATATAATTTTTTTTATTTGATGTTATTTATTATTTGAGCTTGAGTTTGACAAAAAATAAAATAAAGATTAAGAAAAAAATATTTGGGTTTTTAATGAGTTTAAATTAGAAAATAATAAAAATTAGTAGATGATGATATGTATTAATTAAAATATTTTGATTGGTTAATAATTAAATTTTTAAAAAAGCCTATCTATATATATATAAACGCAGTCTTGTAGTGACGTCTTAAAAATAGACCACCGTAATAAAAAGAAGAGACATCTCTCTTTCTCTCTCTCTAGGGTTTTCTGATCAAATCCTCGCGCCGACGTCTCTTCATTTTTCTGCTTTCTCTCACCGATCTCTGACTCACGCCCCCGAATTTGACCAACATCTGTATCCGATTCTCAATTGTCTCGTTAAAAGAAATCTATAGATCTAGCGAATCGTATTGATTGGCTTTTTCTATACCTGAATCTGATAAACGATCATCGATTTGACTTTAAAAGATTCGATTTTTGTTTACCGATTAGCTCTTTGAGATATTTTGATTTATAATAATGAAGAGTTTGAAGAAATCCAGAGTTTCATGGCCACCAGGTCCTTTGCTTTGTCAGGTATATATCGTATGTTCGATGTTTTGATCCAGTTTCTGATTTCAATCCTGAATCCGAAAATATAAATTGATCCGTGTTATTAATTGTTAAACTTTTTAGCGTATTTAAAAAAAATAAGACATTTTAGCGTATCGAAAATCTCTATTATACTAGCAAGCTTTGAATCTAAATCAATATATATGAAGCAACTAAACCAACGAATTGATGCGATTTTGAATCGGTAGTTGATAAAAAAAAAAAACTTATGATTTAATCCAATTGACAATAATCTAAACCTGGAATGTGAAAAGGATGAACTTTGATGAAGAATGTAAGTATGTTACCTTCACGAGTCTATCATTAAATGATTACGTTCAAGTTTAACTGATAATGATAATGAAAAGAGGCCAAACGTATATAAATTGGGAAATTTGAATCAATATATGTTGGACTTGGAGACGAAGTTATGAAGTTTAAATACATAAATTGATATAATCTGTTGCTCTGCAACTATCTGAATCCTGGGTGGTTAGTACATGATTTTGAATGATACACGAAAGCCAGATTTGTTTGTCAGCTTCTAACTAAGCGGATTTGGACAGGTTAAGATGTTTCGAACAGAGGATTGTCCGGCCAAAGTTGCCTCTCAGCCTCAACATCTGACCTACGTAAAGCCATCATCTGAGAAACCTCGAGGGCCAGATCTTCCACCTGGTTTTGAAGGGAATCACTATGCAGATAAGCTGAATCTCTCAACCATTCCTCGAATCAAATGGAAACGACCTCCTAAGGTATTGATTGTTCAAATCCCTTTGAAGTTTTTTTTTTTTTTTTTATGAATTGACATTAAAGTTTCTTTGGACCAAAAACAGTTCCTCGTCAAAGATGCTTGGCTGATCGGAGATGGTGGTGAGAGCACAGAAAGGCGAACTGAAAACTTACGGATATCAAAAGTGTTGGAAGCCATGTATCCGCATCGCTCTACCATCCCTTCTTGGTATGTCATCTTCACTTCTTTCTTGATCCAAAGACATTTTTAGGTTATTTCAACATTATGCAGCTCGTCTTATCGGTTCTGTGTTTTTTCACACAGTCCCTTTGTTTCACCGGCAGTGGAAGCTGAACGCTTTGACGACAGCAAAACACGTGCCATTCGTCTCACTCCTATTGAGGATGAATGTGAATCTCCAGACTCTTCTCTTGAATCCAACGTTACCGCAAACAAGCAAACTCACCCGGAGACCAAACCTCTCTGTTCAACAATCCAAGAAGCGGTTTCTAGTCTTGCACCAGACTTGAGCCTGGTTGCTTCTGCGGCTCTGACTGCACTGATGAAAACTAAGGAACAGGGGAGCATGGTTGATACCGACCTACTCATCAAACTCCTCAGCGACCCGAAAATGATCAAGGATCTCATCACCGACACAACAGGTAAATCCTCTGAAACTGCGAATCAGCATGATGACACTGACATCAACACCTCTAGACTTGTTCCGCAACATGTCGCCGCCTCAACCATGGCTAGAAAGCCGCAGCCATCAATAATACAACCTCAAAAACAGAGTTTTGCCGCTTCTCAGCCTTTTACGAACCCTGAGCAGAGACGGGTGTCTCCTCCCAAGCCTGTAAATGGAAACATACCCCCACGAAATCCTGTAAATGGAAACTCAATGCCCGTTCAGTTCTCTGTCGGCATAGCTACAGAACCAGCTCTGGTTCCATCGAGTTCTCTGCCAATGAGCCTTAACCTCCACAGACCTCAACATGTTTTCTCAGAACCAAAGGTAATAGTCAATACTCAACCTCAACTCCAACACAATTCTGCATTCCGCACTTCTGAGATGAACAATGTTCAAGCATCGGTTAGATTTGGAAGGTATCCTCAAACCGGTTTTGATACTTATCCAACGAACTTAAACCGGGTCGATGCCACTAGTAGACCTAAACCGGTAGTGCAACCCATGAAGAGTGTAGACTATTTCAAGAACCTTATAAAGGAACATGGCACAGTGAATCACGAAACAAACCAATACCATTCACAAACTGGAAAATTCAACGGACGGGTTGATCAAATTAAGGTTCAGAAACAGTGTGCCTACTATGGCACTGCGAGAGGTTGTACGCTGGGTGATAGTTGCATCTATGTTCATGACCGATTGAGACCTAACTTTGAAGGCGAGACTCCAAGGGCTAAGAGATTAAAGTTTGGGAGGTATGAGAATAATGGTTTTTAAAACATATAATTCTGACTCTGATTCATTCCAAATCATAAATTAGAATCTGTCTATTCACTGGTTGAGTAACAAAACCTGAGGTGAAACCACTTTCAATTTTGATTAACTTATGTGCACAAATTTTTATTTAATTTAGCAAAGTACTTTCTTTAGAGCACCAAAAATGACCAGACCAGAGTTTGAAAGGTCGTCGAGTTGAAGTAGTCCAAATTTTACGATACACCAGCTGTGTTTTTAGAAGAATGGTAGTTTAGAAATGCCGAGAATTCGCGGAACAAATATATAAAATTAAAAATTCAAATGATATTCATATGATTCAAAAAAAAAGAAAAAAAAAAAATCATTAGCTGCATATCAATTTTGAAGTGAACTATGTCCTTGTCTTCTTCACGCAACACAAGTTGACAAAAGATTCGAGGTGATTTGGTGACCAAAGTTGAGTTTTCTATCGCTGAAAATACTACAATCTTGTAAGATACATCAAGAGATATACAGATACATCAAAGGATGACGGTCTATTACCATACGTGGCAGAGTCTAAGGAGAAACTAAACAAAATGATGAGTTAGATTCTGTGATTTAACTTAGAAGATGGAACAAGACCTCAGAAATCATCCATGAGCATTTGAGTATTTTATTAGGAGTATACAACACTTCTGTTCTTCTTAAACCATCTTATTATATTTTCTTATTTAATTATAGTAGTAACCCAATACTTCACTCCATCACCATATTAGTTGTAAGCTCGTTGATAAAAGACCATTGTAGAACTTTTTCTGTTTCGTGTATCAGCTAGGGTTACACTTCCTTTTTGTATATTTAAATATCATGGTCATGAATTAATCTGACAAAAGTGAATTTGACAGAGCTCGCCCTAGCCGCCTAGAGAGAAAATTTTTTTTTGAGGGTTACTGGCCGATGGCTGGATGCTTCTTTAGCTCCGCCATCGGTCAGATGATTTATTTTGTTAGTTCTCCGTATTATTCTCTTTTGTTTTGGTTGGTTTTTCTTTTTTTTTTTGGATCTGAAAGAGTTTTTTTTATTGATTCTTGGTTTCTTCTCCTTTTTCATCGGTGTTTTCTTTGGCTTTTGTCGGTTCTATCTGCCGCCTTCCACAACGTATGTGTTTGGCTTGGTGTTGAGTTTGGACGACTTAGGTTAGTCTCCTCCACTAGAAATTACAACCAGATCTGGTTGAGATCTGTATTTGCTTTTGTCTCCGCAATACCAGATCTATGTCTTTTTCTGTCGACAATATCGGTTACGACATCTTTAGACGGTTTTAAACCACTTCAATAGAAGCTCCATCATGTCAATTCAAGAAGCATATTTCATAATTGCTGAAATCTACTCGTTACCAAGTGAGGACAAGAAGATTTGAAAATCTGTTCTAAATATTTTTTCAAATTCTTTGTAAATTTTTGTTGATTGAGTTTGTAAGAAATCTTATATAATCATAATAGCTTTTTAGCTGATCCCTCATTGTAATCACCTATTGGTGACTTATTATATTCAATAAAAGTTATAATCAGTGTTAAAAAAAAAAAGTGAATTTGACAATTATAACCAGTGATTCGGTGGGTAATAGACAAACAGAAACCACCTAAGACCAATTTCTATATTAGCATATGATTATAAGAGAACGTTTTAAGAGTTAATGAGTCCCAGAATGCTAGTAATTGTTGTTTTTATGCATTTAAATCTAGGGTTTCATAAATGAAACTTTTGATTCATTTGAAAAACACTTGTCAAGGAATTTGAGCTCCCATTTTTAAAACCTCTCTTCCTTACTTGAATTTTGTTTGCTTGAGGGCAAGCAAAAGACAAGTTTGGAGGAGTTGATATACTCTTATATTTAGCATATTTAGCATGCATTTAGATTAGTTTTCATGCATTCATTTCACATAATAGGCTAGGTTTGCACCATTTGTCTCATTTTAGGTCCTAAGTGCACTTTGCATTAGCATTTGCATATTTCTTGCATTCTTGCATCATATTCAGGTTGTTTTGGACACTCTGGAGCTATGGAGGTTGCGTGGACACGCTAAGGATCGAAGAAGAGCTCGTGGACACTTGGGAGAACTCAACCATTCAGCAAAGGAACCGAGATCGAGGAGCAGATCGTCCAGAAGATCGAGACAAGGGGGTCGTTTCAAGAAGAAGGATCGAGACCAAGATCGATCGAGGTGATCGATCGTGAGTACGGACGTGGACTAAGCCATGCAGAACGTGAACCAGATCGAGTTCACGACTTGATCATCCGGGGATCGACTAGAAGATCGATAGAAGCACGCAATCCATCCGACCGAATCGACCCGAAGGTCGAGCAAAGGAAGACGATCCATGATATGCTCAAATTAACCCTTAGAGCTACTCTCTCAAATTAAGAGATCACTGTAGTACTTAGGGATCGAATCCACAAGGACTTCAGGCTACTACTCAACAGATTTTAGATTCACCCAATTTGCAAGGCCCCGATACGAAGAACTTTCAGATCAGTGACGAGCGTCACCCCCTGGTGACGATCGTCACCAACTCCAGAACGAGGCTACTTTACCTGTAACTGCAAATAATGGCCAGGAGCAAGCATATGAATCTAAAATACAACACTTCTATATTTTTCTTAAATCATCTTATCATATTTGCTTGTTTAATTATAGTAGGAGCCCAATACTTCACTCCATCACCATATTAATTGTAAGCTCGTTGATAAAAGACCATTGTAGAATTTTTCTGTTTCGTGTATCAGCTAGGATTACCCTTCCTTTTTGCATACTAGGGATGTTTCCGCGCTACGCGCGGATTGTTTTTATATAGATATTTGATTATTATTTAAGTTAAAGTATTTTCACTTTAAGTTAATATTTTAAATATAATATTTAATTTTTAAAATTGTTTTGATATGATTATACATCAAAACTATTTTAACGTATTCAAAAAATGTATCTTGATATAATTTTAAGAATTACCTACTTGATATATGCTAAAATTAACTGTTAAACTCAATGTTATTCACTACTAACTTTCAAAATATTATTAAAATTATTTTTGTTTTGACTAAATTTGATTATTATTGTTCCAATTAATTTAGATTTTTATTTTTATTTCAACTGTGTTCGTGTAGTGTTTTTATTTAATTAGCAATCTCAAATACAAACAACACTCAATATTCTAATCTCTTATAAATCTATAAAATAACTATGATTCATATAAATAAAAACAATATTTACATAGTATAAAAAATCACAATCATATGGATAAAATGCAATTTTGATTTGGTCTATGAAGTATACGTACACTATAAAAAATATAGATGAATAAGGCAAGTAATACATATACAAATACAATTTCATACTAACTCATTATGTTAAATAAAGTATGTTGAGTTTCTCAAAACTCAAAAGATGTAAAAAATTTTGCTTGTAATTTAACTTAAACATTTTTTCTTAAACTACACATATATATTTTGATGAGCCTTTATAATTAAACTAATAGTATATATTATATTATTTTTAAAAAAGTTTTCTTAACCCAGTAAAAAAAAACCATATTAGTTTTTCATTCAAGTTGGGTTTATAAGGAATTTTGTTGATGTGGATAATTAGAGATTTTTTTAGATATTTTCTTCTACATAAAAATGTGTATGTTATTTTTTCAAAAATACATTATTATTTAATTTAAAAATTTACTAACTTGATATATATAAAAATTAACTGTCATCTAAAACTTAATTTTTGTTTATAAACTGTTTAACTCATGTGTTGACATGTATCGCTTGTAGTTTCTTGACTACCTTAAGCCAACTAAGACACACATTGAAAAAATATCAGTGCATGAAATTCTTCTTATGTCTATCATTTTCTGCAATGTAAATAGTAACGATGATCGAAATCTTCATATAGATAGATGCTTTGAAAAGCTTCCTATAATTTCTGTTGTCTTGTTGGTTGCCTTAAATCTAACGTACTATGATGTTTAATCTGTATGTTTCTAAAAAGTGAATGTTTTAGATTTTTATAATTTGTAAATGTTTTAAATTTTATTTTAGAAATTATTATTTTGTAATCTTGTTTCTATTAACTATTATTTAATTTTTTAGAGAAATTTGTTGTCTAATATATTCACTATATTATAAAAAGGAGTATATATTAATGCTACAGATTTAAATGATATTTATTTTACTGATTTAGAAAATGATATTTAGTTTTATTTACCTATTCCTAATAACTATATTAACTTAGTGGTTCTATTTATTTATTTTATGTGTATTTCAAAAGATATAAAGTGAAATTTTTTATTATTGTTATATTACAAACAAAAGAAGTATATATTGATGCTATAAATTTAAATGATGTTTATTTTACTGATTTAATATTTTAATTTTATTTACTTTTGTTGGTAACTATATTAATTTTAGTGACAAAAATGAGTATATATTAATGCTACAGATTTAAATGATATTTATTTTACTGATTAAAATTATATATAGTTTTATTTAGTTTTTGCTAATAACTATATTAATTTAATGGTTCTATTTATTTATTTTATGTGTATTTTAAAAAATCTAAAGTGAGAATTTTCATTATTGTTAATTTGTTATATTACAAACAAAAGAATATATATTGATGCTATAGATTTAAATAATATTTATTTTACTGATTCAAAAAATAATATTTTATTTTTATTTACTCTTGTATTTAACTATATTAATTTTGGTTCTATTTATTTATTTTATGTGTATTTCAAAAAAATTTAAAGTGGGAATTTGTATTATTATTTTTTGCTGATGTGTCATATTTTTAGAATAGTTTGAAAAGCTAAGGTGGATAGCTTAAGGAGCCCCAAATAGTTCCTTTTATTTAGTATAGATTTAAAGAACAGGCCATGAATTAATCTGACAAAAGTGAATTTGACAATTATAAACCATCCAAGACGTAATTTTATATTAGCATATGATTATAAGAGAATGTTTTAAGTTAACGAGTCCCAAAATGAAACTATTGTTTTTATGCATCTAAATCTAGGGTTTCATAAATGAAACTTTGACTTATATATAGAACAACTGAATGTCTAAGCTTTTTATACATACAAGAGAAGATCGAAGATCTAACAGAATAGTAATTAATGTAATATAAATAAATCATAACTCTACCTTCTAAGGGCAGATCCAGTATAAAGCTCATAAGCTTACAAAAACCAAAAACTTATCTCAAGGATGTAATAAAAATAATTAGCAAAACAAAATCAAAGAAAGCAGAGAAGAGTGTGACACAAGTCAAGTCTAAACTGACTTGGCAGCTGCAACGGCAGCTTGACCTCTGAGACGACCAGTTCTCCTTGCAGCGATTTGACCAACCTTACCTCCAGCAGATTTATCGCGTCTGACCGTACTGGCGTGACCAATGTGCTGGTGGTTTCCTCCTCCGTGAGGATGTTCGACTGGGTTCATCGCAACACCACGCACCTTCGGCCAGCAGTTTCTCTTCACGCGGTACTTGTGGTATGCGTTACCTGCCTTTAGAAGCGGCTTCTCTGTTCTTCCTCCTCCTGCTACTTGCCCAATCATGGCTCTGCACCCACTTGGCACAATCTTCTTCGATCCTGAAGGAAGCTTGATCCTTTTTTACATGACAAAATGGTCATCAAATGTTATAATCAACCGCATGAAACAAGAAACGTCAAACGGAAACAATTAACATCAACAATTCTTATAACGTGTCACACAAGTTACTAATATAATTAGATTTTAGAAACAAGATAACACAATTTGACGCAACTTAGTAGTATTTATAGAAATAAGATATTACCTAGTGGTGTCGCTGTCAGGATTGTGAGCAACCACGATGGCGTAATCACCGGAAGCCCTAGCGAGAGCTCCACGGTCACCGACATGGAGCTCGACGTTGCAGACAACAGCTCCCTCCGGAATCGATCTAAGCGGAAGAACGTTCCCGACGACGAGATTGGCCTTCTTGCCACAATAGAGGAATTGTCCCGTGTACATACCTTCGGCGGCTACGAACAGCTCCTTCTGCTTCTTGTAACGGAAAGGGTGACGGAAGTCGACACGAGCTAACGGAGCTCCACGTCCTGGATCGTGAATGATCTCCGTCACAACACCCTTGAGATATCCATTTCTCTCGCTGTAATCGATGCTACGGAACTTAGCCGGACCCTTTCGGTGGTGAGTGTGGGACTTGAAGACGGAACCAGCACCCTTACGCTGTGCCCTAATCACACGACCCATTACGACAGCAGCTTCTTCTTCTTCTTTTTGCCCCCGGCGCAAGCTATTAGATTGTTTGTAGAAACTCTGTTTATAAGTGTCCCTAGAAAACCCTAGTTCGTTTGGGTTTTTTTTTGTATTGGGCCTTAATGTAGCGCATAGTTACAAGTCCAGTTAAATTAGCCTGGTGTATTCTTGAATTAACGGTGAGCATGGAAAAAAATGAAAAAGCTTTCATAAATTGTTTAATTAATGCTCTATTTTGAATGAAAGTTAAAATATTGCAATTTTTTAATTTGTCAAAAATAGTAGATTACTTTCAATATATATTTTTGAAATGTTTTTTTCGCGTCTTTTTATTTGAATATTGAAGAACCTCTAATCTGCATGTTTTTTGAACCTCTAATCTGCATGTTGTGATAACTTTATTGTCTTGTAACTCTTGTTATTGAGCTAAGTTAAATTTTTCAACAAATTTTGAACTCTTTGGGATATGTTGTTATACATGAATGAATACGATGCTACAAATTTCGATTGTATGCATATATTGTTGGGTTAACTTGTTGACATGTTTTTATAAGCGGTATATTATAAGTACACAAGGATTGGTGGTTTAACTGTACGTAATAAAATCGTGTGATGTGAATGAGTGGATCGATGATCATGTAAGCAAATACGTCAATAGCACGGCATCTCATTTAATCAATTTGCATGCTGCTATATGCCCATGACTAACGCTATTTTTTATGTTTTTGAATGATGAAGTGTTAAATCATGAAATTTAAGAGTCCACCATATGGAAAACTTTGATAAGCAAAATCGGGTCATGTGCGACGGGAGAAGCCCATTTTCATGCCCTTGTGTCACATTCATATACAACTGCCCGTTTACTTGTTTTGCATTTACACAGCAATAATTTATTATAATATTTAATATAAAAAACAATTATATCTATATTATTGATAATTGGAAGTTAGTATTTCCTAACATTTATTAAATTAGTCGATTAAATTTTGAAATATCTATAAGCTTTCACTAACTAGATTGTCAGTGAAAACTTCATAATTTAGTTTTAAACGATTCATTAATACTTCTATATTAAGAAGTATGGATTTCGATTTACAGAAAATATAATTTTTTGTAGGTTATATTAGAGGTAAAGTAGACAAAAAAAAATTATAAGACAGTGCAAATTGAAATATTTATGGTAGACCTACAAATCTGTTATGAATCTTTATAAAATAGATAAATTATCCGATAAAATTATATTTGTAATTGTCTAATATTTCAGACGACTAAAAAAAACTAGATTGTCATGCTTTAAAAAAAATTTTTAATTATTTTATGGAATTTATTACCATTATATATTTTTAAATTATGTTATATAAAAATGAACTAGAATGTAAACTTGCACAATTTGAAACTGTAGACTTCATGAAGTGTGTTGTGCCTCTAAACTCGTAAGTTTAAAGCTATCTATAAATTGTGGTCTAGTTTTTTACTACCGTTTTATAAATTTTATATCCAAATACAATATTTATTGTCTCGAAATATACAATATGTTATGAATGAAAACCAATAATCACTGACCAAACTTACATAATATAGTTTTGTAACCTTAAGAATAAAACTCAAACACATAATATTGAACTAAATGAATGAAGCCTTCTAAATTTTCATTTTAATAATTGTGGCCTTAATTACATTTTCTTTTTTTTCAAACACTTGAAAGAGGGGGATGATTAAATTTTGTTCTTTTTCATGTCAAGGTTATAGAATGTTAAAACGACAATACTTTGGGGTTCAATCGCAACATTTATGAAATTTATATTACCACAAGAACTGCAGTCATCAATAACTTAGGTATGCTGAAGAATAGTTTGTAATGAGTTGTTGATATACGAGTGTGAACAAGATCAGATTACTTCATTCATGATCTCTCGATCATCGATGAGTGTATGCATATAGAGACAGACACGCATGTGAAGAAACGTGGGACACAAGTATATAGTCTATGGAAAAAAAAAAGTTGTATATCTATTCCTCATATAATGTGAGGAAGCTCAAACTAAGATATAGTGATATTTTATGGAGTCTAAGAGAGAGAGAAATATGTTTTGGTCGCAAGGAATGGTGATGCCTCTCTCTTGCCGAAACCCAAACTCTTCCTCCGCTTCTTGAAGCATCATCTGGAAGATTGGATGATTGAGGAATGTGATGGGGATCACGTGGCGGGCTCTGGATCGGCCCACGTAGACAGCAAAATGTCCCTTCCTGGGCACGTCTTCTTTGCCCTTCTTCAAGAAGCTTGAGCATCTCTTCAACATCTGCCTCAATGGCGCTGCTCCTATTTCTGTATGCGTCTCACTTGCTTTCTTTATCATCATCATATATTTTATATGTAGTATCATTTCAAAAGAATGGAGAATTAATTGACTACAATTTGTCTATGTCTCTGTTAACTATATATACTAGAGAGAAATTATGTGTGTATATATAATAATCGAGCAAGTGATGACTGCAAAGAAAAACAAAAGCACGGACCATACTGTGCCGTTTAGTGAGAAAGAAAACAACAGAACGTTAGTAGATGTAACATAAAAACGACACGAAGTCGTTTCCTCAGGTGGAGCAGGATTAAGACTTTCTTGAAGATTACTCCGAGTCTACGACTGAGTTAATTTGTGTGTGTATTTACTTACATCTCCACTAGAAAAATGTAACAATAATTTTTTTTTTTTTTTTTTTGAAAAAATGTAACAAGAATAACTCGAATGATTCTCCAACATAAAAAACAACTAATTTTTGGGATATTATTTCGGAATTCGCAAAAAGGCACACATGATAAACGTCAGATGAGAGAGTATCCCTAAAACGGTTAATTTGACCGGTTTCTTGCAAAGAGCCAAGCAGCCAAAGGAACCAGTGGCTTCATCTTCTTGGTCTGCTTCTTTACCATAGCTTGGCTCTTCTTCTCCTCTTTGCTCTCAATAACCTTCGTTAACAATGGTGGATTCGCAAACTTCACCGAACGCCTCCTCTCCAGACGATCCTCATCATCTCCAAACCCTTCATTTTGATTAAACCGGTTCATCTTGATCTCGGTTATGTTATCCGGTTCGATAACCGTGGATTGCTCTATGAATTTGAGGTCATCTTCAACTTGAGGGTGTTCAGGGAATTTTCTGAGCGAGTGGTTCAGCTTTTCCTTAGTGGCTTCAAGCTCTTGTGTGAGGGTTTCGAGACGCTGAGACAGAACCTTGTTCTCTTCTTCTGCTTTCTTCAGACTCTCCTTTGCTTCATCCAGCTCAGCTTCTATGCTTTTGCTTCTAATAGCCACATTACTATCTCCGTTATCTCCATTGTTTCTCTAGTTAAAACCACAAAGTCGGAAAACAATTGCAACAATGTTAGTATTATATTACGATTGATATATATGTAAACCACACGTTTATGTGCATTTGATTATTATTATTACCTCTAAGGACTTGTTGATGTAATTATCTCCGAGAAGAATCCTCTCTCCGAATAGAGTGACGGCTTCTTTAACAGACCGGAAAGGAGCTCCGGTTTCGATTTCGGCGCGAACCATTGCTAATAAAGTGTTGTTAGTTTTGTTTGTATGAGTAGTTGTGGTCCATGTCATGAAGAGCCATCAGCTTTTTATAAAGAAAAGTATCAAACCTATCAATATGATTGCAACTATTGTTGGTTGTTGTTGCTAAAACGGATGGTGACTAGATTAGTATCACTAGAACCACGTTATGATTAGATTATGTTGTGGATTAGTCATTTCATTTTCAATAATATAACGCATTACCGAGTCGAGATCTCACTAAATGACAAAAATGATGGGAAGTTGTTAACTTTTTTTTAAATTATTTATTAGAAAAAAGCATATAGTTGAAAATGTCTTCGCGTTTACTTCACACAAAATATAACTTTGGGTAAATAGAAGCAGAGAGGTTCGTTGGGACGTCCTTCCATTTTCATGTGTTCTGTTAGTTTTTTGCTACCACCAAATTAAATCAAATCCATCCTCATTTCGACAACGACCTTTCTCCTATTCGTCTCGTTAATGGGCCTTTATTGGGCTCAAAATCACAAAAACAAACACAAGAAGCAATTCGGATCACTCCTTCGTGACCGATACAAAGTAGCCCAATAGAATTTGGGGTCATGAATGATATGATTACAGAGAAGAAGATTCGTCTTCTTCGTCTTTTTCTTCAGTAGCAAACCTGAAATGCTTTCCTCTTGGAGTTGGAATCCCTTTCAGGTGCAAAACTTCTTCGGCCTCTAAGATCTCCTCATCCTCGCTGCTGTACACAAATCTGCTATGTTTCCCTGCAAATTCAGCTTGACTTGTCGCCACACTCATCTTCTTCATTCCTTCACACAGCTCATCATCATCATCTTCTTCTTCTTCCTCGTCGTCCTCCCATAACGTTGACGTATTCTTGAAGTCAGGCAGCAAAGAACGACTTACGCTCCAACACTCTTCTTCCTCCTCGATAAATGTCTCACTCTCCATCAAAGTCCCGTTAAAGTAGCTGACTTGAGAGGTTCTCAAATCGCCCGCAACAACCGGAGACGCGATCCTAATCTGCGCTTCATCATCTGAGAAGCTGGGAAACTGGGGAGTGTTTGCTGGAGTTGGGGCGAGAAGTCTCATTGGGGAAGTGACGAGGTGGACGAAAGGGAGAGTCTTTATTGAATGGATAAACTCTGTTCCTTCTTCGACCTTTTGCAAAAGGTTTTTGACTTGTCCTCTCAAAAGGGCTTCACCAGAACCAGGCGTGCTCTTGATTCTGCTGTTTTTCCTCTTACTCACGAACCCTGAAGGAGGCGTCTGAATCGCTAGACCCACGATCGGTGAGTCGTTGGTTATGTCGATTAGTGCAGATCTGTCTTCTTGTGCGTTGATGTTCTTCCTTTGACAGATTCCCGAATCCTCTGTTTTGCCTGAGCCAAAATGTAGGGAAAAAAAAACAGAGAGAATCAGATACAGAGAGACGAAATCCGAATCGGAGTCTATCTATCTACTTGAAATTGGTGACAGAAGAGGAACAGAGAATTGCTAATAAAATTCTAAGATAGGCACAAAAAAACAAGAACAAGTTTCATTTGGAACAAGAAGATGACTGAAAGAAACTGCAAGAAGAGAATCATGGAAAGACAAAACATACCTAATGAAAAGGGAATTTTAGAGTCAGAATCAGAGTTACTGATTGAAAAGATAGCCTGCGATCTAGTGACTCTTCTTGCTGATGATGGAGTCTCCATTAGGATCTTGATCGTCTTGCAAGCAACAACGGCTAAAGATCAAGTGAAAGAATTTCTGGGAAAATCAATCTGAATTTCAATATCTGAGATATCAATAAAGAAGAGAAAGGGGATAAACAATTGCGAATCTCTTAGGTAGCAGTATTATAGGTATGGGGAAAAGGTTACCGTTTGAAATAAACTAGCCGTTGCGTCTAAACGGAAGGAAGGAGCCGTAATACTAGCCGTTGGGTCCATTCTCTCATGGAAAGAAATCAAGAATGGTTAAAGACTTAAAGTAGCTGTTTGGGTTGAAATCTCAGTACGTTAGGGGCTTTTACGGATTAAGAAGGCTGCGATTAATAGCTCGGCCCATTTATCTCTCTGTTGCGAGTTGCAAGCTGCTAAAAGTTTTATAAGCTTTTTTATTCGGTTATTTGCCAATCGTTTAAATTACTCCTATGATTTATAAATCTTGGAATGTGTGTATGAGACGAAGTATTCATTGTTTTCAATCTATGGTGTCTGTTTTATGTTTTGCTTTTTTTTTTTTAATTAAATATACAACTCACAATTCACAAGCCATGACAAAACATATCAAAATGTTGATAAGAGTAATGAAAACTAAATACACTAGAAAAGTCAGATCCAACATTTCGTCTTCTCGGATTAAGGACGATATAAATATAATATATATAGTGAAAAAAAGGTTTTTCTTCTCTGATCTCAATGGGATTATGTACAAATAACCATGCAAAATTGATGATCATTTGGATTTTTGTAGTGCAAACCCGTAACGTAACAATTTTTGCCATGTGAATTCACCGAGAACGACCATTTTTTTTCTTTTTTTAATAAAAAAATATGCAACCCATTTTTTAAGACGTGGCATTAAATTCACCGTAAAAAACATTTAACTATATTGGGCATGGTGTTAAAGCAACTTTACTAGAAACGATTTATGTACACAATGGAATGTAGCGCAGAAAATATGATTTATTAGAAAGAAATTAAAGACAGAAGCACGTATAGGAAGTTGAGTAACTGCGTGTTTCTAGAAACAGAACGGACGGTATAGTACTGTGGTAGGTAGCGAGCGACCTCTTCGTTCGTCAGTCTTCACAACCTTTGAAAGGTTTTTCAGCTACCAGTCATCTCCTTATATATTGGTTACCTCTTTTATCTCTCTTTATAAACTTAATTAGTCTTTTGCCTTTGTAACCAAACACTCACAAAAAAATATAAAAATGGCTCCAGGGACTCTCACCGAGCTCGCCGGAGAGGCTAAGCTCAACTCTAAATTCGTCCGGGACGAGGACGAACGTCCCAAGGTGGCATACAACAAGTTTAGCGACGATATCCCGGTGATATCTCTCGCCGGACTCGACGATGTTGGTGGGAAAAGAGGAGAGATCTGCCGTAAGATCGTTGAGGCTTGCGAGAATTGGGGCGTGTTCCAGGTGGTCGATCATGGTGTCGATACCAATTTGGTAGAGGATATGACTCGCCTCGCTCGCGACTTCTTTGCTTTACCACCCGAAGAGAAACTTAGTTTCGACATGTCTGGTGGTAAGAAAGGCGGCTTCATCGTCTCTAGTCACCTTCAGGTAAAGCCACACAATTTACGTTACGTTTTCATGCGACTCAAACTTTTATACTGTAGACTTAATTAGACCTATAATCACATTTCGGGCCGCAAAAATACGAATTATGTTTTGATCTTGTAGTTAAATACGAAATAATGATGATAAACGCAGGGAGAGACTGTGCAAGATTGGAGAGAGATCGTGACGTACTTCTCGTACCCGGTGAGAAACAGAGACTACTCACGGTGGCCAGATAAGCCGGAAGGGTGGGTGAAAGTGACGGAGGAGTACAGCGACAAACTGATGGGTTTAGCTTGTAAGCTTCTTGAGGTTTTGTCTGAAGCTATGGGGCTCGAGAAAGAAGCACTTACCAATGCTTGCGTCGATATGGACCAAAAGATAGTTGTTAATTATTACCCTAAATGCCCTCAGCCTGATCTCACCCTCGGACTCAAGCGTCACACTGATCCTGGAACCATCACTTTGCTGCTCCAAGACCAGGTCGGTGGATTACAAGCCACACGCGACGATGGCAAAACATGGATAACGGTTCAGCCAATTGAGGGAGCTTTTGTCGTGAATCTCGGCGACCATGGTCACGTACGTCAGTATACTCTCTCAATCTCTCTGCTTATATTTTTCTCCGTTTGTGATTTTGACTTGGCCAAACTTGCTTGTCTATTGAAGTATTTGAGCAACGGGAGGTTCAAGAACGCGGATCATCAGGCGGTGGTGAATTCCAACTCGAGCAGGCTATCTATAGCCACGTTTCAGAATCCGGCGCAGGATGCAACCGTGTATCCGCTTAAAGTTAGAGAAGGAGAGAAGCCGATCTTGGAGGAGCCAATCACTTTTGCAGAGATGTATAAGAGAAAGATGGGAAAAGATCTGGAGCTGGCTCGCCTCAAGAAGCTTGCGAAAGAAGAAAATGACCAGAAGCTGGCCAAAGAAGAACATGACAAGAACCTGGCCAAAGAAGAAAATGATCAGAAGCTGGCTAAAGAAGAACATGACCAGAAGCTGGCCAAAGAAGAACATGACAAGAGCCTTGCCAAAGAAGAAAATTACCAAAAGCTGGCCAAAGATGAACATAGCCACACGGAAGCTGTTAAGCGTCTCGGCCAAATCCTCGCTTAGAGTCCTTGTTGCTCCGCTGTGTTGGTTTCGGTTTGGTTTTGTAATTTGTTTTATCGTCAAGTTAACGAACGTGGTGTGTTTGAGTTTCTTCTCAATATAGAAATAATGACAAGTAATGCAATTGTACTTGCTCTGTTTGTTTGGTTACTTTTTATGTCAGAAGCACATACATTACTTTCTCGCTATTCGTGTGGATGTAAATTTAATAAGATAATGACGGTTAAACCGGTAGTAGGACCATTTTATTTCTTTATGGTTTCTTTACGCCACGTGTCCGTCTAAAAGAAACTTACCTTGAAAAAGTGAATAATTCATCCCTCTTTTTCAAGTTTCGATTTTTTTTTCTCTTTTCGAGTCATTTTGTTCTAATCAACGACGACGCGACGGAGATGAATCCTTTTCACGGTGCCGACGGGAAGCAAAGACCGGCGATGTATCCGGACATCGATCAATCAATTCCGGATAATCCTTTCGCTCAGACAAACCCTTATGCCGCTTCTGCCCCTAATCTCTACCCTTCTCCCTCCTCGAACAATCTCGGGCCTAATCTTTTCCCGGACCACGGAGATGCATCCAACAACCAGTCACCGTCTGCTCCGCCTCAAGCGACGGAGGAGGTTCTCATCCGTGTCCCGGGCTCCATTCTCAACCTTATCGACAAATCCTACAGCGTCGAACTCGCGTGCGGTGACTTCACCATCGTTCGAATCGTCCAGGGCCAGAACATCGTCGCCGTTCTCGCCAACGTCGCCGATGAGATTCAATGGCCGTTGAACAAGAGCGAGGTAGCAGCGAAGGTCGATGGGTCGCACTATTTCTTTTCAATCCACCCGCCAAAGGAAGAGGGTCACGGATCTGGGTCCGACTCCGATGGTGAGAAGCAGGGGAAAAAGAGCAATCCGAAACCGGAGGACGAAATTCTCAATTACGGATTGACCATTGCTTCGAAAGGGCAAGAGAACGTATTAAACGAGCTCGACCGGGTTCTCCGGGACTATTGCTGCTTCACGGAGCAGAGGATGTCTGAAAAGGCGAAGGAGACGGGAGAGGAGGTGCTGGGAAACTCCATGGCTGCGGCGACTTCGCCGGAGGAGCTGAAGGGTGAGAGGAAAGACATCGTGGAGGGTCAATGCGCGGCGTATTGGACCACACTCGCGCCTAACATCGAGGATTACAGTAGCAAGACTGCTAAGTTGATAGCTTCCGGGTCAGGTCAGCTGATCAGAGGGATACTTTGGTGTGGGGATGTAACCGTGGAGAGACTCAGGAAGGGAAACGAGGTTATGAAGAACAGGCTGAGTCGTGCTGAAAAGGATAAGGACGTTAGCCCCGAGACATTGAGGAGGATCAAGAGGTATGGTGATGTTTAGTACCACGATAACTTCTGGCCATCACTCTTACTTAGCATCTTTGACCTTGAAAACGAACTGTCCAGGAATAAACTCTTATCTTGTTCTCTGTTTCTTGATCATTAGAAAACTGAATAGTAGGAGATGCTTTTGTTTGCAGAAGACTAATTCTTTGGGAAATGATGAGAATTTCTTGTTTAGAAATGTCTAGTCAATGTGCATTCTTATGATAAGTATATTTTCTTGAATAAACGACTTTGGTGCTAATCTCCCTTAGTGCGGTTTCTATGTAAAGGGTCAAGCGAGTGACACAAATGACAGAGAAAGTGGCGACTGGTGTTCTCTCTGGTGCTGTCAAAGTGTCCGGATTTATCACCGGTTCGGTGGCAAACTCAAAAGCTGGAAAGAAGTTTTTAGGCCTCTTGCCTGGAGAGATCATTCTCGCATCCCTCGATGGATTTAGTAAGTAGATTACTTGTTTCTGGTTTCCCAAATTTTCTATCACATCTTTGGAGGGTCGTGAGAAAACTTCTTGATTCACGAGTTGCCTTACTTTCTTTCGTCTTTAATAAACTTTATCGCTTCTAAACTGGAGGCTGTTCATTATGAATAAATCTGTCTTCGTTCTTCTACTTCTTTTGTGATCTTCTTTTGCGAGGCAATGGCCTTAGTAAATTTGTGTTCGTGTTTACGACATTTTTATTACTTCCTGCAGGCAAGATCTGTGATGCTGTTGAAGTGGCTGGAAAAAACGTCATGTCGACTTCATCAACTGTCACAACAGAACTCGTCAATCACAAGTATTGTCTTTTAAATCTCATATGAAAACAAGAACATTATATCAGCAAAAGAGTGATCTCTAGGCTCTAGCAAATGATCAAAGTTGCCTTAGTTTTGTTAAAAGAAACCTTAATGGACTCTTGCTGTGAGATTTGCAGGTACGGCACAAAAGCAGCAGAGGCTACAAACGAAGGGCTAGACGCAGCAGGACATGCTTTTGGAACCGCGTGGGTTGCTTTCAAGATCCGAAAGGCACTTAACCCCAAAAGTGTCTTAAAGCCTTCGACATTGGCCAAATCTGCTGTTTCTGATTTAAAAGCTAAGAAAGGCTCCAAGTAAACACAGCCTTGCTTCAATTTATCATCATCTATACTTGAATTTAGTTGATCTTTTTGGAAAAAGTATATGAAGATTTACTGACTTACTCTGTATTTTAGTTTTTTAAGGTGTATATTTGTGATTCTATGTAAAACTATATTTAACAGATTCTTCTATATTCTTCAGATATATGTTGTCTCAGGACTTTTCTTGGTTCTCTTAAAACCAGCTTAGGAGAAATCTCATGGAATCGTTTTTGAGTTTGAAGTAGTAGGCCAGTTGAATTGAGATTTGGGCCCATGTAGCCCATATCGGGCCTACTACAGAAATAAATCCAGTGACGGTTTTTTCTGATTAACGTGAACCTGTCCGTAGGTGATTTAAACAGAACTGGGAAATTTAACTTGTCGCCTAAGTTGGAATCGTTTCCATTTTCTTAACTGTGAATAAAACGGAAGAGAGAGGCATTGGAGAAACGAGAAAGAACACTCACAACACAAAGACCCAGAAAAAAAGAGGACAACAGAAAGAGAAAAAGTGAGAGATGGCGAGATACGATCGAGCAATCACAGTGTTTTCCCCCGACGGCCACCTTTTTCAGGTAGAGTATGCCCTAGAAGCTGTCCGGAAAGGTAACGCCGCCGTCGGAGTTCGCGGCACCGATACTGTCGTTCTCGCCGTAGAGAAGAAATCCACCCCTAAGCTCCAGGATTCCAGGTATTGCTCCGATCTCTGCCGATGCAACTTGTTTGTACTGGATTTTATCCAATTGCTTTTATATCCGCACTTTGATTTTGAGTTTTCGTTTCACCTGGATCGCTTGATTTGGCTCAATTGCTACTTGTTTATTCAATTTGAAATCCTTCTGAAAGAAACCCTCAATGCTGGGGTTTTGCATCACTTCATTATCGGGAATCTCTGAGTCTTAGATCGTAGAATCGGAGCTGATCCCTAGTTGTTAAAAGACTTTTTCTTCTCTGAAAGATCTCAGACGTGTTATGCTTAGGAAATTTTTTTTTTGATTAAAAAATAACCTGCAGTTTCATCAATCCCTACGAGAAAAACTATTATGTGGTGTTGAAACTGAAGTTTTCTCCTTTATGGATATCTGACCAATATCATTGTTCGTATAACAGTATCCTTAGCTATACTGTGAGTTGAATTCTGGTGGTTAAGCTCGAAGTATTGATATCCTTATTTAGCTGGTATTCGTTCTCAATCGCATCATTTTGTTTCTCGCAGATCAGCCAGAAAGATTGTGAGCCTTGATAACCACGTTGCATTGGCCTGTGCTGGGCTGAAGGCAGATGCTCGTGTACTGATAAACAAAGCGAGGATAGAGTGTCAAAGCCACAGGCTTACGTTGGAGGATCCGGTTACTGTTGAGTACATCACGCGGTACATAGCTGGACTTCAGCAGAAGTATACTCAAAGCGGTGGTGTGAGACCCTTTGGTCTTTCCACTCTCATTGTTGGCTTTGACCATTACACTGGTAAACCCGCGCTCTATCAGACCGATCCCTCCGGTACGTTCTCTGCATGGAAAGCTAACGCTACTGGGAGAAACTCCAACTCAATCAGGGAGTTTCTGGAGAAAAACTACAAGGAAAGCTCTGGACAAGAAACTGTGAAACTTGCTATCCGTGCTTTGCTTGAGGTTAGTTTGTCCTGTGGTTTTCTAGAAAAATAACCAACTAGTCTCTTTAAAGCTATTTTGCTGTGGGTGTCCTGTTACTAAACTTGATCATACCTAATGGATTGTTGCTAGCCTAAGCCGGTGGTTTTGTGAACCACGTGAATAGTTTCTCCATTCTTGATAGGTGGCTTTAGATTAGAGGCACAGCTAACAAACGGTGACAGTGTAATGAATGTAAAGTCCTCGAAAATGTAGATGGTTCTTACTAGTTGAGGTGGAGGATTGATGAGCTTTCACAGTAGTTTAATCTTGATAAAAAGGCTGATACAGGCTTTGAAATTTGCAGGTAGTTGAGAGCGGGGGAAAGAACATCGAGGTTGCTCTAATGACCCGGGAGGAAGGTGGTCTGAGGCAGCTAGAAGAAGCTGAAATCGATGCTATTGTGGCTGAAATCGAAGCAGAGAAGGCTGCTGCAGAAGCGGCCAAGAAAGGACCTTCAAAGGAAACATGAGCAACATCTTACAGCAGCAGTCTCAGTTTCTGATTTGGTTCAGAGTCGGATACTTTTGAGGGTTGAATAGAAAATCTGAACTACGTGAATTCGTTTTATTGGATTATTAGCCTTGTTTGACCTTCTTGCTTTGAATCTTAATTGACATTTTTAGCCATGGGAAAAATTTGCTGTTCATGATGCTTCTTGTTGGAACTTTGGCCTTTCTTGTTTCTGATTATCATTTATGCGTAAATGTGGAATGATTTATGAAATTCTGAAATCTCCCCTTATTTTTTTTGTCATCCATCTCCATGATACATGAAAAGAACAACATTAAAGACCAATGAGACCATTACAAAAAGTATGCATGGAATCACAATAGTTTTCAAATTCGATATGTGAACTGCAAGATGCAAAACATTTTCCTCTCCTTCGCACAAGTTAAAAAGCAATTGAAACCAGTTTTCCTTATATAGATTTAAATTTCTATAAAGTCATTACAAAATGGTTTCGTGGTGTAGTTGGTTATCACGTCAGTCTAACACACTGAAGGTCTCCGGTTCGAACCCGGGCGAAGCCAATAAACTTTTCTTCAATTTTTTGAAAAGTAATTTTTGTTTTAAAATATAACGCCGTTGCCGGGGATCGAACCCGGGTCACCCGCGTGACAGGCGGGAATACTTACCACTATACTACAACGACTTTGATGTCTGTTTGTGGCATAACATATATATTATATACACTTATGATTATATTTCTTAACTTAAGTCTTTTAAGACCAAACAATAAAATATTTTGGTAGAGAGTATGGTTTTTATAAATTGTAACCCTAGGCTAATCATGTTTCTAGCGTTTGGATATTGTGAAGAAGGGACTGTTGTTGTATTCACAGTATGAAAAATGCAATAAGACATGCTGATCTGTTTTTTTCTTTGGTCAAGGAGTAAAACTGTAAAAAATTTTTTGTTTGTTAAGTTTCGCATAAAATATAGTATACATTATTAATCTAAACAAAATTAATTAATTGGTAGGATTTTGAGCTCGCGAAAAAAATTAACTTCATCATCACTTTGCGCCGCTCTCTTGCTCTCTCTCTCTCTCTCTCTCTCTCTCTCTCTCTCAGTTTCAGGTAAAGCTTCTTCAGCTTTCCTCTTACATCAAATACTTGCTTCTCGCATCGCTCCTGTTGTTTCGTTTATAGACATAAGCTTTCTCCGTCTTGCAAGGTTTGTATCAATCGATAAACCTAATTGTCTCCGTTCTTGTCGGAAATTTAGCTAGATTAGTCCGGATGTAATCGTATCTAGTCGGCATCTACTTGTTACCTCGAGGGTCATCTTGATTACTTTAAAGTTTTGTTTTTACTTTTGTTGTTATACTAGGTTTTTCATTTAGGGTTTCATTCAGTATGTTTCACCAATTTGAGAGGTTCTATCTTTTATCAGCCAGGTTGATCAGTGTAGAAAGGGTCTTATACTGAGGCGCAAAGGATGAAGCTTGACGTGAATGTGTTGAGATATCTTTCGAAAGATGATTTTCGAGTTCTCACTGCAGTGGAGATGGGAATGCGAAACGTCAGTCTTCTCTATTCTCATTTATTTTACAGTTAGGGGTCAGGGTCTATGATTGTGTTACCATTTGCTCTTTATTTCTTAGCTGATAATACTTTGTTGTTCGTCTTTGCAGCATGAGATTGTTCCTTGCGAGCTCGTGGAGCGCATTGCCTGTCTAAAGTATGCCCCATCTTGATGCTTTGAGTGCTTCCCTTTCACATTAAGCTTACTTCTTCGTTTTGATGATTCATATTGTGTAATTTACATACCTGTTATATACACAGACATGGAGGCACATACAAAGTCCTGAAGAACTTGCTCAAGTACAAGCTTTTGCATCACGACAGCTCCAAATGTGAGTAGAAATCTCTAAAGGCACTGAGAATGATTCTTCTGTTTGGCATTCTTAGAAATTTGCAGAACCTAATGGCTATTGCTTTTTTTTCCGTCTAGATGATGGATTCCGACTCACCTATCTGGGTTACGACTTCCTTGCCATTAAAACATTGGTCAACCGTGGTATATTCACCGGTGTTGGTCGTCAGATTGGAGTCGGTAAAGAGTCAGGTAAGTCTTTAACCTATTTATTTTGATCCATTGTTGTGTTGAAGAGATACTGGTCGGTGGATGATAATGATATCCCTCTTATTTTGCATATTGTAGACATTTTTGAGGTCGCTCAGGAAGATGGAACCATTTTGGCAATGAAGTTACATAGACTTGGGAGAACCTCCTTCAGGGCTGTCAAATCTAAGCGTGACTACTTGAGGCATCGCAGTAGTTTCAGCTGGCTCTATCTCTCCCGTCTTGCGGCTCTCAAGGAGTTTGCTTTTATGAAGGTTATTGCTTTGTTCCTTTTATGCAACAAGTATTCTTGTGCGCATATCATATTTTATAACTTTGGCCTAATGTTTGTTTCGGTTTCCGAGAGAGCAGGCTCTGGAAGAACATGACTTTCCGACTCCAAAAGCTATTGACTGCAATAGGCACTGTGTTATCATGTCCCTTGTGGAAGGATACCCCTTGTAAGGACGTACTTTCATGTTCACATAAAGGATAAAAATGTTATGAGTTGTTGTTAGACATCATCTACTGATGTATTTCTGGTTAGATATTGATTTTAGCTAAGATTAAGGAATTTATGCATTGCGTTCCAGATTAAAATTTTGATCCATTTGCTTCGTCCTCGCACTAAGAAACTGTTATTCCCTTGCTGCTGTGAATCACATCTTTTCACATTTTCATTTATGACAGGGTTCAGGTGAAGCAATTACAGAACCCTGAGACAGTTTTCGAGAAGATCATTGGCATTGTTGTTCGTTTGGCTGAGCATGGTCTTATTCATTGTGATTTCAATGAGTTCAACATCATGGTGAGATACTTCGAATTATCCAATTGATTAATGCCTTCTATCTGTAACGATTGTATGCAACTATTTTCTGATAAATGCATGCAAATATTTGATTATGCCTCGTTACTTCTGCAATCATGCTAGCTTTTTCCTGCGCTTGCTGATAATTTTATTGACACCTTTTGGTTATGCATGTATGTCTTAGATTGATGATGATGAGAAACTTACGATGATTGACTTTCCACAAATGGTTTCTGTTTCACACCAAAATGCTCAAATGTATGTGCTCTCTCATCTCTGGATCACGCCTATGTCCTCTTTTTTCCTTTTCCATGATTGTTTCTTGGTTTGTTTATGAATATTTTATTTCATTCAGGTACTTTGACCGTGATATCGAATGCATCTTCAAGTTTTTCAGAAAGAGGTTGGCTACCAATTAGTTTTTTTTTTTTTTATGCATCATTTGTTCACAATACCTGGTAGCAAATAATCTCATCTTTCAATTCTTTTTTTCCTGTGAATTTTTGTTCCTTCTTCAAGGTTTAATATGACTTTCCAAGAAGATAGAGATGAGTCAGATGAGACAGAGGTGGAAGTGGATGAGAACAGCAGACCATCTTTCTATGATATAACTAAAGATGCTAATGCTCTGGATAGAGAACTTGAAGCTAGTGGTTTCACAAAGAAGGAGCAGAATGACCTCGATAAAGTATGTGAGCCTATGTCCGCAGTAATAACACTTCTTCTTCTTTTTTTGTGTCACCAAAAAGCACTTCTTGAAAAACAGTACTTATCAATCTGGGGCTGTGTGTACTAATAAAATCGATTGTTACTAGGTATTGCGTGTATGCTTTGAGTTTTAAGCGGCCTAATGTCTCAGTTGTGGTTATAATTACCAGCACTAGTCTCTCTCTGGTTTTGTTTCTCATTTTCTTTCGGTGTAAATGGAATATAGAATGAACATGTGGTTTCTGTCTTGTGAAGTTTATTGAAGGTGGGCTGGAGAAGAGTAAAGATTCTGATGAGGATGAGGATGAGGATGATGATGAGGAATCTGCTGATGAAGAGCAGAATCGTGAGTCAAATGAAGAAGAAAACCTAAATGAAATGAAATCATTACAGTTGAAAGAGAAGGTCTAAGAATTTCCAATTTCAACCATATATATATCTGAAGCATACGCCGAGTGCAGATGTTCTCTGTTTCTGCGCTTACATTGTATGCTTTTGGCATGATGTAGGAACATAATAGTTCTGATGGTGTTGAGGTGGATAACAATGAGAAAGGTGAAGACAGCGGAGATAAAGATGAAGTTGGAAGTGATGAGGTTAGTTTCTTCTGCGTAGTAATACCAGAGAGTATGATGGAACTTATCAAAAATCACTTGAACAACAAATATTGATGTTCCTTCCTTTGTGCAGGAGGAAGAAGAGGATGATGCAGAGCTGGTTAAAAAACTGGGCAAGCAAAGACGCAGAGCCATGGCAGCAGCCAGGGGAGGTAGAAAGTCGCAGTCTTCAAGAAACACATACAAGGACAAAGGAAAGGGTTCCCAAAACTCCAAGATCCACAACAACATGAGCGGCTGGTGAAGAAAGCCTTTTACAGTCAATTTTGATACACAATGACAATGCCTCTCGAAATATGGATTTAATGGGCCTTTAAAATGAATGTAAACGGCCCATATTCGATGTTTTAGTGACTTTTTTCCCGATTCGTCTAGATTCCGAATTGAACACGAATCAATGTACGAAAATACGGAAATCTGAACTAATGGATATTTATCTTTATAAAAAGATCTTCTCAAATATTTTGTCCAAATTTGTTTGATTTTGTTTTGAAGGGTAAAAATCGAAAATACATGCACGTCAAGGGAGTAAGATGAGAAACGCTCCCTCAATAAGCGGAAATAGAAAGAATACAAAATATTTACAAAAATACATACAACGCAACGGCTAGTGATCACAACGGTCGGAAATTTTAAACCTTTTAATAATTCCGATCTCTGTGAAGCCGTCTTATTAAAAATCTCAACCTATTATTCTCACATCACTCTTCCCTCTGAGATCCCTTTGTCTTCTTCTTCTTCTTCTTCCTCCTCTCCATTCACTGCAAAGATGATGAAAGATGTATTCAGGCCGACTAAATCTGCTCCGAGTTCTCCGGCAAAGCCACTAGGCATCTCCCGCACTCGGTCTGAATCATTCCATGCTATCCACAAAGTTCCTATCGGAGACAGTCCTTATGTCAGGGCCAAGAATGTTCAGGTGATTAGAATTATACCTTATTCTTTAGATCTGGATCGCACGGAATTTTAACTTGTGTTCTGGGATTTGATTTTGCAACTTGTTTTTTTTTTATCTGATTGATTGTTTTGCGGATGATTATGGATTCAGTTGGTGGAGAAGGATCCTGAGAGAGCAATTCCTCTGTTCTGGTCCGCCATTAATGCCGGAGATAGAGTTGACAGTGCTCTGAAAGATATGGCCATCGTGATGAAGCAGCAGGACCGCGCTGAAGAAGCCATTGAAGCCATTAAATCTCTCAGACTCAGGTGTTCGGATCAAGCCCAGGAATCGCTGGACAATATCCTCCTAGATCTCTACAAGGTCCTTAATTCACAAAATAATCATTTTCCTCTGTTTCCTTTTGCAAATTGCTTAACTTTGTATTGAGATGTTTGTTGAATTGGATTGTTGTTGCAGAGATGTGGGAGATTAGATGACCAGATTGGGCTTTTGAAACACAAACTCTTTTTGATACAAAAAGGGCTCGCCTTTAACGGCAAAAGAACCAAAACCGCAAGATCTCAGGGCAAGAAATTTCAGGTCTCTGTGGAGCAAGAAGCCACTCGTTTACTGGTAAGAACCAATTTAATATATGCATAACGACTGACGCAATCCCCAATTTGGTAAATTCTAATTGAATGAGATACTTTTCGAAACCAGGGAAACTTAGGATGGGCTTTGATGCAAAGAGACAACTTCGTGGAAGCTGAAGATGCATACAGGAGGGCTCTGTCAATCGCACCGGACAACAACAAGATGTGTAATCTCGGAATCTGCCTTATGAAGCAAGGCAGGATCGATGAAGCCAAAGAGACTTTAAGACGTGTGAAACCCGCCGTCGTGGATGGTCCCAGAGGAGTGGATTCACACCTAAAAGCTTACGAGAGAGCGCAACAGATGCTCAAGGATCTTGGATCTGAGATGATGAGAAGAGGAGGGGATGATAAAGTTGAGCAGAGGAGGCTTTTCGAGTCAATGTTCGGGTCTTCCTCTATATGGCAGCCTCAGCCTTGTAGAGAGCAGAACGTGAAGCCCAAGTCGAAGCCTGAGTTGAGCAATGATGGATACGGTGACGAGAACGTGAAGAGGGATGTCAACGTGAATGTAAATGTTCCAGTAAACCCATTACGGGTGGATGCAAAACCTTTCTTCTCTTCCAAGTTGATCAGCAACAACGAGAAGCTGAAGAGGACGAGATCGTCGAGCCAAACGTTGGGAGTGTTGGGGTGTGTTGGTGGTGGCGACGAGGCGGAGACAAACGGGAAGAGAAGATTGTCGATGGAGAAGAGAGCAACAGACTGTGGATTACCAGACAACAAGGAGTTTGAAGAAGCCATGATCATGGCTGTTTTGGGGACAGAAACGAAAGTGGACAAGAAGAGGCTCAAGGTTTTTCAGGACATCACTTTGTCCTCCCTTAGCCCAAGAGCCTGAGTTATCTCTCAACCAGAATCTCTAACCAATCTATTTATTCATAATTCTAATTTTTATTAGTTCCATGGTGGTGAATGCAAAAAGGAGATGAGCTCTTATTCTCCTTGGTGATATCTATTAATGTTTTTGTCAGCTTTAAAGCTTGCTTCATTTTTTCTTCTTCACAATTATTGTCATTGACCAATAATAATGAAAAAAAGTTATGTTCTTTGCCAATCTATACACAAGAGGTTTGTAGGTTAATGAATAAGTAGTGTAAAATGTTAAAAGCCAATGAGAGAGACAAAACGAGAAGAAGATGACAAGCGCATGTGTGTTCTTGTTCCACATGTTGCCATTACTCTTCTATGTCATTCATCTATATCTAAAACTTATTACTGCTGCATCACCATTGATTCCAATTTTGATTGAATCTCACAACTTTTGTGGTTAAGTTTTTCAAAAAAATTAGGGGAATTAAGTATCCGTTGAACAAAATTATTGTGCATATATACTCAATTTGGTATCTTCTGCTCCCAACTAATAGAAACGCTTCTCCACTTGGCAACAAACTGTAATTAATACTTGCGTCTCTGTTATAATCTGGCCGAAATACAGCCGTTGAAATTGTATTTTGTTCCGGAAGTACCCTTCTTAATTTTAACCACGGCTAACGAAACGGTGTAAACTGTAAAAATACTCTGTTCTTCTCTAATCTCTTTCTAATCTATTCTCTATTTCAAAGTTTGGCATACTTTTGGTATCCGTATTAATTCGAGTCTCATAAAAAGGTAAAAAGTAATTCATGGTACATGTTGAAATAAAATTTAAAAAGAAAGGTTCTTTTGGTCAAAGACTGTTTGGGGGAAGAAAAGAAAAAAAGAAGCGATTTTGATTGGAGGAAAGGGCTCTGCGTCCAAAGCCTGAGGTTAAACTGAAAAAAAGAAGTCTCAAATTCCAACTACATTCCTCAGGAGAAGCCAAAGTACCTTCAAAAGCCAAACCCCTTCACTATCCTTTTTTTTTTCTTACAAAAAAAAATCAAATCATATCATGCTCAACATCTAATCCTAAAGTTAAGCCCTTTGAGTTTCAGATCAGGACAAAGTTAGGATCTTTTCTTTTTTGCTTTTTCTTTTTGAGTTTAATTTTGACACAAACGAGGTAAGCGCACTTCTTTCACTTCACTATTTAGAAGAAAGGAAATGGGTTTTGTGGGTAGAGTGTGAGATCAGTTCAGATTTGCTGAGAAGTCGAAGAAGAAAAAGAAGAAAAAGAGAGATTTTTGTTTTGGATGCATGGTGAAGAAGAAGAAGTAGAAGAAGACCCATTATTTTTTTCAGACAAAGAGTGTTTTTTTTTTCTTAAATGGGTTGTTGTCAGTCAAGAATAGATAGAAAAGAGATAGTGTCTCGTTGCAAAGCGAGGAAGAGATACTTGAAGCAGCTTGTTAAAGCTAGACAAACTCTCTCTGTCTCTCACGCGCTTTATCTCCGTTCCCTACGCGCCACCGGCTCTTCCCTTGTTCACTTCTCCTCCAAAGAAACCCCTCTTCACCTCCACCCTCCTTCTCCATCTCCTCCTCCTCCTCCTCCGCCGCGTCCTCCTCCTCCTCCTCTAAGCCCTGGCTCAGAAACCACATGGACCTCCACCACCACTTCCTCCGCTCTCCCTCCTCCGCCTCCACCACCTCCACCTCCTCCTCCGCCTTCCTCTACATGGGACTTCTGGGATCCGTTTGTTCCGCCGCCTCCTTCTTCCTCCGAGGAGGAGTGGGAGGAAGAGACAACCACCGGAACAGCCACCGCAACCGCAACCGGAACAGCTTCTGACACTGCTGTCACGACGGCTCCGACGACAGCTACTCCTCAAGGTTCTTCTGTTGTGAGTGGTTTCTCTAAAGATACAATGACGACGACGACGACGACGGGAAGCGAGTTAGCAGTTGTGGTGTCGAGGAACAGTAAAGATCTGATGGAGATTATCAAAGAAGTCGATGAGTATTTCCTTAAAGCTGCTGATTCCGGTGCACCACTCTCTTCTCTCCTTGAAATCTCAACTTCTATCAACGCCACAGCCTTTTCTGCTCATACCAAAGGAGGTAAAAGCCAATCAAGCTCTGTTCTTCCTTCTTCGTAACGATTACAGGCGGCTGAGCGAATTTGATTTATGTGTTTTGTGTTTAATGTCTCCAGGGAAAATGTATAACAACTACGAATGTAATCTGAATCCGACGTCGCTTTGGACAAAAGGATTTGCTCCAAAGTTGAATGATTACAGAAACGCAGGAGTGGTAGTAGGAGGCGATTGCATTGTTGGTAGCCATTCCTCTACAGTCGATAGACTCTATGCTTGGGAGAAGAAGCTCTTTCAAGAGGTTAAGGTATTCACTTAATTTTAATATTACAAAAGTTTCAATCTTTGAACAAAAAAATTAATTTTGTGGAAGATGTTTAAGATGCTGTATGTTTTTAGTTTAAATACAACGCTTATTTTGAACATTTGAATCTTGAAGTTACTTGCTTAGTTTGCATCTAAATATGGATAAAAACATAAGATTCGAATTTGGTTGTTTCATGTCGAATTAAAAGCCTGTGGTGGGTCCGAAGAGTGAGCAGGTAGTGTAAGAGACCCACATGTGCACTTAAATTCTTATAATGATTCTTTATATGTGTTGTGTACACTGACACAAATATATTGCCAAAACAATTTGAGAGAGTGTGAGTGTTTGTTGTTTTGTGAATGTGTGGGGGTTGTTGTTGCAGAATGCAGAGAGCATAAAGATAGAGCATGAGAAGAAAGTGGAGCAAGTGAGGAGGCTTGAGATGAAGAGAGCTGAGTACGTCAAGACTGAAAAGGCCAAGAAAGACGTTGAGAAGTTAGAATCTCAGCTCTCAGTGTCTTCACAGGCCATTCAAAGCGCTTCTAACGAGATCATCAAGCTCAGAGAGACCGAGCTATATCCTCAGCTCGTGGAGCTCGTTAAAGGGTTAGTTGTGTATTTCCTAATTGCTTTCATCTAATTAAGAAGAAAGTGAACAAAGGGTTCTTGTGTAATGTAATGTGTGTAGGCTGATGTGTATGTGGAGGAGCATGTACGAGAGCCATCAAGTTCAAACTCATATTGTTCAGCAGCTAAAGTACCTCAACACCATCCCCTCCACTGAACCAACTTCAGAGCTTCACCGTCAATCAACTCTTCAGCTTGAGCTCGAGGTCCAACAATGGCATCACTCTTTCTGCAACTTGGTCAAGGCTCAGCGTGACTACATCCAGTCTCTCACGGGTTGGCTCAGGTTAAGTCTGTTCCAGTTCAGCAAGAATCCACTAGTTAGGAGTAGCTATGAGTCAAAGATATACAGCTTCTGCGAGGAATGGCACTTGGCTATTGACCGGATCCCTGATAAAGTAGCATCTGAAGGGATCAAGAGCTTTCTGACTGCAGTCCATGGGATCGTGGCTCAACAAGCCGAGGAGCATAAGCAGAAGAAGAGATCAGAATCCATGTTAAAAGATTTTGAGAAGAAATCGGCTTCGTTGAGAGCGCTTGAGAGCAAGTATAGTCCTTACTCGGTGCCTGAGAGCAGGAAGAAGAACCCGGTGATAGAGAAGAGAGCAAAGGTTGAGATGCTTAAAGGAAAAGCAGAAGAAGAGAAGAGTAAGCATGAGAAGGCAGTGAGCGTGACTAGAGCCATGACTCTGAACAACTTGCAGATGGGATTCCCTCATGTGTTTCAGGCAATGGTTGGGTTTTCAAGTGTGTGTATGCAAGCCTTTGAGTCTGTGTACAACCAAGCTAAGTGCATTGGCGAGGAGCAAGAGGAGGTCAAGAGGTTGCTTCCTTAAGAGAGAGATAAAAAAGAGACATCAAACAAGTTGCTTTACCCATTTGCTCTCTGCTTTTGAATGATTCAAAGCCAAACTTTTTGGCAACAATGTTATGAACTTTTAGTTGAGTTTAATGCTATTTTAGAAAAATGAAATCGGTTAAAGACTATCCCATTCAATCCTTCCCTGAAACTTCATCAAGTCAAGGAACTAATCTAATGTACATAGGTTGATAGAGATGCAAGTAAGTAAACTTCATTAGCTCTAGGAAGTACGGGATGCAGCATTACATTTCCATTGAAGCCAAGCCAAGCGCATGTCAGGTTTCAACGACAAGAATGTCTCCCTTGCACTTGGGTTATTGAAGAAGTCAAGCGCCGCAAAATAGACGTTCTCTGCTAAGCCGTGGATCTGATCCAGCTCTCTGATACACTCGGCAAGAGAGAACCTGCTCGTAAGCTGCGTGAAAACAATAGTCCGTAGCTTCGATGCATCCGCCATTTCGAATATAGCATTGGCAATAGCAGCCTCCACGCCCCTACCACGCCTCCTCTTGGCAGCAGGAGGAATCACTGCAGCGGCATCATCGTATTCTGTTTTAGCTTGAGGCAACACAGGTTCATCGAGATGAGCAGAGTAAGGAGGCATCGTTTCATGTTTCCCGTTTGTCATGGGATCTTCTGCGAATATCTGAGAGAGCTGCTTGTAAATTGGACAACCATCTGTTCTTATAGCCTCTGCGTCTGGATACTCCTGATTTTAGGACCAGTAAGTAAGATCAGCAAAACAGATAATAGAATGAAGGAAACGTGGAGGCCGGAGCATGGGAAAAGATGAGACCTTTAGACATTCGTCCCAAGCTTCATCAGTGGCGATAATGGAACCACTAGATTCATCATAAACGAAATTATCACGAGCTAGAAGTAACTTGACGACTGCGAATTGGCGTCTGAGGACAGCGAATCTGTTCTTGAGATGTTCTTTATCCCATTTGAGGCCACTTCTTTTGTAAAACTCATCGGTTATAAAGTTCCAAGCTTTATTAGACAAGGAATTGTTCACTCTGTTTCCTTTAAGGACTTGACCGACTATGAGATTCGCGAGTAGCTTCGTTAGGGACGCCGTCCACTTTGGCTGCTGTTCACCGGAGTTAGGAGTCGTCATCTACAGATTCAGACGCAGACCAATTCACATTCACGAAACAAACTGATTTCAAATGTAAATGCAGTGAGATCGAGAATCTCTGAACCCTAATCGATCATACCAACAGGTCATATCAATCAGGTAGTGAATGAAAGGATCAATTTTGAGGAAACCCCATAATCTAATCTCAGTGTACTGATGAAGAAGAGGAGCCCAAAGAAGAGGAAGACGAACTCGCAAAGGCGTTGAGATTTCTATTAGTCAGAGAGCCAAACAAGGCATTAGCTTCGGGAATGTCTGTTTGATTGAGAAACCCCTCAAGTCTTGCTTATTCACGTTTTTGACCCAATTTGTATTGACATTTTAACAAAGACCGCTCAAGTCTTGTTTATTGCATTGGTACCCCAACACTATTAACACAGCAAATAATATGATCCTACCTTGACCATGATCCAGTGGTTGGTTGATATATCAGTTGTGACCGTACCATTCAGCAGCAGCAGAGGCTGGCCAAAAACCAGCACGGTCACTTCTAATTCAGATCATCTGGAAATTAAAGGCCTAATGAAAATGGTCATGTCAAATCATTGAGAGTGCGTATAATTATGCAACCTACCTAACTACTTATTAACTTTGGACAAATTGTTTGTGTTGTTAGTTAGGGCATTGCTTAAAGAAGAAAGAAAGTTTAATGATAATTAAAACACTGTCACGATTTTGTACGCAAGAAAGGATTGCGTTTAACGGATTGAAATGATATTGGGCGGCAGAAAAAGACAAGTCCCTAATTTAATCTCCCATAAATAAAGACACAATCGATTGGTATGTTTTGGTGTTTTGTTGAGAGAGCTATTAAAAGAGGAAATCCACAATAGTCGGGAATTAGAAAGAGAAGAGAGAAAGAGTTTGGTTGGCGAGAAAGAGAGACAGAGAACGTTTCAACGCCATTTTTCCCGGCCAAAGCTAATTAACAAACTCTTTGTTTTCGTTTCTGTCACTTCCATTTTTCTTTTTTTTTTGTTTGTTGCATCTCCTCTTTCTTTGGGTAATAAGGGTTTCTATTTTCTGGGACAAAGTCCGTTCCTTTCGAATCTGCAAAAATGCCCAGATGGTTGATTAAATTTTGAGCTTCGAGAAGTAGAAGAAAACTAGCAAGAAGTAGCAAGGATCTCCAATTCCAGCCCTGTTTTATTGAGATTTTGAAGATCTGAAGGCTCAAATCTTTGAGCTTTTTTATTGTTTGTAATCAATTTTCCCTGAAATTTATTATATAATCTTCGAGGGAAAAATGAGCGCTTCCAGGTTCGTAAAGTGCGTGACGGTCGGTGATGGAGCTGTCGGAAAAACATGTTTGTTGATATCTTACACAAGCAACACTTTCCCTACGGTTAAGTCCAATTTACTTCATATGCTTTATGTTCTTTGTTTCAATAGATTTTCATCTGTCCGCACAACAACAATCTCATCATGTTATTGGTCTTTAAACATACAGGATTATGTGCCTACCGTTTTCGATAATTTCAGTGCAAATGTGGTGGTTAATGGAGCCACTGTTAATCTTGGATTGTGGGATACTGCAGGTTTTCAATTTTTAACTCTCTATCTTGTTCTTTTGTTTGAAATTTTGGAATATGGTTTTATCTTTTTTTACCTTTGGATCTGAGATTTTGATATTTGGGTTTTGAATAAAAAAAGGGCAAGAGGATTACAACAGATTAAGACCACTGAGCTACCGTGGGGCAGATGTTTTCATATTGGCCTTCTCTCTTATCAGCAAAGCCAGTTATGAAAACGTCTCCAAAAAGGTAAATAGATTCATCAAAAATCTTGTTTAGGTGTTAGTGTTGTCAATCTCCCTCTCTCTCTCATACACAAAGTTGCAATTGTGTGTTGCAGTGGATCCCGGAGTTGAAACATTACGCGCCTGGTGTCCCAATCGTCCTTGTTGGAACAAAGCTTGGTGAGATTTTTCATTTTCTTTCCTCATCTCACGCCTCGAATTACTAGTTGTGACACAGAGTGTGTAATGCTGCTGCTCATGTCGTGCAGATCTTCGAGATGATAAGCAGTTCTTCATCGACCATCCTGGTGCTGTCCCGATCTCTACTGCTCAGGGAGAGGAGCTGAGGAAGCAAATAGGAGCACCTTCTTACATCGAGTGCAGTTCCAAAACTCAAGAGGTATTTTGATCATTGTTGTACTCTTTGACAGGTTTTTGATGTTTATACTACTAATGCTAATGCTGTATGTTTGAATGCAGAATGTGAAGGCGGTGTTTGACGCGGCCATTCGAGTGGTGTTGCAACCGCCGAAGCAGAAGAAGAAGAAGAGCAAAGCGCAGAAGGCGTGCTCCATCCTATGATGACTCTGTTTTTACTATATTTTGGTTTTGGTATCTCAAATCTTCATGAACATTGAATCAATGTGCTAATGGACAGACATCCAAGTTTGGTTGGTGTTTTTTGTTCTTAATATTAATGGAGTTTGTCGGAATCAACATCTTTTGCTTCTGCAATTCAGTCCCAGTTTACACACACCACATGTTTTATATCAGTTTCAGTCCCATCATCTCTTCAATTAATAATCATTTGTATGTGTTGCGTTGCGTATGTTTCAAACTCAGCAAACATGTTTATTAGATAGTAACCAAGAAAGGAAAAGTGATGATACAAGTTTTTATATCTCAAGATTACTCTTTACGATTCTCCAACAAGACGAGAAGCCATGATTATTTGACGACGACGAGCCTAAAGAAAAGAATGCAAGAAAGAGTATCATTCAAACCATTCCATTTTGATATTCTGGTATTTCTCACTCATGCCACCATCCTCCTGTTGTCTCTGAAACTCCATGTAACGCAGAGTGCTCGATATGAACGACTCTGCCCCTGACTCAACTTTCTTCGTCTCGCTTCTGATTAATTCAGCTAAGCTCTTGATTGTATCGCCTGTTACTTGTGGAATTCCTTTCTCCAAGAAGTAGAGATACCTGCGTTTCTCACGTAAAAGCCATTTATAGAGCAAGCGGTGCCAAAGTACACGAGCTTACAAACCATTTTGCAGCGCAGGTACTAAATAGCTACAACTAAAACGAGTAGCTTACTTGTTCAGCAGTTCGACATATAGAGCCACAGGCTCGGTGCTACTGGTACCACGGGATGCGGCCATTTGTTGAACAGCATCTGCAATTTTTTGCGCCCTCTTCAGATAGGTCACAACCCTGTTCTCATTTCATAAATTCCATATTAGCTCAAATATTAACCCAAAACAACGACTAAGTATCAGTATGCGTCAGATTTTTCCACTTCTTAATTGTGTATGGTTCCCAGTCTTAAACTACTTCAAGATAATAGTGGATTCATATGTATAGCGTACCTCTCTCCATCTTTCAGGTTCTCGCACTCGTCAACCCAGAAAAGATGCGCACATTCATAAACAGCTCTACACTGATCTGGCTTCTTAAGGAGTTTTGCAGAGTACTACAACAACAATATATAGTTTAGCCTTGTTAGTATTCAATGCTAGCACTCACTTAATGGACTAAAGTGTCAAGAAAGATACCCCTGTCGCCTTGTGAATCAGAGTATCTCTGTTCTCAACATTAAATACACGCATCCGCTGGAGTGTCCCTATTATTAAACGTAGTGCTGTTACTTGTGCCTTTGAATCCTAAAACACCCAAAATTTCAAGGACATGTCAATATCTTTCTTACAGAAAGATGTTTCTAGCCTCGTAAGAAATTCACTTACTGAAATTTCTTCTTCATATAGAAGATATGCCTTTGTGAAGAGCTCATAAGCGACTGCTTCTAATTCACAGTCATTTGCTGCCTGCGGAGGATTCAGTAAAAGAAAATTTCATCATTCATTGTCTATAATTGTTTTGATACTGTATGATCATAAACCAAACGATCATTTACCTGAGCACATTGCAAGTAGAGTCGCAATGCCAACTCAGATGAAACATCAGATAGAACTTCCACGGTCTGTAAAAAAATTGAGGGTCGAAATCGACTCGCATCATTGTAATTTGTAATTCTGGCAAAGAGTGGGTTTCACTGGACAAGACCAATGAAGTTCGCAAGGCAACTAAACTTTACTCAATCTTTTCTAACATTAATGATGTATGTACACTTGCCTCATTTAAGAGTTGTAGAATTTTCTTCGGTGTTGCTGACGTATCATCTCCAAATGGGTTTTCATCTCCACCTCGCAGTCGCCGAATTAACTGCATAAGCATATCAGCACAACAAATGTTATCCGCATACGTCCAAATTCAAATACAATGTCTACTGAATCCATAAAAAGAACTGAAGGACTTTTCACAGAATTTATACTTTTTTCCAAGTTAGAGAATAGAGTGAACAAGTGATCACAGAAGAATTACAAACCTTGAGAGCGGAAAAGACAAGGGGTGGAATCGTAAGAGGTAGACGCTTAGGTCCTCCAGTAAGGATGTGCTTCTTTACTCTGATAATTATCTGTAGTTGGGTATATGAATTAGGAATCGCACACACGTCACACTGATAGCTCCTCTGATGTCCAACAGTATATAAATATATACACACCTTAGACATTTCTTCTGGATCATCACTGTAGAGCATGTGAACCAGCCGTGCTACAGAGTTCTGCTCTTCCTGGAAATCTTCTTCATCAACCTAGAAAACAACATAGTTTCCCGTTTGAAACCAATGTCGGGTACAATAACAGGTAAGTTATCTTACGAAAAAGTACTCTTCATTAAATACTGTGACCACGAATGCAATAAGAACTGATAAATAAATGTTTTAGTACCTCATTATCATCAGTTTTCCCGTCAAAATCCTTAATAAGTCCCTTTATCAGTTCAAATAATGCATCGACCTGCAAGACAAAAAAAGGAACCGTCACATCATAGAGAACGCTAAAAGAAGAAGCTAAACCAAGAGAAAAGCACACCTCATCAGCGGTAGCAATGCGAGTGTTGTTTTTCAAAATGCTCTGAATTATAATAATCGCCATTGCTTTGTTTGTCTCATGGTCAAGGTATTCCATTACTCGAGGATAGTTGGTAAGCTTCAAAATAGTTACAGCATCATTATACTTCTCCAACGGAGCGCTAAGAAAAGCAACGATCTGTTTTGATGCCTTGTCATCACAAAGCTTTCCTGTGGCAGAGAGTTGGGTAACACAAGATCCCTAAAGAAAAATTGAAGATAGAGACAACAATGTGTATTAGCAACTTAGAGAACTGAGTAAGTAGACACAAAACTAATGTTCAATAAACTAAACACGCTTTTATACATGCTTGGAAGGCTTTATACCAAAACTTGGTCCACATAGTCTAGACGATCGGAATGGACATGGAGAGTGAATTTCAGAAGAAACAAATACAATGATACAGATCCTGAGGCCGGCAAGTCCACCTGTGCTTCCACAACCTGCATCATACACAAGATGTAGACTCAATCTACTGTTTACGAAATACAACCGTGAAGAGATTATCAACGTGTGATACAATCAGAGAGAACTAGCGGGAAAATTACACGATTTTTTAAGAGTTCAAAATTCATGATAATACCACAGCAAAAAAGCTATTTTTTTGGCTATACCCTCATAAATAAACTTAAGAGTAAGTGTTTATTGCAGTCAAGTTCCCTCGACATCATAATTAGATGCTTTACCTTCCCAATGGCAGAATTCAACTTTGAAAACGCGTCTACTTGCAGGAAATTAGGCAATGCTTCCACACTAGATGCAGCATAGTTCGAAAGCCTTTCCATTAGACCCGAAAGGACCGTCTTGATATCAACAGACGGCTGAAAAACAGAATCACGGAAAGGAAAATAGAGGAAACATGTTCTGATGGGATAAGGTTTATTTACCAGTTTTATCTTTTATCAAATGCTCCATATAAAAGAAGAAAAGGGTAGACTATAAGAAGTACCTGAAGTTGTGGACAAGCACCTAATAATACATCGAGAGTTTGAAGGTGAAAATCATCAGGAAAGACTTGTATAATGCAATCCATTAGGTAGCACTGTGCAAGTTCATCCTTACAGTTGACAACCTTTTACAACAGTGATACATAACTCAGTTCCACCAACAAGTATACGGAAGCTTGGATGCTGAAACTATCTTAAGGAAGAGAAAAACCAGACCTGCTCCAGTATCCTAGGAAGAACAGTGTCTCTGTAGATTCCAAGGTCAACACCTTCCAACTGACTCAGTATATGAAGGTTCTTCCCAACCTAATCAGCAGCAAAGAGAAGAAATTCAGCAAATAGTAAGAGTCATTACTCGCAGATTCCTAGATGAGAAGAAACAGCTACAAGTTACGGGTATTACAAGATCACGTAGTTCTTTCCTCTCTCTCTCCCGTTTCTCCTTCTCCCGAGCAGGTCCCTAGATACCAGAAAGCCTCAACTCAGGTTCAGTTCAGTAAGGGAAATTCAGAAAGAGTAGAGAATCAGACTCTCACGGTATGCAACCATTTTAAGCACATACTTGCTGAAAATATGAGAGCAGAAATAATATCATTAGTATTTCCAACCAACCTGTTGTTGCATTCTGACCCATAGTTTGTTCATCTCAGTAAAATTTTGAAGCACAAACTCTAAAGCATCCATGTGTGTATCAGCATCTCTGGAGAGAATAACAAAAGCATTAGCCTCTTTACATGTGTGTTCTAAATTAGCAAAAAACCATCTAACAGCAGGTTGAAGGAGAAGTAAGTTGCGAGGCCTTACCCTTCCAACGCTGAACCAATGCCGGGTAACTTATCCCTAGTAACTTGAGCAAGGTAACTTCTCAAGAAAAGACCACGTAAAGGATGTTGAACAGCTCGGCACATTTCAACAAGATCCTTGAGTATATCAGTGGCAGTAACGTCCTTGGATTTTATATATACAGATCCTATAGTACAGAGGAGATACCTGCAAATTCGATCGATGTGTGTGTGTGTGTATCTATAGAGTTAATATCACAGAGTAAAGAGAACAGTTTCTACTCTGAAAAAAAGGAAGAAAGAAAAACTTACAATCTTGGCAAAATGTTACCGGCATGTTGCACGAGCTCGTAAAGCTCTGCAATGGAGCAACCACGCCCCGACTCATCCCTAAAGAAACTCTCCAGTTTCCTTAGTTCATCGAAAGCTCGAATATCTGAACAAATCATCAGATCGCTAGTAAGAAGAAGACAGCAACAATACACAAGAGCTGTTTCCCCGAATCCGAAATAGAGGCAGAGGGAAACGCGACTCACAGAGTTCATAGTATTTATGAGGAGAAAGCTTGGAAGTACGAAGCTCGCTGAGCATCTGGGCAGAAAACTTGAGAGCGTCTTTGAGATTGTCAGAGTCCTGCGATGATAATTGGAGATCCGTTAAGAAAACAATCCATTAAAATAGGGATCCAATACGATCCCGAACGAAAAAATTGACTGATGAAGAAGAGAAGAGGGGAGAGGATAGATACGATCGCGCGCTGCGTGTAGAAAGCATTTTGTTTAACGGCGGCGGTTGCGGCGGCGAGCCACTTCTCATCGTCGTCGGCGATCATTCTGTTTCACTTCTATTCTTCAGATGGAAAGTCTCGATTTTGACTGAAGAATATCTTATTAGCGTATAAATTGTTCTCTGTTCATCATCCACTTTACCTTCTCAGTCAACACCTTAATTACATAGTGACAATAACTAACTACTTTCATGGTCATGTGATTAACTCTGTAATAAGATGTTCAAAAGAATTATCATTCATTCATTCATTCGCAAGTTGGTAAAATCTCAATTTCTCATGTAGATCACATCACATTGATTGTGTTATAAAGAGCCTTTCTCAAAACTAAAAAAAACTAAAAAAAATCAGAGAGGCCACAATTTCTCTTGTTTTCCATTATAACCAGAATTTTATACTCTCGTCTGCAAATACAGATCGGTTCTTGCGCATTCCCTGCAAGACGACACTCTTCCATTTATGACTTCATATATAGCCTGGATCTGGCAAAGGACTAGCTTATTATGTCAGTAAATCACTGTAGCGTTTTGCTCTAGACTAGTCTCAGTAATCACCTTGTCTGCTTCTCCGCATCCTAGTATCAGGTCATGGACTATCTCCTTCAAGTCCACAAGGCCACACCCGGGTATTCGTCCTATTTTTCTCTCCTTCGCCATCTCTCTCACTCTATCAACATCTTCCCAACGCCCCGCAACACTGTAAACGTTCATCAGCAAATGGTAATACTTGTAGTTCAGGGGATCTTGTTCTATCAGGGACTTGGCAATGCTCTCCCCAAGAGCCGAGTTTCCTGTGAAACGTGAAGAGCTGAGAAAGTTAGCCCATTTTGAAGATTCTGGCGTCACATCTTCCTCTGGCAAGTTCTTCAGAATTTCCTCTGCTTCTTCAGGGAACCCGGCGCTGGAGTAAAGATTAGCCATGCACCATATGTGTCCAAAGTTGGGTTTGATCTGGAACTCGTCAACCATCAGGGCATAGTAACTTTCTCCCTGTGAAACAATCCCGGATCTAGCACAACCGCAGAGAACGCCAACAAACGTTACTTCATCTGGAATGAGCTCACCGTCGATCATGGCTTCAAATAATTCGAGCCCATCTTCAGGAAGACCGTGAAGACAATGTGCCAATATCATCACATTCCACGTAACTCTGTTCCTACGTGATAGACTGTCGAATATCCTACGCGCAAAGTCTACTTCCTTGCATTTTCCATACATATCAATAAGAGCTGTATCGATGACTACGCTCTTGCTCAGCGAGGTTCTTATCAGAGAAGCATGAACCGACCTACCTTCCTTCAGTCTAGCTGATCTGCCACAAGCACTCAGTAGCAAAACCAAGGTCCTCTCTTTTCCTTGGAAACCAGCTCCGACCATCTCGCGGAACAACCTAATAGAGACTCCGGGATTGTTAGCACCCAAATAAGCGCTGATCATGATATTCCAAGAAACCATGTTTTTCTCCGGCATTTGATCGAACAGCTTGTGAGCATACACAAGATCACCGTCTCTCACAGCCCCAGCGACTATCGAGTTCCAGGACACAATATCTCTCTTGGGCATTTCAACAAACAGCTTCTTCGCAAGCTCCAAGGCACCACAACAAGTATACATATGTATTAAAGAGTTTTGGACAGGCAAAACTTGATCGCATCCATGTTTAATGGCCTGCCCGTGACACATTTTTCCGGAATCAACGCACCACGTCTTCTCGATACAACTAAACAATGAGACGAAGGTGTAGGTGTCAGGAACAAACCCGCATCTCAGTATATCGAAGTAAAACCCTAAAGCTCGTATCGGTGCAGACGAGGCCAAATACGACTTGAAGACGGGATTTGCGCAGTAGAGCTTCCCAATGCTGCGGAATATCGAGAGGGTGTAGGTGGCGTCACCAAAACGCGAAGAACACTTCAACAATCTGATGGCCCAAGTGGAATCCCAGAAGTTACCGGAGGCGATGAGCCTCGCGTGGACTTGGAAGAGGTGTCCGATAGTACTGGATCCTTCGAGAAGTTTGAAAGCTCTAAGAAGACCCAGAACGGGGGAGATAGATCTGGACGTGACGAATTGGCGGATAGAAGATGCTCTTGCCATTCATCTCCAGCTTGGATCCTTAGAGTTGAGTCAGGGATGGATTCAGAAATCGCCATTAACCCACGATCATATCTTGTGTCAGTACTGAGGAGCGTCAACGCCTCAACGGATTACAGAAGGAAGGAGAACGTAGGCGGCCAAGGAAGGAGAATCATTCAGTGTAAAAAAACCTTCAGGGAAACCCTCTGATAGAGATGGAGAGTTCCGGTTTTCACGAACCAAGTTAAAGTAGATTAGAGGAGCATTTATGCAATTTTGTTTACAAAAATAAGATAAAACGAAACTTAAAATGGTGTGTGAATGGGATAAGGCACCTCACAACCTAACTTTAGCTTAGATGGAGTTTCAAATCATTTACAGACAGACTAAACAAATCACAAAGCAAATCTATTTTTGAAAAAAACAAAATTTAAGATAAGCTAAATCATCTTCTTTATCTGGATATTTCTTCGGTATTATCCAAAGACACGTTTATAAAAATCCAATCGAGTCTTTTAATTGATGTTAGAAAGTGATCTGCATGAATTAGAAATAAGAAAAGAGGGGATACGTAGAGAGAAAGAGGAAAAAAGAAAGAAGGTGAGAAGTAAGGGTCTTGGTGTTGGTGTGTGAACATAGAGAGAAAGGTGTTTTAACGTACATTGTAATCCATAAAACAAGAGAGGCATTGCAAATCACGCAACAGCGACCAACCTCTTTTCTTGTCTCTCCAACACACACGATTCCCACTCTGTTAAATTGATAACACATAAGTGTAGAGGAGAGAATCTAAACTCGAAGAAAAGATGATGGGTCTGGACAAGTGGCTGCCTTTGCTGTACCCAAGAGTGCAGGGAGGAGGAGGAGGAGGAGGAATAAAAGAGAAAGAGTGTTGCAGTGTGTGTCTGATGAGAATGGAGGATGAGGACGTGATCAAGTCCCTGCCTTGTTCCCATGAGTTCCATAGTCTCTGCGTCGACACGTGGTTCCATGTCAGCCGCAAGATATGCTGTCCACTCTGCCGCTTTTCACCCGCCACCATCATCCTCACGGATGAACTTTTCCTCTGGTTCTCTTCTTTCCATTTCTGATTCCTTCTGTCTGTATTCCTGTTTTTTCCTGGGGATCAAACACCTTTTCTCCTTGTAATGCTATAAACTCTCTTGTAGTTCTAGTTTTTTCTTTCAAGGGGAAAAGTCTAAGAAGTTTGATTCCTCTCTGTAAAAAGATACCAAACAAAGATTTCGCCCATATTAATCTCCTCCTTATGCAAACTCGATTCCTTTCTGATATTCAGAACAACAACAAAAATAGTTGTTGATGTATCCAGAAGCAATGAAACCAATTGCAATACGGTGCAGATAGACAACTGCCTCTTACCTCCTCCTCTCACAACAGCAAAAAAGAAGGCGATGTGTATCTGATACCGCTTTCTTGCTCTCGTGATTCCCCACACGCTTCCAGATTTCTACTTCCTGTTAGTGTTGTGTTCTGGAGATTCACTAGTTGTCCCCTGCTCCAGCAGGACAAGGGCTGTAAATGCTTGTATCCCTGTGATCACAACGCCGTGTATATACACTTGTCCCAGTCACTTCGTCTCGTTATAGAATCATCCTGCAATAAAAACACTGAACAAGCTCCAATTCCTCAGCTTTACAGGCTTCAGAACGGTTCAATATGAAAACACGATTGGGGTAAACAAGATACTGCTGGAAAGCTCTGCAAACTGAAACTTTTTCAAAGTGAAAAAAAGAGCCACACTTGTGCATTGTTAGTTCCAACACACACATACGAATACTTGACTAAGTTAGATTCTTTCACTTTACGAGAAAAGTACTTCCAAACTCTGAGTCAGTCACTCATATGTAAGACAAAACTAGACAAAACTGAAGAGAGGTAAGATAGAAAGAGTAGAACCGAACTAGACAATAAATCAATTTAAGAGTTGATCAGGCATGATACAGCAAGTCTCAGACTTTAAAAGAGATGATGACTCAAACTTAAAACAAATGCCTTTCCAAGGCGAAACAGAGAATAACTTACTTTCCTAAGCCTAGGAATAAAGCTAAACAGAAAGTCAGAAACCAAACCTCACCATTCATGTGCTGCCAGTGGAGTGGCCCCATCATCACCGGAAATGTCTTTCCTAACATGTCTCTGCTTATGTATAGAGTGTCACTGGCATGAAAAGATGGTGGTCCCATCATCACTTGAGGTCTCGTAAGCCTTAAAACCCCCACTGTGGCTGCAAGTGCACATCTCTCCAATTATTATTACGGTGAGGCCACCTCTTTGGCTGGCATTGGCGTGGTTTTTGAGAACCAGAACCAGTACCATTCATGTTGAGCAAGAATAACAGCTGCTTAGGTGCTCTAAATATTCTGGAATCAAGGAGGCATTAATAGAGATTCAGAAGTAACATGAAACAACAATGAGATCGCAGAGAACATGGTGGTAAACCATGATTACAAAGTGGAATAACTCTCTCTGTAGTGCCCCACACAATCGCTATTCCGTAAACACTCGAAAGCAGATAATAACTGGTTTTAATTTTCCTATCCTATTCCGAGAGCAGAAAACACCAAAAAGAAAAATGAGTGGATACGGGAAATACCTCTGTGGAGGCGGCACTGATGATGATGATCCGTCGGATAAGGTCTCTTCCAAAGAAGGCGGCTTTTCAGAGTCTGCTCCCATCAAGAGCCCCGACCTCGGCGGGAGCTAATTGAAGGAGACGCCAGTTTCTTACTAGCATTGCCGTTATCGAAACTCTCCATTTCGGCCGGTGGATGAACGGAAGGAGTCACCGAGAGGTGAGAAGGATCCTCGTGGGCGACGGAGGTCGTGGAATCAAGTTCTGATCACCTCACGAGGGAGAGGGAGCGCAGCGTAATCAAGAGATTGGGATCTATCGATGGGAGTTATGGAATAGCGAGAGGTATGACTAGTCGCCTTCGCAGCCATAAGAAGAGGGAAACAGAGGATCGAGTGAGTGGATCCTGCTGTACAATCGAGAAGCGCCGGAGGAGGAAATCGCTGGTAAAAGAACGGACTTTTTTTTTCTTTTTCTTTTTCTTTTTCTTTTTTTTTTGTTGCAAAAACACATATTTTTAGTTTACCAAGCGAGGAAACAAAAAAATACACTTTTGGTATCAATCTTTCTACCCACATTCATCTCATTGTAGAACTGAAGAAGTGATCTTTAATCTGTTAATTAAGTCTTACCACTAACACATAGGATTTGACAATATCCAAACCACAATTATACATCAAAAACATATACATTGTAACAGGGAGATAAGATTACCACTCTCAAAGACTCAAACCAATGAATTAATGTTTTACTCATCAAACAAAGATTATTATCAAATGAACATGAAATGGTCAAACCAACCAAAAGCGAATGCATCTGGTGAGAATCAAAGGAAGGCCAAAAGAGGTAGGATAAACAAGACTTGAGATGCAAGAAGGCTGAGATTGGCTGCGCCGCCTGTGCCAGAGTTTCCGGTGGAGTCACGAGGGTTAACCGGGGGCGGTGTAGCAACAGAAACACGGGGAGGAGGAGAAGGAGATAGTGGAGTGGATAGTTTTGGTGCAGGAGCTTTGATCTGTGGTGGTGGAGGAGTAGCTGCTAAGCTTTCATCCTCAAAACCTGACATTAACCCCCCCCAAAAAAACACACTTAATTAAGCAATGCTTTATGTATATATGCACAACCAATTCCTGATTTGCTTACTTACAATTAGACCGCTTCCAACCCAAAATCATCCTCTCCCGGTCGAACACAATGCGGTAGCCTGACATGAAGTTCTCTGCAAACACCCAAAACGTGAAATGCATTCAAACACATACTCTTTCTCTCTCTCTTGTGTGAAGAAAGAGTAAAACTCATTATTGTGAGTACTTACGTCCAATAATGTTTAGCTTGAAATCCACACTCTTCAGAATACCCAAGCAGTACATGAAGCTTTCATCCTGTTATTCAGATTCAGAACAAAACCAAAATAAATAAGAGAACAAAACTATGTGAAACTGGACGAAAGAAAGAAAAAAAATACAACCATGTCTCACCTCATTCGTCACCATGAAAAGCGGATTTCTCAGACTCATCTGTGATCCTTCTCCAAAGGTCATCACAATTTTGGGGAAAAGAATGGTTGTAGCATTTGGACTGCATGCCAAGAGGAAGAACATCAGAACTCACTTTGGGAACAGAGATTGCTATTCTACACATTACTTAACTTAGTGTAACTATTCCATACTGTTCCTCTCAGACATAGGTTAAAGTCCAACACATTCTACTAAAATGGGCAAACGCATATGACAAACTACAGTAACAAGAGTGCAAGCTTGACCTTAAGTCATAACAGAACTCAAATGGAATCTTAGGATCCATAGGGCGTCGCTTGTCAGTGACTTGATCGTCAAACTGCAAAAGTAAGACAATGAAGGTCATGTGATGTAACAAACACAAGCTTGGAAGTCTAATGACTTCACAGCAAGAAAGTTTCTTATAAAAGGGAAAATAATATTTTACTCAGGTAAGGTACTTGTACAACAAAATTGGTCAGAAAGCACTTAATCCAAGGCACTTACAGTTTAATGGATCTTTAATTAGTCTAGATCCATTAAACATCCATGCACACATGAAATTGTATATCTTTGATTAGTCTTAATCCAAGGCACTTACAGTTTTGGTAATCAGACCGTATGCTGGCTCCATTAAGTGCGTAAATGATGTGCCAGTGTCAACGATTGCGAGCAGCTCAACCCCGAGATCCTCTCCTCCCACTGATACTTCAGTCACATCCACAGCATATGTCGGACTAGTTTTCATATTTGGGGCACAAGAAACAGAATCGGTATACGATAAAACATAGTTGAACAGATTTTAAGCACATGTCAAACCAAAGTGGAGTTGGCTACGTACGTTGGTCCAACAGGAACTAGTGGCGTCTCCAGTTGGTCCGTGTAGCCTTTGTCTCCGAAGCTGATTCTTCCGATAATGTCAATGATGTTCCCGAAACACATTGAGAAGGAGTTTGTGGTGATATTCGCTTTTGCGAGTACACTCGGAACAGAGTAATCTTGCATACCAAGCCCGAGAAGACCATTCACAGCCATACCTCTCCGGAGCAAACCTGTCTGATTCTGACCGCAACTGCATCGCAACACACACATGTGAGTTCCAACTTCCAAGAGAGCTCTTACAGTGTCAGGTTTTACCAAATAATATGATAGAGTCATTATATACTTACCCAAGGGTGACATTAGCTTTAACAGGCTCTAAATCATCATCCTCTGTGACCAAATGCAGCACATCCTCGAACAATGTCCCTCTGGTGGCTGTGTTGTTAGAAAGGTACTGGACCTGATAAGGGCAAATACTTGAAGGAGAAGAACATCCTCTCAATCCAAAACAACGCTTGTCACTGCATCTAATGCTTGAACTCGTAGAAGATACGTTGGGGGCGTAGAGATTGAGTGGTCGACTCTGTTCCAAAGAAGAGAAACTTATAAATAGCATGAAGAAAATTGTAAATTTCCAATAAAAGAAAGTGTATATGTTGGTACCTCAGAAAGTCCAAGGTCTTGCAAGTCACGCATGCAAGTGTTACCACAGTTACATGGCAACCAAAACAAATCACTGCCTGTGTCCAGAGCTACAAGGAACCAAGTAGCCGGTGTTCCAACAGAGACATTGGCGTAATGCAGACTGAAAAAAAAAACCACAAATCAATATTCGATCATAATTTGGCTGGAGTAAAAGAAGAAAACGAATTCTTGTGAAATCAAGAAGAGAAGTGAGAGGCATATTTACTATCCGAGAAGGTCGAGTTCAAGCGTGCGGTTTCCCCTCATGAACGTGACCGGAGGCTCTTCGTTGTTGGAGGCAAGACCTCGACCTCTGATCAACTGATCACGGTGGGCTAAAACCTTGTAGTACTCCAAACTTCCTTTTTCAGGAACTAGATGGTCAAACCCAAGAGTCTGTTTGACCGCATCAGAGAACATGTGGTGAACTTGGAAGCTGAACTTACCACCAGCAGCCTCACATCTCTCCACCAATCCAAAACCCACCACTAACACAGAGAATAACACAAACACTTGTCGTGAAACGTCCATGGTTTTCTTCCGATGGAGACCTCCAGAGTAAAATCAGTTTTACAATTCTCAGGATCACGTACTTGTAAGGGACGTTGGGGAATTAAAAAAGTCAAATGCTTGACTCGTTCGCATTGTTCCAGACAAGCAGAAGGAAGATGATTTGATTCTTTGAACTTATAATACTTGTTTAATCGGGAGTAGTAACCCATTATTTTGCCGCTTATTCTTCTTCTTCCTCTCTATGATAGCAGAGGGTGGCGACTTTTGATATAAGTCTCTTTGTCAACGCTTTCTTTTTGCTGATATAGCCCCTTTACTCTTCTTATTTAGCACTTAATTCCTACTATTATATTCTTAATCAATGATCAAATTTTCACCTAACGCCTGCTATTATATAATGCATTATAGACAACAACATTCTAGTTGACCTGTTCTTTTAAGTTTACAAACAAAAAATGATGTATATGAGAAAACATCATACACGGCTCCTCCTTCCATCTCAAAGCTAATTGCAGGAAGCTTCCCTTGATTTGAAAATGCACTTGACAAATCCAGAACATTTTATATAACAAAGAAAAACATACATTTGTAACAAGGAGATAACATGATCACTCTCAAATCAATGAATATTGCTTTGCTCATCAAACGAAGATTGTTAGAAAATGTTCAAACCAAACACAAAACTAAAGGCTTCTGTGAATCAGAGGAAGGCCAAAAGAGGTAGGAGGAGAAGTAGGAGTTGCGATGCGAGAGGGATGAGACTGACTGCACCGCCTGCTTCAGGGCTTCCAGTGGAGTCACGAGGGTCGATTGGTGGAGGCGTAGCAGCAATAGCAGGTGGTGGAGCGGATGCTCTTGGTGGTGGAGCTTCGAACTCGGGTGGTGGAGGAGTCGTAGATTCTAAGCTTTCATCTTCAAAACCTGCCATTAACCCAAAACGCTTCATTATCAACGCTTTGTTCCTAGCTATATACAGGTCAATTCCTGATTTGGTCACTTACAATTAGACCGCTTCCAACCCAATATCATCCTCTCCCGATCGAATACAACGCGGTAGCCCGACATAAAGTTCTCTGCATTCCACACACACACTCATTATATGCATACATATAACTTGTGCATCAGTACTGAGATACTTACGTCCGATGATGTTGACATCTTCGCTCTTCAGTATACCCAAGCAGTACATCAAACTACCCTCCTGTTACTTACTCATATTAGAATCCAAAATGTCAATAGATACACTAATACAGGAAAGAAAGAAAAATAAACACTATATATTGCCTCAGTCCGTGCTGAAATAAACGGATTCTTGAGTCTCATTGTGGATCCTCCTGCGAAAGTCATCTCTAGCGGGGAGAAAGAAACGGTTGTTAAGTTTGGACTGCACGTGAAGAGAGGAAGAGCATCAGAATTTAGATGTAGTGACCATCTTACATTCTACTAAAAGTTCAAAAGTAAATAATAACTACACAGATAAGAGTGCGAGTATGACCTCAACACATAACAGAACTCAAATGGAATCGTAGGATCAACGGGGAGTCGCTTGTCGTCGACTTGATCGTTAAACTGCAAAAGCAAAAGAATGAGCGTCATGTGATGTAAAATCAAACAAAGGCTTGGAGGAATGGTTTTTCTTTGATGAGGTCTTCATTTTAATATCCATTGCAAAAACTACAGATATGAGGTATCTAAGGATTTAACAGCACAAGATTATCTTGGAGGAAGAAAAGTATACACATCTGGTTAGTTTAGCACGAATTTGGTCAGACAGGCATTAAAATATCTGATTAGTCTATAATCTAAGCCCTTACAGCTTTGGTAAAAAGGCCGTATGCTGGATTCATTAAGTGTGTAAAAGATGACCCACTGTCGAATAGTGCAAACAGGCCAACACCAATAGGATCTCCCCCCACTGACATTCCCGTCACATTCACACCATATGCCGCACTAGTTTACATTTTGAATCAGAAATGTGTTACAAAAAAAGAAACCATGGGAGATAGAAATAGAATCAGTGTAGATAGTACATAAAAACTTTAACCGGTGTTAATCTGGAATTGACCACGTACCTTGGTTCAACAGAAACGAATGGAGTCTCCTGCTGGTCTGTGTAGCCTTTGTCTCCAAAACTGATTCTTCCGACAATGTCAACGACACGCCCGAAACACATTGAGAAGGAGTTTGCGGTGATATTAGCTTTTGCAAGAAGGCTCGGAACAGAATATTCTTTCACACCAAGCCCGAGAACACCGTTCACGGAAACATCTTTCTGGAACAAACCTGTCTGATTCTGGCCGCAGCTGCACCACAGACAACGATTCAGCTCTTTGGCATCCACTTTGTTGTCTCATAGGTCATTTTTCGTACATGGATTCTTAGAGGCAAAAGACCTAGACTTTTTACATGTTCCGGATTTCACTTTGTATTCTTTCTTACCGGTTATTGGTTTTACTACGCAAGTCAATAGCTTGCTTCGGAAATATTCCGGTCTGGTCAAGAAAAAAACAGAGGAAAAGAGTCGTTACTTACCCAAGCGTGATATTCGCTTTGACGGGGTTTAAATCGGCATCCTCTGTGACCAGATGCAAGACATCCTGTAACAAAGTCCCTGTGGTGGATGTGGTGGTAGAGCTGGAAATCTGATAAGGGCAAATGCTCGCAGGAGAAGAACACCGTCTAGATTCAAAACAACGCTTGTCACTGCATCCAATGCTTGAGCTTGTAGTTGATGCGTTGGGACTGTAAAGATTGAGTGGTATACTCTGTGACAAAGAAGAGAAACGAAAACAGAGTTAAAAAGGAACAAAATAGTCTGAATCAAATGTTTTCAACGGCTTAGAGAAAGGGAAAGGTACATCTTGAAGTCCAGCATCTTGCAAGTCGCGGATGCAAGTGTTACCGCAATTGCAAGGCAGCCAAAACAAATCGCTGCCTGTGTCCAGAGCCACCAGGAACCACGTAGCCGGTGTTCCCACAGATACATTGGCGTAATGCAGACTGAAACCATATTGGATATAACAAAATCAACATTCAATAAGCAATGGAGTCAAGCATCATATGTTCATACCATTAACGCCCGATACCAAATTATGTTTGCACTAAAGAAGAAAAACGAAATGTTTGTGGAACAAGATTAGAAGAGGAATTACAATCCCAGGAAGTTGAGCGCAAGCGTGAAGTTGCCTTCAGAGGAAGTGATGGGGCTTTCTTCGTTGTTGGAGGCAAGACCTCGACCTCTGATCAACTGATCGCGGTGGGCCAAAACCTTGAAGTACTCCAAACTTCCTTTCTCAGGAACTAGATGGTCAAACCCAAGATTCTGCTTGACCGCATCAGAGAACATGTGGTGAACTTGGAAGCTGAACTTACCAGAAGCCTCACATCTCTCCACCAATCCCAAACCCACAACTAACACAGACAATAACACAAACACTTGGCGTGCAACGACCATTGTTTTAGAAAACAGCACTCGAGGAGTGAAAGTATTTTTCCCTTCTCATAGATGTAAATACGCCGGGACGAATCCAGTATATGTAAGGAACTTGAGGAAATTGAAAAGGTCAAAAGATTGACTCGTTCGCATTGTTCCAGACCAGCAGAGAGAAGCTGAGTCGATTCTTCGAACTGGTAATAATTGTTTAATCGGAGTAGTAGCCATTATGTTGCTGCTTCTTCTTCTTCTTCTTCTTCTTCCCTGCCTGATGCTTAATGTTCACGAGGGCAGAGTCTTCTTCTATCCGGTGAGACTGAAAGAGAGGAGACTTTTGAAATTAGGCGCTTATATATAAGTAACAAGTCAACTCTTTCGTTTTGCGGAAAACCCCCTTTATTCTTCTTATTTTCCACCTTAACTCCATTTATTATATTCTAAATCAACGAACAAATTTTCAATTGTCCACCTTAAGTCCTTTTATTATATTCTAAATCAACGAACAAATTTTCAATTTTTCACCTAACGCCTGCTATTATATAGATTACATATACTAATAGACAACAACATTCTTGCTGACCTTGCTTTGTAACAGAAAAATGATGTAGTTGACATTAAACAAATATTTCACCCACGTCGAATCAATAGTATATATAATTGGCAAAAAAATAAAAAATGTGGATTATTACAACTTGATTTATTATACACCAAACTGAGAAAATCCTTATCCAACAGACAAGAAAGACATTATGAATGTTTGATCAACTGCTCTTTGTTTAGATTCTGAATGCTTCTTGTATTATTCAATAAGAGTTCAAGGCTTAATATAACCATTACAATAACAGAAACCCGACACTTAAGGCAAACTAATAGAAACAACAACTAAGATCGTAACACTCGGTCTTCTGAAAACAGAGCAAGACTTATTCAAACCATAACGGATTCTTTATTCAAAAACTCCAACAAACCCTCCCTAAGCTAAGCTTGGCGAACACAGCTTAACTTATCTACAACTGAACAAACTCCAAGCTTTCCCCTCAATCGTTCAAAGACTTCACGCTTCAACGCCTTAGTGAAGATGTCTGCAACTTGCTCTTTCGATCCACAATGCTCGAGATGAATCACGCCATCATTAACCAAGTCTCTCAGAAAATGAAAACGTACCCCAATGTGTTTGCATCTTCTGTGAAAGACAGGATTCTTGGAGAGCTTGATTGTTGAAGTGTTGTCACACAAGACTGTAGTGCTTCCGTCTACGTTGTGTCCCAGCTCTTCCAAGATTCGTTTGAACCATATTGCTTGACACGCACAAGCAGACACAGCCACATACTCTGCTTCCGTCGTTGAGAGTGTAACAATTGGTTGTTTCTTTGATGACCACGCTACTCTTTCTGCCGTCAACGTCTCCAGCAAAGTCACTGTCCGTGTAGACTAGCAGTTCTCCAGTTCCTCCTCTCTTATACCAAATTCCAAAATCCATTGTATCCTTCAGATACCTAAAGACTCTCTTTGCAGCCTGCAGATGTAAGCTTGTGGGTCTAGACATGTAGCGACTCAGAAGACTTACAGTGAACTGCAGATCAGGCCGTGTAGTTGTGATGTACATGAGACTTCCAATTATTCTCTTGTAATGAGTTTCATCAACTCGTTCTCCATCCTCATCCACACCAATCTTACTTCCGGGCACCATTGGATTGTAAACACCATTGCAATTTTCCATCTCAAAACGCTTCAAGACCTCCATTGCATACTTAGCCTGAGAAATGTGAATCCCATGTGGTGTCTGCAGTACTTCGATTCCCAGAAAATATCTCATTCTACCAAGATCGGTCATGTCAAACTCCTTCTGCATCGACCGTTTGAAATCCCTCATCATCGCCTTATTGTCTCCGGTGTAAATCAAGTCGTCCACATAAACACTAACAAACAATGTGTTACCTTGCTTGTTAGTCTTAAAGAACAGGGTTTCTTCGTTCTGAGACTTCATGAATCCTTTCTTAGAGAAATACTCTTCGATTCTACTGAACCACGCCCTTGGAGCCTGCTTTAGGCCGTATAAGGCCTTGTGAAGTTTGTAGACTTTGTTCTCACTTCTTTTTACTTCATACCCCTTCGGTTGTTATATGTAAACATCCTCTACAAGTACTCCATGAAGAAACGCTGACTTGACATCAAGTTGATAAATGTCCCAAGCTTTCCGAGCTGCTGTAGATAGGATAGTCCTGATTGTATCCATCCGAGCAACTAGTGCATAGACTTCTGTATAATCGATCCCATGCTCTTGAGAGTACCCCTTTGCCACTAGGCGTGCCTTGTACTTATTCACCTCTCCATGTTCATTGAGCTTGGTTTTGTAGATCCATTTCACCCCAATGCACTTTGCCTCACTTGGTAGCTCTGAGAGTACTCATGTATGATTCTTCTCAATCGATTTGATCTCCTCATCCATAGCCTCTCTCCACTTCACGCTTTTTTTCGGCTTCTTCAAAGGTCATTGGATCAGACGAGTTTATTTCAACCATGTTTACTTCGTCATCTTCTTCGTCTAAGGCTTCATCACCAACGACATAGTCCTTTAGATAGCCTGGACGTTCCTTTTTTCGTCCCTCCCTGATCTCAGCTTCTTCCTGCAGGTTTTGAGTGTGTGCAGGGGTTGCAGGAGGTTCTGCAGTAGTCTCTGCAGTAATCTCTGCAGGTTCTGATGATGCGTTGCTCGATTCTCCATCATCACTGTCTTCAGCTTCACTTTCCTCCCATGGCATATCATCATCTTTCCATGTTAGCTCAGCATCTATGTGGTCGTTTTCTTCATCCCAGTTCCATCCTTTTGATTCCTCAAAGATCATATCTCTGCTGATAATGACCTTCTTCGTCTTTAGATCATAAAGTCTGTAACCCTTAGACTCTTCTGAGAAACTAAGTACGACACAAGTGATGCTCTTGTCATCAAGTTTGCATCGTTTCTGGTCTGAGACATGTGCGTGAGCCACACTTCCCCAAACACGAAAATGTTCCACACTCGGTTTCACTCCGCTCCAAGCTTCTTGAGGAGTGACATTCTTCAACGCCAAGGTGGGACATCGATTCAAAACATAGAAGGTCCAGTTGACTGCCTCTGCCCAGAAAACTTTTGGAACTTTTCGTGTGGAGAGCATAGACCTGACCATATTCATAACCGTGCGGTTCTTCCTCTCTGCAATCCCATTCTGCTGTGGCGTGTAAGCAGTGGTCAGCTGTCTCCTTATCCCCTCTTTCTTGTAGTAGTCAGAGAACTCATGAGAAGTGTATTCCCCTCCCCGATCAGTTCTTAAGCACTTAATATTCTTTTCTGTCTCTATCTCCACCTTTCTTTTAAATATCTTGAACTGAGTGAAAGCCTCTGACTTCTCTTTCAAAAGATATACCCATGCCTTTCTGCTGTAATCATCTATGAAGCAGAGCAGGTACTTCTTTCCACCGGATGATATGGGGCTGATTGGTCCACAGATGTCTGAGTGTACCAACTCAAGAGTTCCCTTAGCTCTCCACATGCTCTTCTTAGGGATCGGATTTCTTGGTTGCTTTCCCACCAGACAGTCCGTGCAAGTGAACTTTTCTGATTCAAAACTTGGAAGACCACGTACCATTTTCTTGTTTTGCAGAATCTTCATACCGCTATGACTGAGGTGTCCATAGCGTTCATGCCATAGTCTCGCCATATCTTCTGAGACAGTCTGCAGGCACTGATGCTGAATCGATTTAGCTCCACCACCTTGATCAATGAGCATGAACATTCTGTTTACGCTCATTTTGCTCTCAGCTATCAGCCCCCTTTCATCATGATAGATCTTGCAAGCTCCATTTCATATGATGATAGTCAGCTCCTTCTCTTGAAGCTGTCCCAGACTCAGTAAGTTGTTTTTGAGCTCCGGTACGTAGTACACATCCCTTATTGTGTAAGCAGCACCGTTCAAGACTAGCTTCACGTTCCCTTTGCCGACTACATTCATCCGCTTGTCATTTCCCAGTTTGACTGAATGTTTAAAGTTTACGTTCATCTCTGAGAAGAGTTCTTGATCCCCACTCATATGATTTGAACACCCGGAGTCAAGAAACCATGCCCTCTTCCTCAGATTTCCTTCTTTCCCAGTACAGGTCATCATCAGCTGCTCTGCACCTTTCACTTTTATTCCAGGTTCTGCTTCATCTCCGTCAGTGTACGCCATCAGAAGCATCTCCTCATTCTCTTGGAAACCAGCGTAATTTGCTTCTTCTTCCCACATCGGACATTCATTTCGAAAATGTCCAAGCTGGTGACATTTGTAGCACTCCACTGTGGTCTTGTTTAGAGACACTCTTCCTCTTCCGCGTCCTCTTCCTCTTCCGTTGAAACCTCTTCCTCTGGTTCCAGCTCCTCTGCCATATGCCACCTGCAGCACCTGATCATCTCCCTTGACTGCCGTTTTGAACTTCTGTTCATGAACCCCAAGAGAGCTCTGCAATTCATCCAACGAGATGCTTCCAATGTCCTTAGACTCTTCTATGGACACCACCACTTACGTGAACTTCTCACTAAGAGTCCTCAATATCTTCTCCACCACCTTTGAGTCGTCCACGTTTTCTCCATTTTTCCTCATCTGATTGGTTATGACGAGTACACGTTTGAAATACTCATCCACTGTCTCAGATTCCTTCATCTCCAGCAGCTCGAAGTCCCTTCTCAGCTTCTGCAGCAAAGACCTCTTCACTCGATCATTGCCTGCAAAATTTTTCTTCATGGCATCCTATATGCTCTTTGATGATCTCCTATCTGAAATTTGCTCAAGTACTTCCCTATCAACAGATTGATACAGGTAGTGTTTGATCTTGTGATCGTTTGTCTTGGCATTGTCTAGCTGTAGTCTCTGCTCCGCCGTGAGCACCGTCGTGGTTGATGGTTCCTCAAATCCAATGTCGATAAGACTCCATAGACCTTTCGATCTGAAGAAGTTCTCCATCACTTCACTCCAATGGTCCCAATGTCCATCAAACTGGGGAAGTTTCATCTTATCATCTCCCATCTCTCCTCTCAATTGTGTTTTTGAAGCTATGGCTTCCCTTTTTTTTAAGCACTCAAAACTCTAACGGAGCTTTGATACCAATTTGTTTGATCAACTGCTCTTTGTTTAGATTCTGAATGCTTCTTGTATAATTCAATAAGAGTTCAAGGCTTAATATAACCATTACAATAACAGAAACCCGATACTTAAGGCAAACTAATAGAAACAACAACTAAGACCGTAACACTCGGTCTTCTGAAAACAGAGCAAGACTTATTTAAACCATAACGGA